GGCGAGCGATAGCTCGCGCTCGCCTCCATGCTCCCCTCGCAACCTGAGGCGAGCTATGAATTGCTCTCCTAAACAGAACATGAAGGGAGAATCGCTCCCCTAAAATTTCTATTCATTTGCCCTTTTCCTATTCAGAGAACCCTGAAAACGGGTTAATTGGCTTATTTTTGTAACAGCGATTTCTCCCGTCACTGCATTTTTTGCAATTAACTTTTTGCTTGTTGAGCGGTTTTTGTTATGATAGGCATAAACTTCGATCTATTTGGAAAAGGATAGTTAACCGAAAGGTACGTTTGTAGCGATTAGAGCCTTTCAATCTTAAGAAAACAGGAATATTTTCGGAAGGAAAGTCGAAGAAATGGGTAGGAATTGTAGATTGGGGATATAATAAGACAGCAGGTCCCTTCCAGCAATAGAAACAAAACTATCCCTCAAAGAGAACAGGGTACTCTGTCTTGCAGATCAAAAACGACAACCAAAACATGGAATTCCACTATCCAGCAGCATTTACTGAAAAACCCAGATTGGGTGAAAAACTATAACGGCGACATGTTTCGCATTATTGGCAAAGCCTGATCATCGTTCCATCTATGTAGCAGTTTGTGAATCTATCTACTATATAAACATGGCCGACTGCTTTTGTGTAGACATAAGTGAGTTCGTTTTCACCTTAGGACTCCGTTGGTAACATTTTCAATAGGAAAGGGGCACTTATTGGAAAACCTCAACAGTCATGTCCTCGCGTTTTCTGATGGCCTATTTCGATCCAAAACTGGGTATTTTAGCGTAGAGTTTTCCTTCTATGTTCTGACGTTTTATTCTCTGAAAAGTGCTAGACGTATAATTAAGTTTGTTTCAAAATTTGTTTTTTAAAGCCATTTTCAAATTCTGTGCAACAAAAAGATTGTTTTGCAAGAGAATTGTTGTTTTTGTGTTGTGCCAGCTTTACATAAAACGGAGAGAGTCTGTTCTTTCAAATAGTTCAAGTAAAGGGGGTGCCTAAGTCACGGTTAAAGCAAATGCAAATTGAAAGAAGTAAAACAGCACACTCCTGACTGAGGCTATTACATTAAGGCAACCAACAGATACTAAAGGGGCTTATTAAGTCATCTGTCAATTGTCTTTAAAGTACATTCTATGTGTTACTGATTTAGCTCGCCTCAGCAAATGAGGGGAGCAATTCACAGCTCACCTATGAAAATACAAACGGCCAGGCCTGGCTTTTAGCATCAATTTGATTTTCATTACTAAAAATGGCTATCTTTCCCTGAAGCAATTGCTTGTGCAAGAGAAATCATTGGGGCACTCGTGTGGGCTATTTCTTACAAAAAGGCCTGGTTCTAGAGAATGGCTCAGCACATAATTAATATAACGATGTTTCAAGGCTTGCAAGTTCTTGAAAATCAAATATTTATATGCTTTGTCATTTTAATTTGCCAGAGTATTTCTTTAATGGATAAAGTCAATACTTCAACACAATTGAAGGCATTTGTTTTCTGCCATATATATTTATTCATGCCAGTGGGACAAAATACCCTGAACTAGGTTTATTTTATTTTTGTCCAAATATTTGATTTCATTGTTGTTAGATTCTCTGTAGTCGTAGTAAAATTGGCATTCAGAAACAATATATTTATTCTACTTCTACTTTATGATTTATTGGTACCAAAAATTTTCATTTGTATTTAAAAATTGCAAGGGACTAGTTAAAATACATAACTTGGGAAGGAGGTAATGCTTGTCATGAGCATTTATTGGAATGTATAATTAATGAAATTGCAGAGATGAAGGAAAGGTTTCTTGCACTTAATAATTTGTCGTTTATGTCTTTAAAAGAACAGTGCAAAGTAAATTTTTCAATATCCTAAGCATCTGATTGGAAATTTGTTTTCAATAAAAGTCATTGTATGAACAATATTATTGTTTTCTCTAGTTTTTTCTTCACCTTCTCTGGATTTTCATAAAAAGATCAAGCTTGGTTTTGACTATATTGACTTTGTCTCGTAATGGAGTTGCACTTTCTGAAGGTGCTTGTGGTATTCTCATTTTTCGCCGAACAGATGGTTGCATTAAGGTTAAGTTCTGGATAAGACCATAGCTGCTAGATGTTGCCCAATATAGAGACATTGCTGCTGGAACCTGTGCTGAGAAGAATACCATGGCAATTGTTAAAGATCGGAACACCCTTGTAACAATTATTTGACGTCTTGATGGCATAGTCTTTTTCAGAGTATTCAGTTCAATATTAAGTAAGTTTGTCACTCCAATAATAGCAGGTAGCACTAAGTATGGATCAGAAACAGACAAGTCTGTTATCCAACCAAAGCCTCCAGTTAGGAGTCCAGCGTGGGCCAAAGTTGCCTCTCCAAGGTTAGGGTCTCTAGGGAAAAACCCTGACAAATTTCGCAAAGCAAGAGATATTATGATCCATAATGGAAGTTGCACCCAAGGCAAAAAGTACAACTTTAAAGGGTTGCATTTTTCTCGCTTGTACATGTCCCTCGTGTGTAATCTTGCTTCCATCCGGAATTCCCTATTTACATCCTCCAGGGGCCTCCCATCACGTTTACCCTTGATGGCAATGTTGTGTTTCAATGCTTCAACAACCTCATTAATTGTAGGTTGTAAAAGTTCAACTTTAGCTAAAGTTTCTGCTTGTTTCCTTGCTAGTGGCAGCGTTATCATCAAGCGAAACATAACAGTTGCTGAAATAATGGTTGCCCACCAAGGAAGTCCACTTATTTCTTGTACGTTAACTAGCAAATCTTGCATTCCAACTATTAATGGGAACGTGTAATATGGAGCATGAGATGATTGACGAAATTGAATACTTTCAGGTAGATGATTTATCACCCTTCTTTCCAACAGATACCGCTTTTCTCCGCGCGATGTAAAAAGTTGTGAATTGGAGAAGACCCTACTACATTTTGTTGTAGAAAAAAGGGCACAAGAAAGTTTAGATGTTGGTACGGCTTGGAGTGCTTGTAGCCTTCCGTAACATGGCAGGTATTTATAAACAAACCATCCTACTTTTCTGTGGTACAGCATCGCGAATTATCCAATTCTAGAGTTTAATGCACAAAAACAAGTTCGGCCATCTTGTCACAGTCCCTCGCCTCGCTTCCAAGCAAGCCAAAACGAGTCAAAATCAAAATCAGATGACGACTACACTGCTTGTGAAAATATCTGCGATGGGTTATTGTACTTTGCGAATATGAAGGAAAGCATAGAGTTAAAAAGTCTATCAGTCCTTTGGCTAGCATTTGCTTAAAGCAGTTCATTCGATTTCGTAGTGGTATTCATTTGGAGAGATAAAAATTTAGAAACAGGCCGGAAAGGACCGAGTCTGATCCAAGCATTGCAAACAAATTCACAATGGTTCAATATACTGTTGCAAAGTCACCAAGTGAACAGCTGTCACTCACTAATTGTTTGATTGTAAATAAACAGGATTTTGATATGGATATTGTGAAGTGAGTTTTTCAGAAAGACCTTTAGCTAAGTCTACAGCATATCATTTTCAGTTTCTCTGTTAATTGTTTTAAATTCCTCTGCATATAGTCTGATAGAAGTAAAATAAGACGTTAAATATAAAATAAAAAAAAATTCAGGCATTATATTGACATAATTATCAAAACAGAAGAAAGGAATCGTATGTAGTAGGATTTCTCAAGGAGGGTTTCTGGCGTAGCTAACTCAGTAGGTAGGCTAATCGCGGAGACTCCCCCCCCCCCCTCTTCCAAGATAACTAATGAACATGGTAAAGATTATTTTCAGCATAAAGTTATTGACGAAGTACATTTTCTTTAACCTTAGGACTGTAGAGATTTATGATTATGAGATCCAGCTAAAACAAAGAAAGAATTAAAACATTAGGGATAGATCTTATTAACACATTCACATACCATACCTTGCAATTTTGCCTTAATGATATCATGCAGCTTCATAATTCAATTAACGAAAACTTGATGTAGATTGAGAAGTGCAATATTCAAATGATTACATTTGTCCTCTGATAATGTATAATATAGTAAGGAAAACAGCAAATAAGTTTACTCGTAGTGTAAAAGATATAGTATGTTTGCAAACTATTTTATTAAATGAACTTTGTTTATTGAAAGAAGAACCTTCCTTTGCACTGTCGTTATAATGCAACATTCAAATCTTTCTTGATTCTTAGAGAAACAAATAGTTATTTTCACTATCTTTAAAGCCGAAAAACCATTTTCCAATGATGCAGAATTTACTGTATTGAAGTACATGCTGAAAGCGCATTTTTCAAACATCAAGAGAAGCTCTAGATCTTCTTTGTCAAATATTTTACTATCAAAAATTGATAAAGTTTGCTGAAAGTTTTTTGAAAGCATTGGCTCATCTCCGCATGAAAAAGGAATCAATATTTTATTGACAGGACTGTGTGTATTTTGGGGTAAACAAGGCCAAAGCAATGTTTTGTTTCTCCCATGGCAATGCGATCTCCCATGGCAATGTGATCCACCAGAACATTGTTTCACATCTCCATATAGCTCTAGATCTTTTATGAAAATGCCATCTAAATGTTGTACCTATTGCCATTTGATGTTGCTGACCAGATATAATTATATATTGATTCCAATATAGTTTAGAAGATTGTAGCCTAAAGCTGTCATGTTTTGTTTGATGTCAAAATAGAAGCTAGAAAAAAGGTTCACTTTATAAGAAGAGCAGGTAGCAGAAAAATTGAATTATGTTGTTAGTATATGGGAGTTCTAAAATAATTCAAAAGCAAAGATTTCTTTATAATTCTAATTATTTTATATTTTCAATTATTTTCATACTGAACATTTTGTTTAAATAGGTATGTACAAATAGAATGCAATTCAAACAAATTCATTTTTGGCATAAAAGGTTCAGATTCTGTGAGGAGAGGGGATATTGGATTTGGTTTCATGCAAGTAAGAATTGTTACTTTTCTTGCAAATTTTGTGACACCACATAAGGGCATGCTTCTGAAGACTTATATCCAATTAGACAATTTTGCATCCTTCATTTACAACATTTTCGGCTTGGCCATTTCAAACAAGTCAATCAAGCAGGCGAAGGTCATGTTTAAAACAGACAATGTCTTTTGTCTTGATAAAGATTAAGCTAGACAAAAATGAAGTCATTATTTTTTCAAAATGTCTCCAGGTGTTAATATTTTAACATTTAGGGAGACAACCTATTGTTTATTGACTTGTTGCAGAAAGAAGGGAACAAGAAAAGATAAAACAAGTCATAAATGGAAAGAGAACATTAAAAATATTGAAAAATTATTATTATTATTTATTTCTCAGAAATGCTCTATCATTGCCACCATTTTGAGTTTGCAGAAACAGCGCAGTAGCGAATCATCTGCCTAATTTCAAGCCCTGTTCTTAATCATGATAGTCATTGGTTGTACTATTGTTTTCCCTTTTTTGGCACTTTGCCCCCTTCCCCTTTCAAGTGCCTGCTTCCCTGATCTTAACCTTTTTTTAGTTTAGGTTTTTCAGACGAGTGTTTCTCCTGCAAATCTATTCATTTGAATGCTTTATTTTTTAGAGGCAATGGTCAAGAGCTGAGCTAAATAGCCAGATTGAAGGTACATTTAAAAAAATTGCCCTAACTTTGAATGCACGATAGTTTAGTGTTTTTATAAGCTATTATAAGATATTATTTATGAATTCTTTTGATCACTTCTTTCAGAAAAGCTTTCTATCCACATGAAAATAATTAACAAGGAAAGATAATTGTTGCTGTTTTTGACAATTTGTTGAGTTATTTAGTTTGCAATGTCCCAGACTGTGAAAGTGAAAAATTTAGTAAAATGATAAAAAAATTATATGAATATTATTATCAATTGAATTTAATGCCAGCTAACATTTGTTTGTGATATTAGAATTAAGTTTTTCTTATTGACAAATAGATTTTCTGAGCTATTACACGAAAGCAAATTGGGCAAAAGCCAGTTTAATTTGTGAAAGAATAAAAATTGTGGCAATAGAGTTTCATGTGTTATGTTATTACAACAAGTTTCATTCCATGAAAACTTATACACTGGGGTCACAAAAGTATGGAAACGGTGCTAAAAATGGCGGCTCACAGAAACCAAAGGCCATTGCCAAAGGCCTAAGCCAACAGGTTTTTAAAACAGAAGTTGGACCGGTGCTTCAGGAAATTTCCGGAAAATAGTTTCGAAGGGTTCATAAAACAATGCCTCAAAGTACAGATAAAACTTAATAAGCATAAGATAATTTAATTAACCTTGAAACTTAATACATGCAGCTTTGTTCTGACTTTAAGTATATTACGGAGACTATCATTTTGGCCGCGATATCAGGCTTTAGGTTATTAAAAGTGCTATCAGGTGAACAATTTCTAAAGCTGTCATTTAGTGATCAAAATAGTCCTCTTGCTAAATAACATAGACACTTTGGATGTAGATGATTCTTTTCATTAATTTTTTAAGCAGAATGAACATGAATGTTTCGCTTTAATTTTTTTATTGTCATGTGCTTAGATAATGAGTAAATCAGAATTTAAGATAAACAAGTCATTAACATCAAATGTAAAGCAGATCACCTTGTGTCAGTATTGAAACTTTAGAATTAAAGTGCACTGTAAACATCGCTTTCTCAGTTAAAATTTTTTCATGAAAAAGAAGCTTTAAGAAGTTTGCATCGAATTTCAACACTTCGTTTTTACAGAATTATTTTCAAGCAATGCTTCAAAGTTTTGCTGGATTTTTCCCCTCAAAACAGCAAACCAATCATTAAATTTTCTTTAACCAAAATTCGAAGTAAAGGCGAATGCATTTTTCCGCCATAACCTATCGTTTCCAAGCCCTTCGCCTCATAATTCTGATTTTGAAATTGGTCGGCTTAGGCCCGTGGTCACTGTGAGCCGCCATTTTGACCTACCGTTTCCATACTTTTGTGACCCCAGTGTAGAATGAAATATTTTGAACAATAATCATTTTTAATTTACTAATTCCCTATTCACCTTTTGCAAAGTATTTGATAAAAGTAAAGCTAACTAATAGAGTTACCACCAACAACTGCTATTGATGGAAAAAGCATGTATGGGAACATCTTGTTCAGGCACCAAAAGTTTTGCTTTCGGTTTTAAAACTCTTTTAGTTATGAATAGGTGTGCTAACTTCAAAGAATTCAATTAGTGCTAACTTCCTAGATAGTGGGATAATACTTCCCTTTAAGCCGCATTTACACGAGCAATTTTTTCCTTGGCAATTTTCCTTGACAAGTTTTCTTGCCCGTGTAGATTATAAACAAGTTTTGTTTGACAATTTCTACACATTTCGTGTAGAAAGATAAAAAATCTCTTTGACAATATCCATTTGTGCTATGGCAAGCGGAGTTTATAGGTTAGCTTTGGTTTTCTGACGCGGTTCGTTATTTGCGCAAATTTTTATTGCAAAAATGGCCCCTTTAACGAAGTAGTAACTTTTTTTCGTGTGTGGGATAGCTGCACCTCTTCTAATGTACTATGAATCTAAGAAAAAAGACAACAAAAGTGGTGGATTTGGCCTTGGGCGAGCCATCGTCGCAGACAGATCAAAGGATTAGCAGGAAACTTGATTGGAGAACTGAGATTCATATTAAGTCCAACAGTTAAAATTTTGCGCTTGAAGTCTTTGAAATTTTAATTGGAAATCTTAGCAGACAATAATGTTTCATTGGTCTACCTATTTTTGAAACTTGTACTGTATCCCAAAGGCTTCACGGCTTTGCAGAGTTTCCAAGAGCATTGACGTGCCTTAATCGGTCCAGATTAACCTCGTGGTGGCCATAGCAGCTAAGAAAAAGCTATTACTTACCCAGAAAGAAGGGTCTGGAATTGAGTCAAATTTTTCAAGTTTACTTGCCAAGTCATCTACCCGGGCAAATTTTGCATATAAAAATTTTTTACTTGTCAAGTGCACTTGCTAAAAAACTGGCATGCCAGCTTCTGAACAAGTACCCTTGTCAAGTAAGAAATTGTCATTTTTCCTCAATCAACCCCAATCTACACGAGCAAAATAAGCTTTTCAAAGAAAAATTGTCAAGGAAAACTTGCTCTTGTAGATGCGGCTTTACCCCTAGAAGGATGCCCTTGGTCAGAGTCACTTTTTGGTCAATTTTTTCAACCATGGTTATTATTTCAATTAACAAATTGTATTATTTAAATGGACAATAGCAGCACACATTTTCTTATTTTGTTAAACTTATTTTTCTAGTCAAACCACATGCATTTAGATCAAAATTGTTGATTGGATCGATGACTGTTAGTGCTGATTTTCTACAGAAAAATAAGTAAGTTAACTCTAGAACTTTTTGTTTTGTATGTTTGTGTTAAAATATCTTGTTTTATCACTTTTTGATGCCAGCTTCTCCAATGTAAGCAAGCAGAGACTAGCTCTTTGGAATACACCTTGGCAGCTGTCTTGAGCAGATAAAAGGGCATGTAATTTCAGCCATCTGAAGTATCGTTTTTTCTTAGTGCTATTTACCCTCTTTGTTCCTTATTTCAAGTGTTATAAAGTTTATGGTACGGTATAATACAAATCATTTCTGCTTCTGTTGATAACTTTTTCTCTTGTGACTATCATGAATCTTAAAAAAGGAGAGTATCATTCTGCTGGTAGCAGTGATCGTTTAGATAAAGATTATGATATGAAACTTTATAAAAAATGTGGATTTTACGGCCCTATAAAGATAATGTTGCAAGATTTTCAGATAATGTGATGATGTAATGTTGACCGTTTTAGGACAACACAAAAGGCATATGACACAGATGCAATGGCAACTGAGTTTACAGTTTCATTTCAGAATTTGCCATTCACAATTGGCCAGAAGGTATGGTTACCCTTTGACTTACTTGCATAGCTTTGAAGGATCCATGTAGCATATTTCAGTGAATCAAAAAACGAGACTGGGTCACAACTTCCCCTGTATGCAGCCAAAAAACAGTTGTGGTTGCCCCCCTTTTATTATCAAGAATTCTCAAAAAATAGCGCTCTTGTCGAAAAATTTGGGCTTTCGTCGAATAATTGACAGAATTTTAACATGCTGACTGCTGAAATCCCATCCAAGAAGGGAAATCCCTCCGCCAAGTTGTTTTGCCGGAGAATCCCTCCCACCAAATCAAAACCTGTATTTCGACCACTGTGTCATACTGTTTCAGACCCATCCTTGCAAGTGATGACTTTTTTGTATTGTCGCTGCACTGATAGGACAAAAATTGCTTCTTTCTTAGAAGCAACCGTTGCTGACCATGCAATTTATCTAGCATCCTATCGCTATATTTTGCTGTTCATGTTATGAAAGTTGTTACGAATAGATTCCTTGTCAGTTTTATGGTTATGGTTGTCAGATATTTCTAGGTTGAGTTTTTGTCTTATCTAATTGTTTTCCATTTTGTTATCATTCTAATCCATTTGATGCGTACTAAGAGCTATCAGTTCATATTTCGGTATGTGTTCATTACTGTTCCTAAGGAAGAGTGATTTTTCCTTCAGATGATAAATGTCCCCCGTCATAGATAGCTATCTGTTTAGGGTTTTCAAGTCGTTCTTTTCCATTTTCTGCGTAATTAATAGATCTCTGTTTTGAATTTCAGATGGTCTTCAGTTTTGAAGATAAACCATATTTGGTTCTGACTGTAAAAGATCTTGAAGGTAACTTGAGATGTTTTCTTGTGAGGAGGTGTCTTTTGCCATGTTTTTCTGGTCATTAAAGGCCATGATATGCCAGCATAGAGGTTTACAATGCTAAGCGATCACTGCCTTCCCAAGCTGTCAATGCTGTTTTAAACTTATTCTTCTCACCGGTCCTCATCGCTGATTTCTTTAATATCTATGGTAATCGTGCCTCTACTAAAAACTTCTGATATTTGCCAGCATTGCAAAAGATGGACACGTTAGTTCAACTGATACAGTAACACACCATGTATAAATGGAATTTTGGCTCTATAGAGCTTGTCGGACCTAATTGATAGTCTAACTAATTCTAGATAGGTTAATCATCTTTTCAATTTATTTTCAGTTGCTGACCCAACTGCTGCACTTGGCACACGAGTTGAGAAGAAAATTGAGGCAAAAAAGGTGGCTAGATTTTGAACTCGGGGGCTGCTTCCCCCTACCCTCCTATTATCAAAAGCAGGATTTTCGACTGGAAGAAATATTAAATGTATTTGACCTTCCTTTTCTATTTAAGGAACCTTTAACAGAGTATTATCTGAATAAAGGCATCCAATTTTTATCGTAGATAAATGTCTTCGATGCCATATGGGTGCATTTTACTTTTAGATTCCGAGAGACGAACAAGAGAGGGTTTTAAATGAGTGAGGTAACCTTCCTTCCTGTAGTGAAAGAGCATGCGCATGGAACGAAGTCATTATTACGCATGCTCTTTGACTCCAGGACGGAGGGTTGCCTCACACATTTGAAGATTTTCGCTCGTTCGTCTCTCCAACAAATACAGTTTTTTCGATTCAGGCTGACTGTGCTGTCTTGATGGCCAACTCGCACATAATCTTCGATAAAGAAGAGGTAAGTTCTGCCATGTTATTCACTATAATGGCTTATTGTCAGAAACAGTTGGTCTTTTCATGAAAATAGTTCACTCTGCTGCTATTGTAAGTGTCATACTTTCTATAGTTTCGTTCAGAATCCATAACAAGTTTGAAGTGTGATAGAAATCTAGTAAAATGCCTTAGTTGGGAAGATACCCTGTATCTAGACAGGTGCATCTTTTGGAAAACAACACCTCTTCATCAAAAACTGTCTTTTGTGCACAGTTAAGATCCATAAAAAATTAGATTTATTTAAGCTTCAAAGTTTGAATATTTTTGGCGCTTGTAAATTCAGTGGGCTGAAGTTGAATCGAATTATGTTCAGGATCTTTTTTGAATGTAAAACCTTAAATTTTTATCCTATTATATTTTTAGGATTGAGCGTAACTCGACACATTATTCTGCGTAAGGTTTTCTATGCTCAGCGCAGGGTTCACCGAATGTTTTCATTTTTCTTTTACCAACGGCGTACTTTGTTATATTTTATGTTATATGAACACCTACAGAAAGTAATTTTTTTTCTGTTAGGAATACTTGTAACGGACTTTACATACCTAAATGTATGAGGGGCGTTCAAAAAGTTTTCGGATATAGAAGTTTCTGGAATTTTAGATGTCAATTCGACGTTAAAAATTTATACATCTCTCTAAAAATTAAAGTTTTTGGGATATTTTTTACATATTCAAAAAAACGTTGACACGTTCAGCTACGGATCTCCGATCAAGTCACTGACGAACTATGATTTTCCACGACTTTCTTTCTATGTCTTCAAAGTGGTTTAAATTAGCACAATACTTGAACCTTAACGCTGCTCTGACATACAGCACTCTCGCGATCAGGTGTTTTTGATTGCTTTGCGTAATTGTGTGTTATAAGGCGTACATTGTAAAAAAAAGATAAGCAGGTCTGTTGCTTCTATTTGTTTATTCATATCCGTCAACTTTTTGAATGCCTTTCATAGGGGTGAATGAGTCAATATCTCGCAGGGGTGAACGCTCATCGTATTACAAGGAAAGGTGAAAAAGTCAGTAACTAAGAAAACTCAAATACTAGAATTTCGTTTGATATCTGCGGAATTCAAATAACCTATTATCTTTAGTCTCATCACACGTTAGACATTATCAACGTTATTCTTGAAGTTTGTGACTTTTAAGGTGAATGTAAGATGTTGAAGAGATTTCTACACTAAGCATATTTTGTATAAGCGTAGAGTTTTTCTCTACAATTATTTAATTATTCTTATTGTTTTAGAATTCATCTATAGTGCTGAAAGGAAAAGCTCAAGGGTACGAAGACATTAATTTAAAACATTTCTAATTATAAGGGGTCGAACTCATATGATTGTATCCCGCGGGCGTCATATAACAGTATCCCGCGGGCTTTATATTTCATTCGCAGACTTGATTTATCTTTTTTCGTACGCTTTTCTCAAATGAAGACGTTTGGAGATCTCCAACAAAGCATATTCTGCGCACCTTCAAAATTATTTAGTTTTGTCAACCAACACTTAGTTTACAATTTATTTAAATTGAAAAGAGCTTGAAAATTCTTGCCAACTTCGTATAGTTATCCATTTAACAATAATACTCTACAAGGAGGTATTTTGAACATCCTTGTTGTTATTATCTTATACCTGTTTTGGCGATTATTTATTTCACTGTTGTTCCAGATAGGTGCATAATCTGACATATAAAAATTACAATGCGTCTTCTCTTTTCGTATGGTTTTAGGCGTTCGGCGATGCCTTCTATCATAAGCCCTGACTGGGATTTCAGTAAAATGGGAATCGGTGGCCTCGATGAGGTATAACATTTTTTCACCCGAGCAAGATTATTATTTTCTTATTGTTAATTTATTTTAAGTTAGCTAACTAGAAATAATGGCAAAAATGAAAAATAAAGGCCAACTTTAAAAAGCAAAATAAAAATTACAATTATAGTTACACTGATACAGATTTTTTATTTACAATGATAAAAAGATTACATTCTAAGTTAAAAACCAATGTTTTGTATTCAGTATGTGCACAATCTACAGGTGCATGACTTGCCATTCTAATGTTTTGTATATTTTTTAAATCCATCTAACGTTTAGCATTCTGATTTCCCTGCACAATTCCTTAATGAGACTAAAACCTCTCGCCTTGGCGACAATGACGCTCTTGCCTTTCATCTCAAATTCCCTGACTTTTCTACTTTTTACCCAAATTCGGGCTTCTGCATCCCTCCCTTCTGATGAGCAGACCTCTCGGTCCAAACACTTTGACCTTTCTAATCCTAGTTTCGCTGTACCCCCTCCCCCAACCAGCACTTTGTCCGTCGGGGCAGAAAATATTTTTGCTGGGCAAAAGAAGAAACTTTCTCACCCTGTACTACAATTGTAACCGTTTTGCGATAATTGTAATGTATTAACATTTCAGAAACAGTTGAACTTTCAATGAATTTTGAAAAAGAAGCGCATGAAATCAACATATGAGATCATTTACCTGACCACATCCTTGAAGTGTGTAAAACACCCTTTTTTCGGCAAAAGTTATTTCTGTACGCCTCCAAAGACACATCACTTCTCGAATGGCAGCAATCACAAACACCTCAGTTATAGATTCATATGTCCTCGCTTGTAACTTATGCACCAAAACCATCACAAATGTTAGAGCCACATTTTTCCTGTGCATGTACAATAGGACATATAGTCACTAAACTAGTTCTTACCTCTTTTGGTCAATTGGCAAGGCAGTCTCCTAAATTCAAGGCATCCTTTCATTTAATTTCATCATCGTATGTATTTATGTTGAACTCTGATGACCTTTGTTATTTGATTCTCTAGGAATTTTCAGCAATCTTTAGAAGAGCTTTTGCATCGAGAGTTTTTCCACCTGATGTAGTTGACAGTTTAGGTACGTACGTCTAAACATTCTCTATTCAATACAATCTTTATAAACAGTTATACATATGTATCCCGCTATAATGAATTCTGTAGGGGCCAATAAAAAGTTTGTAATTGCCGAAGTTGGATATACCGCAAGGCTTCGTTATGATGGGAGTATTTCAAGTGACCAGGCTGTTACTTCGTACTAGTGAGACGCTTGTAGTAGTAAGCGTGGCTTGTACTAAGGGGATTCAACTGTATAAATTTTATTTCACATTCATCTTCTATCTTTTCCAGATTTAAGCCTTTGTTTTGTATTTTCATGGCATTAGCCTAACATACCAGAAATGCATATCAGTTTTTCCTTACTTTTACACTGTACTCTTTTTCCTAATAGGCATAAAGCATGTTAAAGGTATTCTTCTGTATGGTCCTCCAGGTATGCTCCACTGGTAACTTGAAAATATATATTTATTCTGCTTCAAACTATGTTTATGATTTAGTACAAGAAATGTTTTACGTTTTCTTCAATTGTTACTCTACGTGACACCCAGCGTAGTTGTGCATTCAAGCTTTCCCTACCTTTATTCAATTGCTCCAACGGCTCTTTGCCCAGTATTAAACACTTTTACACCTTAGCCATAAAGCCAGACTGCCCATCCTGTTTTGAACGATTTTTGTTTTTGACCATCTTTATTTCGAAACAGCGAGAGAAAGGGAAAACGGCCAGCTGATTCCAGATGATTTTGTCTTATTTGAACTTATTCCGGATAATGTTGTCAATTCTAGGTACCGGAAAAACATTAATGGCAAGGCGAATAGGAGAAATGCTTAATACCCGAAAGCCGGAGATAGTTAATGGTCCAGGTTCGTATAGTTATTTATTAAGCACATCTTGCCGTTTCTTGCACATCAACTCTCACATCAACCCCGGTTACATATTAATAAGATAAGTATTGGCTTTCCTTCACGAATAAAGGGTTGCATTGCCATTTTGGCAAGGTCGCATTTATTATGCCAGAAAATTGGCAACACAAATCTAAAATGTTCATTCAGGCAAGCCAAGAAAATAAGAGACGAATTTATTTGGTTATAATCTAATGGCTTTTGCCTGGCGCTGTTGCTGAAGCTGCCAGAAACAATATTTAACATTCTGCCACAGAAATTTAATTTCTGCGTTGATTCGCTTGTTTTAATGCATTCATTTTGACTATGATTTTAAAAACTCAAGTTTGAGATCCTCTCGTCTTTGATCCTATGAACTTTTGGGTAAATTGTAAAAGATATTTTTTTGCACTGAAAGAAGCTTGATAATTTTGTACATTACTTTTTAGAAATATTAAATAAATATGTTGGTGAATCAGAAGCTAATATCAGGTATGTAAAGTTCATATTTAGGGTTTGACATTTGTTACGAGGTCGGATAGGACAGGACAGGATGGGACATTCCCTCAGCATGGAGGGGGATAGGATGGGACATGATGAACAGCACGTAAGGGGATAGGATGGGACAGGATGCGACATTCCCTCAGCATGGGAGGGGATAGGTTGGGACATGATGAACAGCACGTAAGGGGATAGGATGGGACAGGGTGGGACAGAATGGGACAGGGTGGGACAGACAGTGGGACAGGACAGGATGGGACAGGGTGGGACAGGATGGGACAGGATGAACAGCACATGAGGGGATTGAATGGAACTAGATGAACAGCATAGGAAGGGACAGGATGGGGCAGGATGAACAACGCTTGAGGGTATAGGATGGGACAGGATAGGACAGGAGGAACAGCTTGGTGGGACATGCTTTGAGTAGTAGTTATAATGTTCTTTGACCCCTGTTAAAAAGAATTTATATATTCCCAGATTTTAAATTAATTGAAAACGCGGTTGCAACAACTCTCTACATCGTTATAGTAAAATCCCTTTTTTGGTAATATCTTAGTTTTGATTTTCTGATTTTCAGATAACTTACTTTAATTCTGTAGCCTTTAGCTTGCTATTAAAATTCCGAAATTGCCATGAAATTCTTCTGTACCAGTTTTGCTCTGCCATCTTAACACAAATCAGCAAATTTGAAGTTCTTAGTATCACAATCGGACGTAACAAACGATATTTTTCTTGCTGATAACGTTACGTTATTTGCTTCACCTGCAGAAATGCTCGTAGTAACGGCAAACGCTAGTGAAAACTGTTAGTGATCCAATTTTTAGCCACATTTCAAACTTCCCTGCACTGCCACCAAAACGGCTTATTTTGGTCACCTATTACCAATTTTTCAAAAAATATTCTTCCCGTCTTTTATCTGCTTGACTAGTACCCAAACCATTTTTCCTGACCATTCCTGATTATGATATCATGTTTCCTTTTTGAAATAGAAAAACACAGAATTTTAAAATGAAACTATGAACTATTAGATATAAATAGAAATGAAAATCTCATTATGAAACATGCTTAAAATGAAGCAAGACTGAAAACGCGATGTCTTGACTAGTCTTTCTGCAGACAAAGCTTTTGGCTTATTGAGCTCTTCATTCCCTCGTTTAGTAATTTGATATTTTTATATCAGGAAATTGTTTACCCCGGCCATCGAAGAACAGCGAAAGGTATGCTTCGATTCTTTATCATTTCTAAAATGAAGTTAGTTAAAAATAGTTATGCAGATCCTAATCTGAGGCAGCAGAAACAAAAATGTTCAATAAAAATAAAGTTTTATGATCATAATAGTATTATTTTTATTGATTATTTTCTCACGTAAACTAGCCTGAAGATTTCTTCATATAAATTCTTAATTTAGGATGAATCTGTTATATTATATCATATTATTGTCATATTATAGCACTTTATTATTATATTACGTTATATTATATTATATAATATTTTATTGTATTGTATTGTATTGTATCGTATCGTATTGTATTGTATTGTATTGTATTGTATTGTATTGTATCGTATTGTATTGTATTGTATCGTATTGTATTGTATTGTATCGTATTGTATTGTATTGTATTGTATTGTATTGTATTGTATCGTATTGTATTGTATTGTATCGTATTGTATTGTCTGTTTTATTTTATTATATCATACCAATCATATCATACCTTTCTCTCTAGTCTGGACTTAATAGCGGCCTTCATATGATTATATTCGATGAAATTGATGCAATCTGCAAGCAAAGAGGAAGCATGGTGTGTAAATTGACTATGGTAGAATTGACCTTGGATTGATGTTCTGCATTATTCAATTTTAGTTCTTGGAATTCAGATGCGTTTGCTCGCTTTGCTGATGAACATGTTTTTTAACTGTTTTTTCGTTTATACTTTTGTAATTCAGAGTTCAGTTTCCAGCAGCTCCTAGTAATCTCTGCCAATGGATATTTTCTTTCAATTACTACTCTTTTGGACCTGTCAGAACAATATGAAAAAGGTAAGCTATTTAAAGAAAACAAATATATGTGAGTGGTAATTTTTGAAAATTTTGGTCCTTTGGTTTGCAAGCCCGATTTTTTCCTTTTTTAGTCAGGTAGCACTGGTGTTCATGATACAGTGGTCAATCAACTTCTATCGTTGGTAAGTGTGTTTCAGAATCTCTATTTTGTTTCTTGATGTATGTGACTTTTTTTCTTTTTTCAGTATGTTGATAAAACTCATGTCAATTTTGACTGAAGTTTTCATATGCTTCACAATCAAAATACACTAAATTTCAAGGTAGTATGCAGTATGCTCTAACATTTTCGTTTAAGCAAATTACTTACGATAGCTTAATATTAGGGTTCTAGATAACTCAAAATATAGCCACTTTATTTTAAGACACCTGCCAGTGTATATATGTTGGTAATTCCCTATGCAAATTTTTCCCAAGATTCATGCTTCTATGTACAGCTTTTCATGAGTTGGTTGCTATAGTCTTCAGTTGGTCCCAAAAAAGTTGTAAGATCGTAGATGCAAAATAGAGCAAAATGGCCCTGGCCCATGGGTTTGTCGCTGTATTCTTCTTGTGAATGTATTTGTTTTGGTTGATATCCAAAAACTTGCACAATATACTATACCATTTTTCTTATTAGCAATTCAAGTAACTGATTCCAGCGGAAATGCTTTTTGAGAATCTTTCAATTCCTTGTTTACACATTTAAAACAATTATTTTCAGATTGATGGTGTCGAGCAACTAAACAACATCTTGGTCATTGGTTTGTTCCCATTTTTATTTACACAAATAGTTATCCCTGCGCACGAAAGGTCTCTTGCTTTTTCACATATACATAAGGCCAAACCTCGTATCTTCGTATATCAGGACTGACATTGTCAGACCTAGTCTGGTCTTCTTCATGAATGCAAAGAAGGGACCACATCATTGCAGAAAATTATTCTGTATTGATTCTGTATTGATTCTGTATTGATTCTGCATTGATTCTGCATTGATTTTGTACTGATTTTGAACTGATTCTATATTGATTCGTACTGGTTCTGAATTGATTCCGGACTGATTCTGTATTGATTCTGCATTGATTCTGTACTGATTCTGTACTGGTTCTGCATTGATCCTGTGTTAGTTCTGTATTGATTCTGTACTGATTCTGTATTGATTCTGTACTGATTCTGTACTGATTCTGTACTGATTCTGAACTGATTCTGTACTGATTCGTACTGGTTCTGCATTGATCCTGTGTTAGTTCTGTATTGATTCTGTACTGATTCTGTACTGACTCTATATTGATTCTGTACTGATTCTGTATTGATTCTGTACTGATTCGTACTGGTTCTGCATTGATCTTGTGTTAGTTCTGTATTGATTCTGTATCGGTTTTGCATTGATTTATTTTTGTATTGGTTTATTTTGTAATTATTTTTTGTTGCCATACTTCTTTCTCACCTCCAGGAATGACAAATAGAAAAGATTTGATCGATGAAGCTCTTTTGCGTCCTGGTCGTCTCGAGGTGCAGATGGAAATTGGTATATAAATTTGGCATTTTTCATAGTATTATTTTCATTTTGCCATTCACAATCTCCATGTTTTTTATGCTAAAGAGTGTGATCTAGAATAACTGAATCATCCAGGATGCTGTTTCGGTCATTTATGTATTTTAGAGCTATAAAAGTAACCATTCCGCTGATTTAGCTGCATATATGATATCCATTTGATGTAAACTCTTTAATCAACTCATAACACTTGTGAAGCAAGTAATGAAGTTGCTTCATATAATAGTAGAGATATTTGGCACAAAGAATTGCAGACTAGCCCACTGGCTTAAAACACTCATTTGATAATTCGTATGACTTATGACTGATAATTCAAAAGTGTTGCCTTGTAGGGTTGCCGGACGAAAAGGGCAGGCTAAAGATCCTAGAAATTCACACCAATGGACTTCGTAAAGCGGATAAATTGTCAAAAGATGTCAGCTTGGAAGTCCTTGCAACAGAAACGAAGAATTTCAGTGGAGCTGAGATTGAAGGCCTTGTTCGCGCTGCGGGATCGTCGGCGATGAACAGATTGGTGAAGGTGCAGATATTTTTACAATATCTTTGATAGCGATTTCTTTTTACCCAGTTTTAGCTTATGGATGACATAATAATGTCGATTTCTTGTTTACCAAAAATGAAAAAACCAAGAAGTATTTTTGCGCTATCAGCTCAAGATTTACCAACTTTTGGTTTTTTCTTTCTTTTTTTTATCAAGTCTAATGTCCAGCGACGCTAAAGCTAATTAAAACCAACTATTTCAATTACCATCACACAATTTGAATCATACATAGCCAACTTTGCTTATGTGTTGCTTGGAAAGGCAATATTATGAAAGCTCTAACAATGAAAGTTCAAACAATGAAAGCTCTAACAATGAAAGTTCAAACAATGAAAGCTCTAACAATGAAAGTTCTATGAATGAAAGTTTGAACGATGAAAGTTCTAACGATGAAAGCTCTAACGATGAAAGTTCAAACGATGAAAGCTCTAACAATGAAAGTTCTAACAATGAAAGTTTGAACGATGAAAGTTCTAGCGATGAAAGTTCTAATGATGAAAGTTCTAACGATGAAAGCTCTAACAATGAAAGTTCAAACGATGAAAGCTCAAACGATGAAAGTTCTAACGATGAAAGTTCTAACAATGAAAGTTTGAACGATGAAAGTTCTAGCGATGAAAGTTCTAACGATGAAAGCTCTAACAATGAAAGTTCTAGCAATGAAAGTTCAAACGATGAAAGTTCTAACGATGAAAGTTCTAACAATGAAAGTTCTAGCGATGAAAGTTCAAACGATGAAAGTTCTAACGATGAAAGCTCTAACGATGAAAGTACTAGCGATGAAAGCTCTAACGATGAAAGTTCTAACGATGAAAGCTCTAACAATGAAAGTTCAAACGATGAAAGTTCTAACGATGAAAGTTCTAACAATGAAAGTTCTAACGATGAAAGTTCTAGCGATGAAAGTTCTAACGATGAAAGTTCTAACGATGAAAGTTCTAACGATGAAAGTTCTAACGATGAAAGCTCTAACAATAAAAGTTCTAGCGATGAAAGTTCTAACGATGAAAGTTCTAGCGATGAAAGTTCTAACAATGAAAGTTCTAGCGATGAAAGTTCTAACAATAAAAGTTCTAGGGATGAAAGTTCTAACAATAAAAGTTCTAACGATGAAAGTTCTAACGATGAAAGTTCTAGCGATGAAAGTTCTAACAATGAAAGCTCTAACAATGAAAGGTCTAACGATGAAAGTTCTAACGACGAAAGTTCTAGCGATGAAAGTTCTAACGATGAAAGTTCTAGCGATGAAAGTTCTAACGATGAAAGTTCAAACGATGAAAGTTATAACAATGAAAGTTATAACAATGAAAGTTCTAACAATGAAAGTTCTAGCAATGAAAGTTCTAGCGATGAAAGTTCTAACGATGAAAGTTCTAGCGATGAAAGTTCTAACAATGAAAGCTCTAACAATGAAAGGTCTAACGATGAAAGTTCTAACGACGAAAGTTCTAGCGATGAAAGTTCTAACGATGAAAGTTCTAGCGATGAAAGTTCTAACGATGAAAGTTCAAACGATGAAAGTTATAACAATGAAAGTTATAACAATGAAAGTTCTAACAATGAAAGTTCTAGCAATGAAAGTTCTAGCGATGAAAGTTCTAACGATGAAAGTTCTAGCGATGAAAGTTCTAACAATGAAAGCTCTAACAATGAAAGGTCTAACGATGAAAGTTCTAACGACGAAAGTTCTAGCGATGAAAGTTCTAACGATGAAAGTTCTAGCGATGAAAGTTCTAACTGAAAGCGATGAAAGTTCTAACGATGAAAGTTCAAACGATGAAAGTTATAACAATGAAAGTTATAACAATGAAAGTTCTAACAATGAAAGCTCTAACAATGAAAGTTCTAACGATGAAAGTTCTAACGATGAAAGTTCTAGCGATGAAAGTTCTAACGATGAAAGTTCAAAGGATAAAAGTTCAAACGATGAAAGTTCTAACGATGAAAGTTCTAGCAATGAAAGTTCTAACGATGAAAGTTCAAACGATGAAAGTTCTAACGATGAAAGTTCTACCGATGAAAGTGAAAGTTCGAACGTTATATATTTTATTGTAGCCTCAAGGTGGGAACCTTTCATGTCCATAAAGAAAGATTTTTAGAAGCGTTTGATTTGAAAGGTTTACCATGCCCTGAGGTTGTAATATATTGTTAGCAGTATCGAAAATATTCTTTCTTTGCACATCGTAGTTATGGCAGAGCAGCAAAAATATATGATATTGTTCCAATTCCTCAACTCCATCGTTGGTTGGGCATATTGGATTTACTGTGTTTTTAAAGTTATGGGCAAATTTGTGAAGATTTAGCTTACTTTAAACAAACACGAAGCTGTGTTAGAATTGCTAAGCCTCTCGGGTCGTGAATGCTGTAGACTGGGTGGGGTAGGGGACGAATGAGTTTTAAAAGTTTCTTTTTGAAAATTCCCAGAGTTGAAGATTGTCTTGATTCCGGGTCAAGTTTATTCCATCCCGAAAGACAGATAGGATAAAAACTTGCGCCAAAGCCTAATTATAGCTGGTCTACGAAGGCAATAGTTGGATTGTGGAAGGGGTGGAATAAGTTTCCCTTTATACTATGGTGCTAGTTTGTTAACAAACTTGAAAAATAAGACTAGACGCTTGCTCCAACGTCCTAGGTTTAGCGATTCCCACTCAAGCTCCTCATACAGTTTATCCCGAAATGTACCTTTTCCATGCGCCAGTTACTACTAGTGCTGCAGAGTTTTGAACGGATTCAAGTTTTTCCATCAGATGATTCAATTTCAGACTTTCACTATATGCGCACTTCGTGGCCGGTATGTGATAAATAACGTCACCGTAGTCTAAATGCAGTCTTACGTATAGTTTATAAAGCTTGTTGAGGGTATGTCGAGGTAAATAATTTTAAAGATATTTGATCAACCCTATTCCTTGTCTGGATTTAGAAAATATTCAACAGAATTTCATTTAGCTTCATCACTTTTAGGTTTGGGCAATCAACACCATCAAGAGTCTCACGCCAACGATACATGTCTATGCTTTTTCTTATTGAATCTATATCAGCTTTGTCGTAGGACCAGACTTTTCGTTTGAATGTGTTCTTTAATTGGAGCCCTTCTATTTGCAGGCAGTTGGCAGTGTTTCTGTTGACCCAGATGCTGCACAAAAATTGCAGATTGATAATGACGACTTCCAGCTTGCCCTCCAAAATGATATCAAACCAGCATTTGGGGCACACATAGAGGACTTCGAGAATTTTATTGCCAATGGTATGCTCTAGCATGGTTTCATTCATTTGTCTGGCGAGATTAATGGCTTGAAGATAGACTGTCTTTGTTGCATAACGTGTCGATACTTTGTGAAGCAATCAGATAACGTAATCATTACTTAAAAAGCGCTTTGCATCGAGAGTATTACAGTACAGAGCTGATTGGCAATGGGGTAAAATGCATTGGTCACATTTTGCTGTATGACAAAAAATTAAAATGACAAGAAACTAAACTGTGTTAAGCGATTTAATTTTCGTGGAGTAACAAACCAATTCAGTTTCTGCGTATTGATTCTTGTGCTCTGTTTTCTCGTCGTTTAGAAAACCCTGAGCTCACGTGAACTACATTTCCCTCACGAAAGTGCAGTTCGAAGGTCGATTGCGCTTTCAGACAAAAATAAATTTAGGCTGGCGATAACGACTCTTTAATTTAGTGAAAATAATTTTTTGAGAAGCTCTTCCAAAATTAACCAAGACGTTAAAGTGTTGCAAAACTTTTGGGTTTTTTATCTGTTAGCATTTTTTGATAAAATGAGAAACCTTTGCGCTAAAATCTTTTCGCAAATCAACTGATGTCAAATAAGCAAAGAACAGCAAAGTCAGGTGACTTGGACTCAGTTAAAATGGGCCAATAAAACCTGGTAATTTTTTGCAAACTGGTTCTTGAAACACAAATGTTTTTGAATAAAGAGAAATACGTGTTTACTCTCAGTTGGGAAAAATATTTGCATGGAGATGCCATCGATCGATTATAAAACATGGATGACATTTGGTAACATTTTACCAGATCATAAAGGTTCTTGAAAAGCAGACATATCATTAAGTGGAGGGCCAACAAGCCACATTATTTCTTTGCCGCTGCAAATCTTGCTGAAATCGATCGGTACGAGGGTACATTCTCAATTATTTATCATTTTCCTTACAAAATTTACCGACAGCTTTTTAAAGTTCATTTGTTTGTGAACATTTAATGCAATTTTGTGGTGCGAGGATGGTTAGAGGCGCTGACTACAGAGCCAAGGGCCTGTAGTTCGAGTCCCTGGTATAACCAAACTTTCACCCAGAGGGAGTAAAGTCGCAAGCTCCCTTTAATTCCAGGGATAGGAATCACGATGTGTGGTCACATGGAGAGAAAGGACCACGATGAGGTTTAGTCACATCGAGAAGAAGGACCAGGACACTGCTCGTTAAGCATTAAGCTTCCCAGTGTCCTAAAACTACCTTTGGATGCTAGATAGAAACAAATACAAATACAAATTCAAATACAACTACAAACATTTTGCGTAATGATGCAACCCAGTTTTGATGAAAATTGAGAATATGGCGGAACGTTCAGCCGTTGGTGTCGCGAGAACTCTTGCATTTATTGACCGTGACAAATTTTCTATGCTTGTTGTTTTTCAATTTTTTTTGCATGTGTCGAAAGCGGCAGTCTTTGTGCATCCAATGATATTCGCAATTTAAGGATAGCTTTTTCCCATCATTGTGATAAAACATTATTTCTAGACACTGCTCAGAAGTCAATTCTTTTGTTTCGGTCTGCTTATATAATAAATAGGCTAAAGGCCAAGAAAAATTCGAGTAAATTTATAAGGACATTTTTATGAAAACTGCTTTTAAAATTTGTAAACAAATTTCTCTAACAACAGATTCACACCAAATTCGAAACTGTCCGGATACGTTCGTGAGGGGAGTGTAGATCCTTCAATGCTCAAATGATCCTCGTGGTACGTGGCGGTGGAATTTTATTCTGAACTGGTGATAATGATTGTTTTGAAAAACCTAGAGTGACTGGCTCTTTTAATAGGTTCCTTGAAATTTCAGGCATTATCAAATGGGGATCACCATTCGAGAAAGCGCTGGATGACTGCAAGTTGCTAATTCAACAGACAAGGAATGGAGCACTCATTTCGCCAGTTAGCGTTCTTCTTGAAGGTTTGTTCAATACGCGATAGCTACTTGAGTATTTCTGTTTTTTGAACGGCCCTTTTGAGCGTTCTGTACAGCGTATTGCTGACTGAAAGGATGAGGCAAGTAGCAAGTTGCCAATTATTTTCGTCAAAACAAATGAATTCTGTATTTTGAGCTAACTTAAACTAGCTGATCTGAATAACATCTTCTGGGGGACAGAGCTATGTGGGTATATGCTCGAAATTCCTTCTTCTTTTCTCATTTTCTGCATGGTTCCCCCTTGCAGACGCTTCCGGGCAGTGGTGCTGTGAAGGGAGACCTTTTGGGGCTCAACCCCCTTAACAAGCCTTTCTATGAGAATGAACCCTTTCCCTTTATAATGCTTTTGATTTCCATGAATAAGCATTTATTAGCCTTGTAGAGTTGGTGAATTGTTTGAATGATTTTGATACACAACAGAGAATCTTTAACAAAAATGCAAGTATATAAACTTTTACAATGGGTTTTGTATTGGGTGTGGCTTCTACAGCACAGTCCCCTTACACAACGTTTTAGGGCGGCATCCCTGAGTCCAGATCTTCATGTAGTTACTCTGGACTTCATCATCTACCCGATATAAGTGTAGGGACGTACCGGAAATTCTCAAATTAGCCCCCCCCCCCGGCGGCTTATTTACTTTTATATTTTTGGATGGGGGCTTATTCGAAGGAGAGCTTTTACGAGGGGGGGGGGCTTTTAAAATTATTGTAGACATTAAGAAGACATCATTAAAAGATTAAAAGAATTCTTTAAAGCGCCAAAGGCAACCTCAGATGGTAAAAATCATCAAATTGAGGGGTCTAATTCGAGAATTTACGGTAGCAATGGTGGCTTATTCGAAGGGGGGCTTATTTACAATTTGTAATTCTAGGGTGGCGGCTTATTCGAGAGGGGGCTTTTTCGAGGGGGGGGGCTTTTTCGAGGGGGGGGGGCAATTCGAGGATTTACGGTATGTGATGTTTTGTTCTCTTCGGCCCTATTTCATATCCTTGTTTGCAATTTCAGGTTGTCTTGGTAGCGGCAAAACTGCATTAGCTGCGAGTCTTGCCGAAACAGCGGGATTTCCTTTTGTTAAGGTTTGCTCTCCTGAACATATGATTGGCTTTACTGAAGGTGCAAAATGTCAAGCAATCAAAAAGGTAAAGTTTGTATTTTCGATCTTCAACTTCTTCTACATCTTTACATTCTTTTCAATTTGTCTTAGAATTTGAAATTAGAGATTAGAATTTGAATATCGTTCAGCCCCTGGTGGTTGTGTATTAGTAAAATTTAAAAGTTTTTAAATTTCTGCTGGCAAGAGCCCATGTCCCTGTTCTTTGCTGGAATTAAGGCTTTACCTAGAAGCATTTTAAACTCATGCCCGGATACCACTTTGTCTCACAATCGCTTTTCGAACCATGCGTCAGTTTTGGCCCTGTTTACACGAAATCGGGATCCAAAAAGTAAAGTATCCATTCGGATCCGATCTGATATTTGAGGAGTGTTTCCGCTGGATCGGATCTGAAAATATCTGTGTTTATACGGGATCTGACCCGTATGGATTCAAAGCATTCAACCTATAGCGGAAAAATGTTTACTTTGTTTCTCAAGCAAACCTTGCAGCAGTAGAGCCCTCTCCTTACCAGTTCAACCAAAACTTTTCTGTTTGGTCTTTTATCAACCTCTTGTTAAAGGATACCATGTAGGAAGTACTGTTTGGATCAGAACTCATCCTCGAGATCTTTTTGGAATCGGATCCAAACGGGACAATCTTCAAAAGCAATCCCAAACTGGAACGGATAGCTGATCCAAATCGGATCGGATCCATCAAGTCCCGTGTAAATGCAAGGCCTATCTATACCACTATGGGAACAGTACGGATCCATTCGAATCCGATCAGACCCTTAATCAGGAAAAATTTGTTGTTTTTTTCTTCAGATCTTTGATGACGCTTACAAATCGGAGCTAAGCTGCATTGTTGTTGATGATATCGAAAGGCTGATTGGTGAGCGATTTACGAATTATATTGAAATCGAATGGAACGATGTGTTTTACATATATAATTTTACGTTATCCAAGATCCGTAGTTCAAGCAAATATGGTTTGTCCCTAATCAATAGGTAAGGAGAATCTTTAACGTTGAGTGTTGTAGCATACTCTCTCTTGGATCCAGACTTCTCTGTTTCATCTATCACGTTCTATTAGTATTATTTTAGTTGTTATGTTCCGTTTCACAAAATGATGTCTTAATTGGGTTATTCTTTGAGATGACTTTAAATATTACAAGTTTCTCATAAGACAGAGACAAATTTACGTCAGTGGTAGGGTTAGCTGCATCAACTCGCTGAAATATCCACAGTGGTTTTGCGAAATTCGATCTGTGCTTCCTTAGAGCTTTCTTGTGTCAACTGGCAACAAATCTTTGCCAAGAAAGCTTCATTTCGACCCTAAAACTGAATTTTCCCCCAAATTTTATGAAATTTGCTGATCCAAGCTTCTCCTTCCTCTCGGATACATGCTACGCCATTTCTCCGCTTGTATCTTTCACTTGTAGCAAATAAGAAACACTGCAATACGCCGACAATAAACAACAAGAAATACACGTAAATCAGTGAAGGCTAATATTTCGCCTCGGCATACGGGGCTTCATCAGAGCAAAAGTTCAATCTTTTACTTCCTCGCTTGAATGCATTTGGCTCTGGTACCCAGGGCATTAATCTTTGCCACTGTTGTTAGCGCATGGTGGTATCAATTTGATTTAATTTATTCCATGTAGCATTTTCATTTTTATCATTAGACTTCGTTCCTGTTGGGCTTCGGTTTTCTAACGTTGTGTTACAAGCTTTAATGGTTTTGTTGAAAAGGGGATTACCAAAAGTGAGTATTAGTTTAATATGCATGGAACTCGGTAATTGAATTTATGAAGCTATGCATATCAGTCTGAAATGTTGAACTTCTTTCATTGTTTCCAATTAAACTCCTGTAATACTCTAACATTTAAGCAATTTCTAGACCACATTGTTTCAGACATCATTAAGTAGGGGCATTGCAATAGAAATTGAGAATTTCAACCAAGTGCAACATATCTGTATTCGAAGTTGTGGCATATATTGTTGTGGGTGGAGTCGGGTGGAAATTTTGATTGTTGCTAGGTAATGCTCTATTGATATTTGTACCTGCAATTTCCGAAATCGTAAAGAGCATCTAACTTCCTTTGGTTATTGTTTTTATCTGATGACAATCTGTACTTTCCCAAAACAGTTATAATGGTATTTTTGCCTGACGGCTCACCAAGTGAAATATCTCTAGGTACTTCTTAAAGAAGCCATGAATTGCACTGAACGCCGCATTTTGGTTTAAATACAGAAAAATTCTAGTATGTCTAAATGTAAAGATGAAAAAACAAAAAGCCTTTCTTTGCCATTAGATCCTAAAATTGCGGTGGGAATATGTTACAGTGTACTCTAAATTTCCTCATGAATGTTGATCAATTGTCTTCTTGATTTCCGTAGGGACGAAAGCTCCTTATCATTGGCACCACCAGCTGCAGGGATGTCTTAAAAGAGATGCAACTATTGCAGATCTTCCATAACGTCATCCATATACCTGCAATCACGAGACCTTCTGAGATAATGACTGTAGTTCAGGTTTGTCACTTAGACAGCTGTATAATGCACACCATATTCAGTGTTTTTTGGTAGATGGTATCATGACTTCGGAAAGCGATCACTCGCTGTACCCTGGACCATTTGTAGTAACTGCTATCATAAGTATTTTATATTTAATTTGGTAATATAAGAATTTCCTGGCAAAAGAAGTTTGGAACAAGATATCTTATATACAATGTTAACCGTAGACATGACATTGACGCTAGGCCAGAGTTTTCAGTTAAACGTATCTAAACCATTCACTGCTGATTTTTGCATCAGTTTTTATTGCTCTTCACACCGTTTATTCATTTGAAAACTGTTTTATGACGTTTATTGTATTTTTGTGGATGGGTATTATTAAAAAGTTCAATTCATTGAACTGATGGAAATGGCAGTGCGAAAGTGTCTGTATCTGTGTTTGGTCTTACCCTTGTCGATGTATAGATGACATTGATCGAAAGGCAGTTGAGAAAAGGAGTCATTACTCTCCTTTAAACCAGTATGGCTCTCTTTTTGTAAGGTGAGGGTGTGCGAGGCAAAAACCTAACATATTTGTATATTTAATGCATCCCCCTATTTTTGCTATGACGCTTGGTAAATTCGTTGTTCTAACAATTTACCCTTACACAACTGAACGTCTTTTAAAATTTTAGGGGCTGAACCAGTTTGAAGAGAACGAATTAGCCTTCATTGAGGAAAACATCATAAACATCTCGTTAGTAACATCCATTCATATCTATCGTTAGTGACATCCATTCATATCTATCGTTAGTGACATCCATTCATATCTATCGTTAGTGACATCCATTCATATCTATCGTTAGTGACATCCATTCATATCTATCGTTAGTAACATCCATTCTTGTTCTAGAGAGTTACACCTGCCGGTGTTGGATAGCCCGTTGTGCTCTTCTCCTTGCTTTTAAGTATTAGCAACGAATTTCTCATTGATTTGTTTAAATACCTTCTTATAACAATATTTCTTAATATAACTAGGCTTCAGATAATCCCCTTTGAGAACTAAGCATCAAGCATCATTCGGAATACAAGGAGAATAAATTCTCTATTTTGCTCTGCTAGATCCGAATCTAGAACACAATAGTGACTGAAAGGAATTTTCCTTACCACTTTGCAACCTTTAGGTGTGTCAGAAAAAAATTATTGATAATAAGATATCTTTGCAAATACCCTTCTGGCATGACAACTCTCAGTTTATTGATGTTTATTACAAAACCAAGTAATGACAGCTCATTTTTTTCAAAACCCAGTACTGACTGCTTGTTTTTTGTTTTGTTGTTGTTGCAGTGTCAACATCGGCGTCAAAAAGCTGCTAGGCCTAGCTGAAATGGCTTTACAGGTAAGCGCCACCACAGAGGCAATATTTGCTCAAGTCACCTTTCGCTTTGGTACGAGTTTTCATGGAACTCGCTGTTATACAGTTCTATAAAGTAAACATCACTGTGATAGCATAGATATTAATATACTAAAACGTAGGTGACATGATATTCTTGATATTCCCACCTTCCCTGTCATTTAAAAATTTGAAATAATTTCGAGAATATTTGGCTGATTGTACGGGACGACCTTGTTTGTTCTGTAGTAACAGGTAAACTTACTTGCTATTTATTGTACCATTGCAAAAGTGGATGACATGCTGTATGGATTTTGCCTTGATCCAAATCAAAAACAGAAGTCACCAATGTTTTGTTGGGTTTTGTGTGATGTTGGATTGTTGGGTTGTGTGTGATGTTGGATGAATTTGAGCAACTTTCTGTCCAACATTTAAAAAGAGTTCAAATTCAAGTATTTGGTGGAATATTGGATAACATTGATATCAGGGCCTAAATGACTGAAATAGCAAAAGTACCAGAGAACCGTGCTCTTGGCGCAGTTCCACTGCCGATGTCCTGTTTCCAAGAATGAACACTTGCAGTTGTCTAACAGCTATCTTTCTAGGATGCAAAGGCCTGGAATAAATTTTCTTTGGATGATAAACAAGCATTTTTTAAGTGAATTTGAAAGTAGGCTGAAAAGGAATTTGCCCTTCTCATCCTAGCTTTATTTACTTTTCTATCTTTTATTCTAAGCATAAACTTAGTTTTTAATAATTGTTTAAGATTTTATTATAATTTGGTGGCCCCTTTGTAAATCATACCTCCTGAATGATAAAACAGCCGTATAGAAATAACGAAGATATAATGAAACAAAAAAGCATGAAGTATAACGAGGTGCTGTTCAATGTACTTCTTGAAAAGTCCCTTCTCAATTAAAATTAATCTTGGTTTCTTTTCAAGGATGATGCGTCAGCTAGAGCTCAAAAATTCGTTACTTTGTTGGAAAACTGGTCGTAAGTCACTTTTGAAGTAACCTTTTATTCACTTTGATGAAATCCTTCAAGCATGAAAGACTCCCATAATTTCAGGGCCATGCTTCGTCATCAATATTCTTTGATCGTTGCTGATTTTCTTCACGTTTGCCCTGTGGTTTTATGAAAGTATTCTTGTTGTGAAGATTAAGGCAGAAGTATAGGCAGTAAAGATACATTGTTGGATTTTATATTCATTAACAAGATTAAGAACATTACTGCATCAAAGTGAATAATAATTGCCTGACTCTTATTCTATTCGCAACAGTCCTCTGCGAAGACTGATGCACTTACTGATATAAGCACACTAAATAGTAACTAATCTAATAGCCCAACGATCCTCTGTATCATTCATTTTTGTTGCAGATATTTTGGGTAATCACGATAAAGAGTTGGTAATAACAGAAAACAACATTCTAGATTATTTAGCTGATATTTTTGAATGATGAACCGGTCTTTAGATCGTCAAATTTCAACGTACAGAAATTTTTAACATTTTTCTCTGGCTATTTTCATTCAGATTGACACTGTTCCTTCGACTTGTAAAACTATTTTTCATTTATTATATACTTTAAAACTATATTAACACTCATAAATGTTATTAAAATATAATTAAAGATAATAAGGCAGGTCCCAGTGTTCTGGGTTAAGGTCTTGAAAAATCAAAACACTTCCCATGATGCAATAATGGCAGAAAACAAAATGCAGGCCCAGTGTAACGGACACTGTTCGGAATAGTGACATTTTCCGTTATATATAAAATTTTCCGTTGTATTGTAGCTCGTATTTGTTAATGACATTATTTCATATTGAGATAATTGCTGGCAAGGGTAGATTGTTGTTAATAAATGTATGGTGCAAAAAACAAACATGTTATGCAAGTTTCTTGGCTAACAAAACTAACATTGTATTTTTCCTTGTGCGGCAAACGCAGGGTGGACCTGAAACAAATGCTTAAAAACAAAATATAAGACAACCCCTATTTTCAAAATGATTAAAAATTCCTGCTGTTATTAATCGTAAGAGATTTATGCTTTTGCATTGATCACGTAGCTGGCGAATCATTTTTTTATTTGGGCATAATTTGCAATAAATTTTGCTATTTGTTCAGTTGTTTTTTCTGGCATTCTGTATCTTTGGCACTGGCAATCGAGTTTCCAGTTTGTTTCCATTTACTTCTCCCTCTCATCTTCCTCCAATTTTTCTGTTTCACCTTGAGCTGTCGTTAGCTCTTCTATTTTTCTTAAAACTTCTTCGATGGCAATTTCTTCGATGATGTTCCAACCAAATGTTTTACTCACTTCATCGGCATATGCTGTTCCCTCCGAGGCTCCCTCCTCTGAATTGCAGGGCTTTTGATCAGTTTCTAGGCACTTATCAACAATGACTGTATCCCCATGCTTCAAACACAGAGTCGTGTTTTCATCCTCAGGCTGTGAGATGGCTGTCCTAGGGAATCCACGCTTGAGAATCTGTTTCTCGGGTTCGATGCCGAAATTTCGTTTGACCAAACTCTGAAGCTGTTTGTACGTGATTTTGTTCACGATTTCGATTTGCACTTTTTTCCCGCTGAATGAAAGACAGATCTTTGGGCTGCAAGTTTTCGCTGGTTGCTGTAACGAATTTATGCATTCGCTTTCTGTTTGTGATTTTACTGCATTCCCCTGCTCTTTTTTCACCTTTCCTGCTTTCAACTTTTTGCTACCCTTTGATCTGTGTTCTTTAACAGCCTAAAAAAAATTCCATGAAATCTTAGTCACAGTAAAGCCGTCTTTGATACAATAATTTGTTATTGGTTTCAATAATGGTTGCCATTGTAGCTCCCATAAACAATTCTCAAGTGACAGTTGCAGTAATGGGAATAACCATTTAATGCCATGTAAACTTTCAAGGCACCCCGAGATAAATGGAATTTCATTAAACTCAGAGACGTTGACAAGGAAGGGAAAAGAGAGCAAAGACACTCTATGTTGGTCTTAGGCCCCCTTTACACGAGCCTTGGAATGATTCCATTCCTGGTCAGTTCAACAAACTGCAGTAAAAAATTTTCGGTTACCCGGGTCAGCTGGTTCCTTAAGACGATGGAATTCTAACGAAACCTATTAAATACCCTGGCATTCCACATACTTAATGATCACTCCCTAAACTGATTTATTAACTTGCTTGCTTGGTAGTCAAGTTAGGCTATTAAGGTCTGGAAAACTTCCCAATTTATCTTGTTCTAGACCAATACAAAATTACTGCCAAAATTCGTATGTACCTCTGTCGATGCAGCTTCAAATAGAGGCTTGTTCTGGCTGACTTTCTCGCAGCTTCCTTGCAAATCCATCTGATTCGAGATGTTTGTTGTCCTCCAGCTATTTACTGCATCATCTATTAAGTAGAAAATGGAATGTGTCAATTTTTTCTTATCGGATACTTAGGTAATTTTCCCATTATCACGGAAAGGTTCAATTTCGGCATAACTTTTAAAGACTAGTAATAAACCGAATCTTCCTTGGCCCAAAGTCTAATCATGATGTATATATTTTGGATGCAGTTTCTAACCATCCAAAGAAAGTTCTACTGAACACTTTGAAAATTACCCCTTAACAATCATGAAATTTTGGCGCAATGGTAAAGGTAATCTATGAGTTTTTCACGGTCAATATAATTTTATACTTTTCTGGTGGCCAACCTTTGTGCCAGCCTTCATGGAACCACTAAAACAATCTCAACAGTGTGATATCCCGCTTCAAATGACGCTTCCCGGTTCTGATTGAGCTGAACTAAGGCATTGTTTGCTAGGGGGTACCAGAAAAGATTTTTAGCCAAGCTCCTTCCCCCCCCTAGCTAATTTTAAGCCACTACGCCACTGATGAGGATAGCAAAACACCAAATAAATATTCATTGTGTCAGAACACAACTCGCCATGTTGATTTCCAAACTCCAGCATCTTTGGACTTTTGTGACAGGCAGAGCCACCGAGAAGGGAGCAAGGGGGGCAAATTGTCACAGAGTCTCGAGGTCTATGGGGCCTCATAAAGTAATGAATTTCATTTTAAGAGTGGAGTTAATCAAGTGCAGCAAAGTATGCATAAAGACAGTAACGCGTTTTAAAATATTGCAAGAAATAAATGCAAGAAAAATTTTGAAATGCATTTAAGCTAATCCAAAGGGCAAGGTCACAAACATTTTCTGTTTGCTTTGCTCGCATAGGGCACTTTCTTTCGGTTTTGTACCAGGGCCTCTGACAGGTGTATCTTCACCAGTTATACTGTTTTGCGAGACAACTTACAAATCTTGATTTTTATAAAAGTTTTCCGGGAAAAGCTGCTTAAAAATTACCGGTATTTGATTCTAAAGTGTAAAAGCGATTTTTTCTAAAACACGATAACCTGTTGTTACTGAACAGTTGAATGGCCAAACTTTTTATTATTATCAAAAAGTGGGGAAAGCTGACGTGAAACATCTTAAAAACATTGATGGTCATATAAACGTATTTTTATGAAAAAGCTTTCCCTATCTCTTTGCATTATAAAAATATTTTCGGCACCTAAAAGCTCTTCGTAATTTGAAAACATAGCCAGATCTTTCATGAAGCCAGGTCTTGAGATTAAATTTTCTCACCGTGTAAAGTGGCGCATCGACACATGTCACTCCACCTAGCCCATTTAAAGCCCTAAGCCCTAGATACAAAGACCGAGATAAAACTTTTTGTTTCGGGAGGGGGGGGCAGCCGTGATAATTAATTGAAACGACAGTCATATTTTACAAAATAAAAGTACTATACTTATACTACTTAAATTTTTTTGCACCGAACCCTGACCCCCCGGTATCTTGGTCCTTGTTACAAATAACTTGATGAACTCAAGTTTTGTGCACCAGTACATGTTGCTCCATTTAGCTAATGTGAAGCCCTAAGCCTAAGATAATGCTTGACGAACTCAATCTTGGTGATTCGGCACATGTCTTCCACCGAGCCCATATGAAGTCCTAAGCCTTAGATATAGCTTGATGAACTCAAGTTTGGTGCATCAGCACGCGTCTTCCACCGAGCCCATATGAAGTCCTAAGCCTAAGATAAAGCTTGATGAACTCAAGTTTGTTCATCGGCACACGTCTTCCACCTAGCCCATATGAAGTCCTAAGCCTTAGATATGGCTTGATGAACTCAAGTTTGTTCATCGGCACACGTCTTCCACCTAGGCCTTAGATATGGCATATGAAGTCCTAAGCCTTAGATATGGCTTGATGAACTCAAGTTTGATGCATCGGCACATGTCTTCCACTGAGCCCATTTAAAGCTCTAAGCCTTAGATATGGCTTGATAAACTCAAGCTTTGTGCATCGGTACACGTCTTCCACCTAGCCCATATGAAGTCCTGAGCCTTAGATATGGCTTGATGAACTCAAGTTTGATGCATCAGCACACGTCTTCCACTGAGCCCATTTAAAGCCCTAAGCCTTAGATATGGCTTGATGAACTCAAGTTTGATGCATCGGCACACGTCTTCCACCTAGCCCATATGAAGTCCTAAGCCTTGAAATAGCTTGATGAACTCAAATTACAAAACAGTTTTTAAATTTTGGGCAGGGAATTGACAGGAAAAGATCTCTTGTTTCACCAGAGAGCCACCAGTCCTACTGTAGAGTCCTAAAGCATGGGAAGGGAAGTGAAAATATAACCCAGAGCTATCCAAAATAATACATAATGAATGAACCGTGAAGAGAATCCTGCCATGTGAATAAACGTAGACACTTAGAAAATGAATAAAGTTGTCAATGGTTCGAAGAAATACACAATGATTATGAAGTGGAAATAGTCTGGGTACCAGATCCTTGGAGAAAGAACGAATCGAAAACATTGCAAAACCATTAGTGGGGAAGGGTCGAATTTTCTAACTAAGGCTATGCTACCCCTGGGTGGCGAAGAAAAAGCATTCCAAAAAGGCGCGATGAGCCGTACACAAAGCACTTAAATACACTCATCTGGGTGAAGGGACATACTTTCGTGCAAAAACCCAAACTACAGAACTTATTTTTCTCTATTATTCCCTTAAAGCAGTTAATAAAGGCTAAATATAAAAATGAAAGCAGCCTAAACATCCAGCTGTAAAAAATACAATTCAGCTAGAATTAGGACTCCCTAGAAAAATCAAGTTCTACAAGATACATCCTTCGTGCAACTAATCCTGATAAAATTTCCTTTGCAGACTGAAGATAAAATACCCTTTGCCAGAAGTGTAATATAAATTAGTAACTAAAGAAATTAAACCAAAGCAATTACCACGGTAAAGGTAGGCCGTCTTGTTGAGGATTTCTTCAGCTATTTTTGAAATGAGATGTTCGCGATATTCATTGATGTTGTGTTTCACGATGAGCCGATCTGCAATTTCATACGCGTTCGATTTTTTTGACGGATCTGACTCTCTATAAAACCATTCGATTTTCTCTTCGACGTCAGAGTATGGTATCGTGATTGAGATGCTGGGGAAAAATAAGTACATATATATTCGTGAATGGCATTGTTCATAAAATCCGTATACATTGCATATATAGAGCGCAGAATCCGCTAAAATCGTGTCATATATTAGCTTGATATTTCCATATTACTTAAAAATAGAACCAAGATACTTTGACAGCAAGGGCTACGGACCAAGGGGGCTAAAACAATTTTAAGGGCTAAACATGCTCAAAACCAATTTCTATGTTTTTAAGTACATTTTGGAAATAATGGGGAGACTTCCAAATTATGGGGAAATCCTTCCATTTCTGATTAATGGCTATTTAGGTACCACAGCCTCTTGAATCCTGAGATAAAGTATTATAGACAGCTGCGATGGCAAAAAATGAATTCTACGACTAGTTTCGAAATGGAGACTCTGCTTATACCCAGGGAAATTGATAGCGAATGTTTAATTTATATGTTGGTACTTGGAAATATTGTAAACGAATGGACATCTCCCTAACAGCACAAAGTTTGATGTTTTGTTTGCATCATAATTCCAGTGAGATCAGGCCAAACCCTAACAATAGGAATTTCTAAAGACTATACACTACATACTTGTTTATGTCAGTTCTTTCTTTCTAAGATATTACACCCTAGCACTTATTGTCTATCCTAGAGATTCCTTTGAATTGCTCACTAACTTACCTCTCGGGGACATTGTCATACAGTTCACCGTCCCAGTAAACCTTCATTTCACTTTCAACATAATTTGAATCACGGGTTTTCACATAATCTCCATTAACGTACATAATTTCTCCGTTTGCTTTGATTTCTCTTAAAGCTCCTGAACAGCGATCGCACTGAAAAGTAAGTAGACCCTTGTTTATCAAGAGAAAGGAGCAGAATTTAGTCCAGCTTTGACAAAAAGCTGATATGCTTGGCTACTTTTTGCATTAGAAGCGAAAACTTTGGGATTGCCCGAATTTGAAAAATTCTTTGGTTCGGTTAGAAAGTGGGTAGTTGACTGAGGCTCTGGTACTAAGAGTGGCTAGCTCTAAGCCGCTCACACGCTGGATTTTGAATTAAACGGCTTCAGTGCTGAAGGAAGGAAAGAAATATAAGGGATGCCATTGTCTGAGAACAACAGAATCAAATCGCATTGCCTTGAGCCCCCTAAGAAAAATAACAGTAGCGGCCCTAGACTATGGTACTCACATTTTTTACAGCCAAATTATGCTTAATCATTAGTACATGCAACAAATGGATGTGCTCGATGGAGCGGCATGTTACGCACATCATTAGTGTCTGCGCAGATACGGCTTCCTTGGCTGCTTCTATCATCTCAGCATCTGTCAAAGCGATTTGCCTTGTTGCTTTCTCAACCTTATGATAATATGCAGCAACAACATCAACTGATATTTCGTGCAAGTCCATAAATTTTTGTTCCATAAGCGGCACGATATTTTTCCAATATCCCTCTACTAACTCTGCTCCTTTTCCATATGCAGAACATTTGTAATCGATGTTAAAAGGCCCCCAGATATGAGGAATAATGCTGTCTGGCAAGTGGAATTGGCCCATATCCTTTCTGCCTACAAGTGGAACAAAATGGTTTCTAGCTCGACTTGACCATGCAATGAAAATTGGCTCTTTCTGCATGCTTCCCTCATCAAAGACCGGCAGAAATATAAAAGCAAATTTTGATTCTTTTTGAATTTTTTTCTCTCCATCAAAAAGAAAAATAGGTCGATGAAGAATATTGGCCAAGGCAAATATATGTAGATCGGAGAGACCTAACTCTGTGTCCGGCGGTGGCTTGTAATCTGGATCTGCCTCTTTGATGTATTGGTTGAAGCTATCTGGCGAGTAAAATTCATGTAGTTTCTTTTGGTAAAGTTGTTTGTTTTGCTTGAGGTTTCTCTGCATTTCAACCATGAGTGCATGCCAGTAAATCTCGCGGCCAACCAGGCATCTTGATATTGCATGAACCAAACAATGGCCGTCTCCTTCAACAAACAGGGGTACCAATGGACAGTGCTCTGTTTTGTTGAATGATTTGATCTCATTCAAAACATCAGATAGGTATTCCATTGCGGATCCATCTCTGCCAAAATATTCTATATCCACACGGTCCGGTGCAATTTTATAAACGTGACTGGAGAGCTTATAGCAAGGAAACGTTGCGTCGTCGTCGAAATGCTGTACACCTCTTAGGCCCTTACTAGGCCTAAATTGTGTGAAAATTTTAGATAACAAACGGCACTCGTCATTTGTTAGGCCATCAATCCTTATCTCATCTCTGTACGTACATTTATCTCGGATAACCATTGTTTCAATCTTTGCTTTCTGGCAACTTTGTTAACAGAGAGGAATATAATGTTACGTGTTGTGTGTTCTCTGTGTTGTGTGTCAAGACAAATTCACCTTTCGAAACTATTTTCCTGTTATTAACTGGGGATTCCCAGCAGTAGCTTTTCTGGGAACTTCTTTGACGTCATTCTTTATCTTCTCAGAAAAAGCATAGACTATGGATAAATGAATTGAGGGTTTTCCCAGCCCTTTCTGTTGTTACCCAACATACGCCTTAGGCTATGTTCACATTGCTCCGTACTCGTATTTATCCGTTTTCATATCCATCCGTTTTACCTGTTCACACTGCTCCGGATTTATTTGATAACGGTGTGAAAACGATGAAGCGTTCACATTGCTCCGCTCTGGATAAAAAGGAAAACGTCACGAACTGGTTTACAGACCTTGCGACTGCTATAAACTTTTCAAACAACTCACTGCCACTAATATTCCTCCAAGTGTACTTACATCTTGGTCTAAGCATCTTGCTGTGCTGTTGTTGCAGGGCCGCCGGAAGCAGTTTTGAACAGGGGGGGGGGGGCCAAAACGAATAAAAAGGGCACAAATATTTTTTTTCAAAAAAAAAGTACAGATTTCATGCTAATTTAGACAATTAGCATGAAAAGTGCCAAAAATAGTACAGATTTCATGCTAATTTAGACAATTATAAAAATTATGACACACGTTGGACATAATAATGATATTTATTATCTTACTTTCATATTTAAACAATTTTGTCCCCCTTGGTATTCGCACCATCCCCACTTAAACACAAATTTGTTAGCCTCCATGGAATTTACTGTTAAAAGCTAAAAAAATTTATGGTTAAGTCATCTTCACGCAATCGGCTGAAGGTGCTGGCACATTCTTCACTGTCATAGCAAACTTAATTTGCAACATTGATTAAATTTATGTCGTCAGTCTTATGAACGAAACAAGTTTTTAACTTTCCTTAAACTTGATCCCAGGGGGGGGGGCTCAGTCTGTTGGTAAAACGTATTACGTGTGGGTTCCGAAAAACTCGAAAAAAGCTAGAATTCTGGGCCATAGAATCTTGAAAATTGGGTTGCATTCTTAATCAGTCAGAGGAAACACAAAAGGGCAGGAATATACTGATATGATGTTGCAGATAACTTTTTAGATAAATCAATGGCATATTGAAGTATAACAAATTTTGCAGTACGTCTAGTCTTGAATATTGTTCTAATCCTAGATAAGAAATTTAAGTCTTTAAGTTCTAATCCTTAGCATGTACTCATTGCTTGGACACAACTTTTTCATTTCTTCATAAAAAACATTGAACACAATGTTGTGAAGCAAGCAATATGTTGCAGTTATAGTTTTACAGATGTCTGATTTTGTTAATATATGTCAAGAACCACAAGGGATCGTTGTTGAAATAAAATTTAGTGAACTCTGCTTTTTAACTTGCCTAATCATAAGTTTAAGAAAAATAATGGTTGTAACATGAATTGGTATCAAAAATTCCTGCTCAAGCTTAAATATTCTCAGTGAAAAGAGTTACACAATTTTGGCAAAGTCACAGAATAGGGTACATTTTACGCATCCCAGAATCAGGGATAGGGCTCCAGTTTCTACTTTCAAGAACGCACATGATATACATTGGACTTACTGACTGTGCCCGCCGGGGACTTGACCGGACCCTTTCACTAATGCGTTTGTTGCTGAAGACATACTAAGAAAATTTTCTCGCGGAACTGGGCAGTCTCCTTCGCAGTTGATATTGTTCATCACAGGAGCTTGCGCTTTTCGCATCAAGACCAAGTAAACACTTAAGGAATTTTCAATGAATGGTCCTCCAACAACCTCCAGAGTTATGTTATTTTACTTAGTTTCTAAGGGCAGAATATCTGGCATTGAAAAAACACACGAAAAATATTTTTCAAAAAGGGGCATTTGTTTATACTTTTTGCAAACAGGGGGGGCCTGTGCCCACGTGACCCCCCTGGCTCCGGCGGCCCTGTGTTGTTGTTATCGTTTTCAAAAGTATCCGTTTTCGGTGTTCACACTGCCTTTTGCGTTTTCGAAAGTCTCCGTTTTCAAAAGTCTCCGTTTTCAAAGTGCGTTTTCAAAAGTCTCCGTTTTCAAAGTGCGTTTTCAAAGGATCCGTTTTCGGTGTTCACACTGCCTTTTGCGTTTTCGAAAGTCTCCGTTTTCAAAAGTCTCCGTTTTCAAAGTGCGTTTTCAAAAGTCTCCGTTTTCGCCGCGGAGCAGTGTGAACGCAAGGTGAAAACGGATACTTTTTTATCCGTTTTCATTGGAATCCGGAGCAATGTGAACGGCCTAAAGGAATTATTTGAATTAATCTACTTTCATCTTTCGTACTGTATTGATTTTCAGAATATTTTCATCTTTCATACTGTATTGATTTTCAGAATATTTTTTAGAGATTTGAGATTCAACTTCAAATGTATTTTTCAATTTTCTGATTCACTTCACCTATGACAAAGAGTCTTAGGCTCCGTTCACATTGCTCCGGATTGTTTGGCCCTCGCTAGCCGTCAAAAGATGAAACATTTAGAGAATGATCTCTTGAGAAAAATTGGAATGAGACTCTGATATTTGATAGTTTAAAAGTTGAATTGAGAAAGGCAAATATTTTACAGCATACTTCAAGCTTTTTTGTCTAACACTCCTCAGAGTGGAACGTCAGAATAAGGCTTCGAAAGAAATTCGTTCTACATTAGGAAAAAGCCGCTATTGTGTAGACAGTTGGAGTTCCTTTTTTCCCTTTGAATCCAGTGGTAATTTTTTTATAGGTACATGGTACTGATTGGACAACTATACTGGTATATAGAATAATAGACTTGTGTACTTAACAAGGCACATACAGTACTAGAACACTCCAAAATGGACAAATTCCCAGGAAAGCTCCCTAGTTGAGCCCTTGTGGTAATTCTAGGTCATCTTTTTGAACAATAAAAAACTAGGCTTTTCATTCTAGCGCAAAACAAGACTGGTAAACATTTCAGGTTCAGGCTCATTTTTTAAAATTCACTCTACATAAACAACTCCAGATAAGAGTAGAAAAATGTAAAGAAAATCAAGTGAGAAAAATTAAAACTACGGATGTTTTTTATGAAAGCAACAAAGAGCTCTGTCAGTAGATAAATAAATCGAGAACAGAGCACGGCCTTCCTTCTCTACAATAATACTGATTTGCGTATATGCAAATGAGCTCGCCTATTCAAATCGGTCCGATATCCAACCGAACTATGTGTGTGAACTCCTCTTTGGTTGTTTGTCCGATTGACTTAGAACTTTTTCCCCGACCTCCCATCTACCTCAGCTTCTTAGATAAGGTTTAAAATCTCGGTTACCTAGCCCCTTCGCTATGAAATTCGCTACGTGACCGAAGGGCACCTCCATTAACGAAGAGCATCTCTTTTGTCTATGGTACATTTACTGCTTTTTTCATGACAGTTTCACTGTATTGTGGCAGGAAACATTCTCTTTCAAGGCATTACCCTGGTAGATTGGCAATGAGTACTCTTACTTTCTCCCTTAATGACATTTGTCTTGGCTAACTCTTTCAATGTCTTGGAGAAGCAAGAACGATAAATTGTTTGAAATAATTTCGACCCCACCGTCCTCTTGATCAAAATGTGGGTGTAAAACTCCAAGATAATTTTTTTTATCGTTTTCGATCCTACCGCCCCTCTTTTGAAAGTTTGGGCTTAACCTTTTAAGGGGCAAATATTAATTTACTTCACCTACGTAATCCAAACTTTCAGAAAAAAATAGATATTACCAATAAAAACTGAAAAACATTAAAAAAATGTATGTTGGGGATCGAGGCGATTTTTTATGAATTCATTACTCCCTAAAAATTTTGCCTTTTAACTCATTAGTGACAATTTAAATAATTTTTAATTATTTCAATTGTCACTAATGAGCTAAATATGCTTGGGAGCAAAATATTTATTTCCTAGAATAATGTATTTTCATAATAAAGAAAACGATTTTTTCGAACTGTAATCCAGTTTTTAAGACACATTTAGCGGGTATTATTTCGGCATTTTATGTTACTGCTTCTTAAACATAGCCTGTGCTCCAGACCTCTACTTTCAAGGTAGGGGTCTGGAAAACAGGCTACTTAAACATGGAAGCATTAAGACGAGTGAGTCGAATCAACGGGTACCAACAAAAATCTATTTACACAATTTGTTCTTGGATTCAAAATTAATATAAATCTTATAGGTTACCCAGGTACATATTAAGAAGAAGTACCAACAGTAATCTGTTTACACCAACTTTTCCTTACAGTTGAGCCTGAGTGTTATCCTTGGAAATATGTAGACGAAGAACATGAATCAACGAGCATCAACAAAATTATCTACACCAATTTTGGATTGGATTCAGAATAAGCACAAGAGCTTGAAGATTACCTTTGAAAATATTTAGACTTTTCCTAAAAGTAAGATTACAAATATCAACCTGAATGTTGTCCTTTAAAATATGTGGCGAAGTAGGTGAATCAGCGAGCACCAAGAGGAATCATCTGCACCAATTTTGGTAAGCCCCAAGGTTTTTCAACGGATTTCGAGAAATTAGAAAATTGACTTTTAGGAAAACTGGGAGGAAAGTTCCACCCCAGTCCACCCTAGTCCACCCCAGTCCACCCCGTGGCGACGCCACTGGGCGAAGTAGATGAATCAGCGAGCACCAAGAGGAATCATCTGCACCAATTTTCGATTGGCTTCAGAATAAACATAAGTGCTGAAGATAACTCTCTTCATTAAGGAGGAAATAGGGTACCTGATCTGGAAATGGGCTTGTATAGATAAAGTGGATGGAAATGGATAGGGCTGTTGAAGGCTTGGGACAAGGGAGGGGGTTTTGGGTGGGGAAAATGCTTGTTTTTGTTAAAGTAACAGTTATATCAACGAGCTATTGTAAAATCACACTTGCAAATAGACCTGATAGGTCTTTTGGACGAGTTGTAATGGCAGGTATGCAGTGGCGGGGTGGCTACGTTTTCCCTGGGGATGTTACGAAGACCGTCCGCGACTTTTGATCCTTTAAGCCCGAAGGCTAAAAACTAACTAACTACAAATACGAACCTAATTTATACTGTTAACGACGTAAACAACTTTAAAATATTGTCACTAGTTTCATTGTCCATTACGCAAGGGATTAACAAATACTGTCCTCTAAAGACTTATAAACACTTTATATTAACCAACCATTGTCCAATTTAACGCAAAACAACTTGCTCAAACAACTATTGTGTCCAAACGCGTAAACAAGTTTTTCGAATAACAATTATTGTTCCAATCAACAATTGCAAAACTGAAAGTATCACATGTTTGTCTTCTGAACATCCTCCCCTTCCTTGACAGCTATGCATGTCAACTGGAAATCCTTCATCTTGTGATATCTGCAACGTCACATCAAGAAAATACATCCATTATAACAAATGCCACCAGCAACCATTCAACAATGTTCCAAAAGGCATAATTTTGTCACTGGTCTCTTCAATAGCTTTTGTCCCAGTTGTACTTGTGCCACTCTCACTTTTCCATCTTTTCCAGGAAATACTTGGGTGACCTTTGCAAGGGGCCAATGAGCTCTGGGGCTATCAGGCGATATAACAATAACAATATCCCCTACCTTCAAATTTATCTTCTCTTTGTGCCATTTTGTCGTTGGATTTAGTCCTGGCAGTCATTCTTTCAACCAACGTTGCCAGAAGTGCTTCACCAGTTCTTGAACACGTCGCCATCGTTTCCTTGGACTGAACGTTGTCTGGTCTACCGTTTCTGGTGCAAATCTGCCTCCCATTTGGCCATGGAGAAAGTGATTTGGGGTCAAAGGCACATCATCATCCACATTTTCTGTCTGGTATGTCAGCGGTCTTGAATTCAGCAACGATTCTGCTCCTGTGATGGCAGTCATCAACTCTTCATCCGACACATTTGCATCTGTCAGGTATCCTTTCAACGCACGTTTTGCTGCCTTGATCATAATTTCATGAGCTCCTCCAAAATGTGGTGACAAAGGAGGATTGAAATGCCATTTGATACCACGATTTGCAGCACTCTGGATGATGCGATTCTGGTCCAATCTTTTAACGAGCTCCTGTAGCTCCTTGTCAGCTGCTACGAAATTGCCACCATTGTCAGAAACAACTTCTTCAGGCTTCCCACGACGACTCACCATTCGATAAAAGGCATTCAAGAATCAGTATCCAGGGCAAATGCCATTTCCAAGTGTACTGCTCTGGTAACTAGGCATGTGAAAAGACAAAGATATCGTTTTTCTCTTCGCTTACCTCTCCCTTGCATGGTGATGAATGGTCCTTCATAATCCACAGCTACTCTTTCAAAGGCTCACGATGACATTGCCAATCTAATGCTTGGTAGGGGTGCCATGATCTGACTGCATGCTCTCGCCTTTCGTCTTTTGCACCAGTTGCATTCGTTTTCCCATTCACTTATCTCTTCTCTTGCTGAAATTATCCAAAAACAACTCGAAATAGCTGCCAATGTCTGATTTGTTCCATTTGCATGATGATCCTTTTCATGATAGAATTTCACGATCAGCTTTGTAATCCAGTTCTTCTTTGGTAGAATGATAGGATATCTTGCATCGTATGGCAGGAAGTCAGCATACCTCAATCTTCCATTACACCGTAGAAGTCCATGTTCATCGATTCGTGGCTGTAACACAATCAATTTGCTGTCACTCTTCATTTGCTTTCCTTTCAATAGTTGCTGGTATTCGGTTGCAAATGCATCTTGCTGCACGTCTCAAATGATGTGAATTTCTGCATCTTTGATCTTTTCATATGTCAATTCTCCATGAATTCTTTCTTCTTTTGCTGTTCGACAGTTGTCCAAGAAACGGCAAACCCATGCTACAAGTCTTGTAAGTCGAAGCCAGCTTGAAAAATGAGAAGGATCCAAATACCAAGAATTCTCCTTGCCCGCTTTCATCAGTTTATTTTCCACTAGTTCACCAGTCGTAGATTTCTTTTTGCTTACTGCATCAGCAAACAATGATTGTTTCTCTTCATGATTTTCTGTTACGGACTTCATCTTTGAGCGACCAGACTTCTTTTGCTCCGTTACTGCTTTCTTTGACATCTCAAATTGATTATTAGGCCATTCATCCTCAGCCATTTGCAAGAATTCTGGTCCTTTCCACCATTGCTCACTGCTTGCCAACGGGAAGAATTTTAAACATTGCTCTCATGGTAGAAAAGTTAAAAATGGCTTTGAAAGAAAGCAAACATTTTTTATTCATATTTGAGCATTTCGTCTGAAAATCTTCAGAGTATAAAACGGCAGAACATAGAGCAAAACACTAAGCTAGGAAATATATATACCCAGCTATCGATCGAAATAGGCCAATAAAGATTTTAAAGCTAAATAAGCATAAGACTATCTGAAGATAGCAAAATATTTTTTTTGTTTCAGTTTTGATGTTGTTATGTTATGTTCAAATTTATGAAAAAATATAAACGCCATTAGATTTTTTGTGGGAATTTCAAAGTTTCTTGTCCCCCCCTTGAGTTTTCCTATCTATGCCACTGATGCAGAGCATGATGATTAGGCAACAGAGTTGCAGCTATGGTAGCCCTGAGGGTGCACTTTAAAAATATTGTTTTATACACATGAAAAGTTGATAGTGCTGGCCACCTGGTATTTTTGGATGATTGGATGCTCACCTGCACTTGATGTTAAGACTGTTGACACACCACACCAAAGATCTCAGCAGAATTATCCATACTCTGCAAACTGGCAGCAAATGATTTGAAAGTTTTATTAACATACAATATTCAAGATTGAGTTGAATTTTTAGATTTTTCAGAAATTATTTTCAGACTTTTCAAAAAAAGAAATTGCTTATACATAAGCCAAAAACTTTCAAGCGAAAGTATCCATGTGTGTATTTATATGATGAAGTTGGAATGAATCTTGAAAAAATTCTGTCAAAATACCAATTAAATACAAATAAGTAAAACCAAATCATAACTTTAAAAAACTAATACATATCTCTAGTAGTATGGGTCTCTAACATTTGTTTAACAATTGGATTAAGCCCCCTCTGCAATAAGCCCCCATCATAACATCAAGGAATGTTCTCCTGGCCTTTTTGAAAGTGTACTTTCAAAGTGTCCCTTTACATCTAGCACTGTTTGGTTCATACAAATGTTGCCCCTAAAATGCTCCATAATTTTTCCGATGGGCTTCTTATTTCCTGCCAGTAGATGTTATTCATGCTGATTTTTCAATATAGCCTCAATCTTCAATTGACCTTTCCAGCCTTCAATCCATGTTGGATGTAGAGAGACTGGATACCCTGTGATTGCTAAAAATAGTTCTACTATCTTTGTACTTTTTAGGCTGAAACTTCAAAGGATATTACAACTTATCTAGACGAGGATGTTAAAATAGAATTGTCATTCTATGAATGCGTCATATGCAAGGAAACATTTGAGCAATTTGAAGAATTTAAAGAACGTCATCAACATCACCTACAATATGATTCTACAGATTCAGAGGTTATTACCTTATGTAGACAGATATTTACCCAATGAATTCAGACATATACAAAAGAATATCTAATAAGTTTTTCCCTATTCTTATATAAATCCAAATTGTGAGAGGCAGCATAAATTGAGATATAATTGATTTTTAAAGAGCAGAGTCATTAAATAGATAGATAAATAAATATATATGTAAATAAATGGATGAATAGAGGAACATTGTCAATGTGGTCAAAGCATGTGTGCTCTGCTAGGAAGATGTATCTCCCTTAGATGCATTCGCAACAGCTCACATATTTTTATTATAAGTTTTCTGATAAGATTACCTGGGCTTTTCAAAGCAACATTTGAATAAGAAAGTTCCAGTCTTAAAAGATCTAGTTCTGAAATGAAAAATCTTATCATTGGACTTGAAATGAACTTTTAATGAACGCTTTAAATAGACTTTCGTGTGATGTTTTATTAGCTAGAATTTGATAGACAGAAAGTATCTGATTTAAATATTTTTCCATGTTTACTGTTTTTATTGCTCTTTTCGGAGTGAGGATTCTTTATTTGAGACAAGAAAGAAATCAAAAAAAGAGGAATCAACACAACAGACATAAATCCGTTTTTGTTGTGACCTCTGTGAAAAGTCATTTGCTCAAAAATCGCACTTGAATAGGCATAAGCAGAGCCACTCTGGGGACAAGTAATACAATTGCAACAAGTGTGACAGAAGTTTTGCTCGCAAATATGTTTTGAGTAGGCATTTATTAACACATAATGAAGAAAAGCATTTTGTTTGTGAAATATGCAGCAAGGGTTTTAAGCAGAGTTGACATTTGCATAGGCACATTAAAGTTCATTTGGGAGAGAAGCATTTTGTCTGTAAGACATGTGATAAAAGTTTTGCCCAACAAACGACCCTAAACCGTCACCAGAGCACCCATACCAAGGAAAACCTTTACACTTGTGAGGAATGTGATCAGGCTTTTAGCCGTCTTGGTAGCTTAGCAAGACATAAGATCATCCACACAGGGCAAAAACCTTTTGAATGTAAGTTCTGTCATAAACGATTTAATAGATCATGCTACTTGCTTAAACATGAACGCAATCATACCAAAGCATAGATCAATATTCAGGAAAAAGGTAGATTTGTGCAATTTTGTTGTGAAAGTTCTTTTCGTATCAATTAAGCTGCCATTACAGCTATTAAGTATAATATTAAGAACAGTTAGATGCTTATGATTTTAGTATAAGGCTGTGGCCTCATATTTACTTACATTTGTGTTTTTTTTCTACAAGTAAACTTTAGCAATTAGTATTTGATGAAAACTATAGTCGTTTTTAGTAAATTCACTTTTATTCTTTCCATTTGTTTCTGCCTGATCAAATTTCTTTCAAATATAGAAACTTAACTGATTGCATTTAAGAAAAACCTTCATTGTTAACGCATATATTTGTAGACGAAATATATATTAGTTTTCAACTCATGCTTTTTAAATAATTTTTTGGGTAAAAACTTCCACAGTGGCTGATCATTTCTGTATATCATTTTACATTGAATTCAGTGATACTTATTATTTTTTGTAATATACCATTTGATAAAAGTTTGGGTAGTAATCGAGTAAATGGTATTTTCTGTTTTTTGTTTGTTTTTATCTTTGCCATTTTGTATAATTTTGTGAAGTAATTTTTCCTGAGTTATTTTTTTGGTAATTTGCTTCCTATACGAAACATTTTATGGCTATTGTTATGAACTTTTCGGCTTGTTCATTTTCTCAAAAATGTTCCAACCATCAAGTTATGCTGTTTAAAAGCAGAATATTCTCGTGGCAGTTTTCACAAAGAGCACAAATTGCATTAACCCCTCACTATGTAATTTGATATTTTGATACATTTAGAACGACTGTATTAATCACAACTGAATTATACACAACTACATTTTCGAGACTACTAAGTTCATTTTTGAGTCCTTGACATTTTCCCACGGAGCTTAAAAGTTCGGAGATGATCCTTTTTCTGCCTTTAATCCAAATGTGTTAAACCTTAAACAGGGCATTTTGAGAATATTAAAAAATAGCGTCCCAACGATCTCTGACGCTCTTTTGTGCTCTTTGACATCTTTTAAACATTTATGAAACTTACTATCGCATTCACAGTCGCTTACTGTATATGGTCTCCAATTTCTGTATTCGTACTTTTTTGCAAATGCTTTGACCGCTCGATCGCATTTGTCGTGATCTCGGCAACAGGAATCGACATCGGCATACTCACCGAGCTCATTATCGTTCTCCGCGTTATTTCCCATTCCACACCACAAAGTTCCTTTAACAAAGATAAAAATCAATTTTAAGATTATGTACCGAAACATTGTCTTGCATTGCATTGCATTGCATTGCATTGCATTGCATTGCATTGCATTGCATTGCATTGCATTGCATTGCATTGCATTGCATTGCATTGTATTGTATTGTATTGTGTTGTAGATTATTTAATGTAGATTAGTTTTTACAATAGTGAATATACACTAATTGAAACAAACATGAAGCAATTTCAAGGATTGCATAAGACAGTTCATTTACTGCAAAACGAGCCTGCGCACTTGTTTTCAAGGAACCAGGTTTTGAGCAGATTCTTAAATTGTCTTGTATTTTGTGCTGTTTTTATTGATTCCGGGAGTGAATTCCAGATTTTAGGTCATTGAAAACTTAATGATCTTATACCATTATTGGTAGTTCTGACTTTTGGGATGTCAAAGGGGTTTTTGAGTCGAAGGTTATGACCTGTTGTTTTGGGTACAAAATAGTCTTTCACGAAAACAGGATTAAGGTTGTTAAGTGTTTTATAAACTTCGAGCGCTAAAATTCTAACTGATTGGACATGTATGGTAGTTTCTTTGAGAAAGCAAGTAAATCTTTGTACGAAGATGAATAGTCCGAATAGGCTAGTCTTAATGCCCTCTCGTTAATTTTCTCTAGCTTATCCTGACTTCCTTTACCACATAGCATCCATATCAATGGACAATAATTGAAGTGAGATAGCATAAATGAATTCATAATTCTCTTTTTTTTGTCACCCATAAATCTTGCCAATCTTTTTAAAGAATTTAACTGTTTAGCTGCTTTCTTACAGATCTTATCGATATGAGCTTCAAACTTTGAATTTTCATCGATCTGAACACCAAGCAAAGTAACGTTTTTCTCTATTTTAATTGAAAGTTCTTGGTCAATTTCAAACTCATTTATGCATTTATCTTTGCTGCCGATTGTGATAGCTTGAAATTTAGAGGGATTCGTAATCATTTCTGCCGATTGTGATAGCTTGAAATTTAGAGGGATTCGTAATCATTTCATTAGATTCAAACCGATCAAGAATTTTTTGGTGTTAAATTTTGCAAGTTGCAATAGTTCATCAGTATTTGTTGCAGTGACAGATATCGTGTTGTCATCAGCAAATGAAGACCCTTCAGTAAGGCTGTAAAAAATATCATTTAGGAAAATATTGAAAAGTAGAGGTCCAAGTATTGATCCCTGTGGCACGTGTCAGTATGATGTTCGAAAGATTCTCACGTGAACTCAGGACATTTTTCGTCTTTATTGTAGATTAGTTTTCTGATTGCTTATATAACAATGGATTTATGGGTAGCTTAGCTTGTTAAAAAGTTTTCACTTGTCATAAAATTTTTTTACCTGTTGTTGAGAGGGTGTTTGGGTTTTACGGTTACGTGGTTCTACTCGTATCTCGGCTCGGTTTTTCAGTTTCTGCCTTGAAATCTATCGGTTTTGCGGTTTTCAATTTTGCCACGGCGAACTGTTTTTGACGTTATTTTGGTCGGTTTTTAGGTTTTCCGATTTGTATTGCAAAAATGTGTGGTTGTCAGATTTCAGTTTTCAGATCCTTTCAAATCGTTATCTCTGACGTTACTAACTTCAAAGTATATGCTTGCAACTGACTATAGTTACCTAGAGATCATTTAGAATTGACAACGGGCTTCTATTTGTTCTTGTTGTACCAGCAATATACAGCTTCCCCAAATTAATTGCAACTTTTGTTGCAGCTGTATTCTCTTTTACCTGTATGTATGTTGAACCCACCTGGCATTATAACGCGTTTATCAACTTCTCCCTTGCTTTCCAATTCCCCACTTCCTAGCTCTTGTTCTGCCATTTCTTCCAATTCACGAAGATCATCTATTATATTAATGAAACTCAGTTAGTCGAACCCGGTTATTGAAATTAGATAAAGTCACTTTGCTGATTACAGTCATGTTCAATTTTCCATAGATTGCAAGTAACAGTTCTGTCAATAGCCAGCGTCGGCTGAAATAAAAACACTTCCAAGCTTTTATAGCATTTGCATTTTATTAATTATAGAACAACAGTTTTTGGAAATCTAGAAAACAAGCAAACAAAATTTCATTTTTATTTTTGATTTGCAAGACAACAATTTACTGAATCTTGCGAATCCATCATTGTCTTCATGTTTAGATTGTTTTATATATGTTGCTTGCTTTTATTTTCACAAGAGGCCTTACTCCAAAAGATACTAATGATCTCAAAATCTCGTCTTAGATTTTTTTCTGCCGAATTGTTGCCCCTATCTTGTCAATGTGAAATTTTCATTACGAAAGTGTTATCGTACAATTACACTGTAGGTAGGCGAATTAAATTATGTTATTTGGCTGCATTTGAAAGAAATGGAAAGTTTTCAAGAATAGAGACTCACCTGCTGGCCCTGCATAGGTCTGAACGAGAAGTAAAAGGAGCAACGCTGCTACTTTCGTCATGTTTGCAGGCGTTCCTGAAAAGGACGTTAGGAACGTATGTTTCAGATTTCTATAAATAATATTGCCAAATTACTTTTTGATTCTCTTGCATTTGCGTGCATATTCCTAAGCGATTTCCCTCATAGGAACGTTCACTAGATGATTATTAAAAGGCGGATACTGTCAGAAGTCAAGTAAATCCGACTGATGGAAGTTCGACTGGATATTGAGATACTATATAGATGACCTCATTCTCCAGGTGGATTAGAATGGCGTACTGTGGATGCAAAGGTAGAAGGTTACAGTATTCAATAAAAGAGGCAGCCACATGGTCGCATGTGAATCTGGGATATTTTATAGATAGAAATGTGAATTTATTGAAGGCAGTCGCCATCCTTCAGAAGCATCATTGAGAAGGTTCGTAAGCCTATCGGCCTACCAAGAAGACCAACTACACTGATAAGCATAAAGTTGCATTTTATCGATTTCAATCCGTGCCACGGCCATTATCAAATTTGTTCAAATTCCAATCAAGTCACATTGAATACATTCAATGGATGTTAAGTAGCTGATAGGTAAATGTTTCGCATTTTTGTTTCCTTTAATAGGAGAAACAATTTTCCAAGTTTCGCGCAATGTTTACATCTATTTAATTCTATGGTTTTGCCTGCATTTTCAAGGCTATTAAATCAATTTCTTCACGGTTTGCAGAAAATTTTCGTAAATTTTTATCTGTTTATGCTGTTAGGGCCCGAGCGGCAATCGCTTCTTTTGATTTGGGGCAAGATCCTGTCTGTGATAACACATCGCATAATGTTATGCAGGTGATCTAAATGCCGATTTTAGATTCGTTGCCTAGAATTGCTGATTTTACTCACCTGAATCAAACAAAAATTTCATCGATGAATAATTCTTTCATTTGAACACACCAGACTTACAAAGATAGGTCAGTTAGCTTTAGTATAAAACAGCAAATAAATAAGCCGTTGATGTCTGTTTTTCTAAATAAATGTATTATGTGTTTCAATTAATCGCGATTTCACGCAAATCCAGTTTCAACGGTAAATATAGTTATGCCCAAGTACCACCGGGTTATTTAGCAGGATGTATGTCATTCAAGGTTGTTTTGTTTTAAAGTCAATGTCGTACTGCGATTTTTTCTCTTAAACAAAGAATTTGTACCGTATGCTCCTACCATATGCTATTGAAGCGCTCTTCAATCTTTACCGCCTTCGAAGCTGCAGAATTATTTTTGCCCCGAAACCAAAAACAACAGGGTATGGTATTGAAAGTGCATGTTTTCGTGGATCTAGGATATGGCATGCTATTGCCTCTTCTATAAAAGAGTCACAGACACTTCTAACTTCAAAAGAACAGAAACTTCAAAACAACAATTCAAAGCTACAACTTTGGTTGCAATTGTAGATTGTGTAGATTGTATATAGGTAATTTAGGGTTTTTATAGTTATATTCTTTAATAATATTCTCTTGTTTGTTTTAATTTAGATTTAATTGATTATATCTTGTATTTAAGTTTCGGTTGGCTTAAATTAGCACGTGAGCTAGCAATAAGAGCCAACCTTGAATATAGAAAATTAATAAAATGAATTTCCTTTCTTGAATTTGAAGCAATCTTTCATTTCTTTCAGAAATATGGGATTTTGGGATTTGGCAAACTGCCGTCTTTTTGTTAAAATTGGACGATAAATTATCTTATTTAACGTTTATTAGTAAATTTTCTTAGCGAGATCAAGGCTTATGATATTTCATTAAGATGTCATAAAACGCTATTACTTTATATTTCAGAAACCCTGTAAAAACTTTTTTTTTCACAAGAACTTTATCTTGAAGAATGCAAATGGACTTATAGCAATTCATAAAACTAAATAATGCGAGGAAAGTTACCCTGCATTTTTAAGCGCCTTGAACTCCCTAATAAGTAAACTCTAAAAGTAACATCCAATTCACCATTATTTGAAGTAGTCTGAAAGGCAGTTTGAAACATGTGTTTTTAAGCCATCTGCTAATGTTAATCGATTTTTAGTCAAATTTGCCACTTACCTTGTATTGATTAAAGATAATGGAAACTGTTTTGATTTTTGCCGATAAACATTAAAATGACCCCACACAACCTGTTTTAAAGCGCCACTCGTATCAATAACTCCACATGTAAACAAACTCAGACATCAAGGTTCCCAGATTTCAAGGTTCGTTGGTTTCTAGGTAACACTGAATAACCTTTTTTATGTGAGTGGTTTGCCCATTGACGTTGCTGGTAATTTGCCATAAATAGACCACTTCCTCACACCCTCTGTTGCATCTCATTTCCAACTTGTCACGAACACCTGATCCGACACAGTGCAATGAAATCTAAAAATCTCAATTGTTCTCTCGATGGTTATCATATACTCTACACAAATTAAAAAACTAAGCAGTCAAATCTTTCTATATAATACCAACAAGCAAATTTTATCTCAGAACTTTATGTTCTGCTTCAAAATTGCATTTTGTTGTACGAGATTTTACTCTTCGTAATATTTTGGTAAAAATTGTGATGAATGAGGCTGTTAACTCAACTTAAAAGAGTTCTTTAATCTAGATTTAACTAATAAGTCGTAAAATTGGTTCTATTTCAGATCATTTTACGTCAGTTTGCCAAATGATTTTCAGAGAAAGTATCAAGCAAATTATGTAGAAGCACTGTGGGGACTGGAACGAATTACCGCGAAAGCGCGAAAATTTGATGTCGTCATTCAAAAGTAAATCGAAGTAAAATGATAATTGATCGGGTATAAAGATGAATTCTGGAACCATTATTGCATACTTTTTTGTTCAATACTGGACAACATTGGTAACATCAACTGTTTCGTATTGGAGATATGAATTAGGGTAATTTTCACTTTGCTTTTTATAGGTAAACCTCTCTACCTATGTAATTTCAAACTATGAATTTGACAAAATTTTGGAAACATTACCCCCTAAACCCTAAACCCATCAACATTTCCCTGTAAATTGCAAAATAGAGTGCAGCTGCTTCTTCACCTGAACATAGTTCGAGGGAGAACAGCTAAGCTAGGAAGATGGGGATAGCTATGAAGTTAATTTTTATTACTAGGCTGTTGAGGAGGGGCTTAGGCTCTTTGCAACGTCAAAATAAACTCTAGCAAGCCTATTGCAGCCTTTTGAAATAGATTGGAATAATAATAAAGCTCTTTACAATAAAGCAAGTGAATAAATTGGCATTTAAGATATTTTTCGGTGAGTGCTTTTAAAGGCAATAGCTTCATTATCAAATATGCTTATAATAGAACTCAAATATAAATTCTCTAATATAATTTTTACTCTCCATTGCAAAGGAGTGCCATTTTATAATTTGTAACTTTTCAGTTCGATATTGAATGTACAAGACAAGAATGGGCCAATGACAAATTAAGTTGGTACTTCGAAGAACCATGGTGTGAAGCTTATAACAAACGGTAAGGTCAGAATTTCAACTTTACTTGAGTAACTGACAAATTTTTATAAATGGGAAGATTTCTAGGGATTTTTAGGGATTTTGCAAGTGCAGATTAATTCAGCTTAATCATTTACTTTATGTGCAACGTGACGTACTTACTAGTTTTGATCGTTGTTGCTATCCTAGTCTACAAAGAACGCAAGCAAGGTGCAACATGAACGGTGAATTTGGATTCGGTGTCGTAAATGGAACAAGCGGTAAGGTATGAAACTGAATTTTCTGTGTTATAAAAGCCAGCTCAAATATAGTATCATTATGTCGGAATATATTTCGTTGCTAATGTACAACGTCTAAGAGTGACGTCACTTTACTTTGTTATTCAATCGTTGTTGTTATTCAATCAAGTTGGTATTTTACATTGCTTTAAAGAATGTCATAAGATCATTTCTCTATCTTTTGCTTTCAAGGATTACAAGATTCTGAAGGTTTATTCCAACAAGAATTACTTTGGATGGCATGCTGTTAGAAAAATAAACAGGTTTTTCTTTGGTAGTTTACGTATTCATAGCTGCAGTTTTTTACATTTGTATTCTTACATTTGTCTCGTGTTTCAAGTTTATAATTTCACATTTAGAGCTCTTCCTCCATTATCATTATTATTATTATTTTGAGTCATATTAAAGCTTTTTGTCTGACACTCTTCAGATGTTTATTAGCGATATTTATGAGTATCCACTTGACGATTTACCTCTAGTTTGGCATGGTTTTAGCGTCTTTATTGCATCTCTATCAGCTGATTATCATTGCCTCTGGCTACCATGTACGATGGGGCCTTTAAACATAAAAACTCAGTGGGGGGATGACCTCTTCGTCCTCATTTCATAAACAATGGCTTGAATCTCCAACTGACGTAAGAAAAATAAGGCTTTACAGGATCACTTGCAATTTTTCTACAACTTTTTATCTTATTTTAGGAGTAGTGATAACTTGATTATCGTTTTACGGCTGAAGATAACCGAGTCAAACGCATATTTCCAAAACAATTCTTCCAATTCATCAGAGGTAAACCAATTATATTTTTAATAATCATGAATCAATATTTATTGTCATTTAGTTAGCACAAGTAAACTATTCTGTTGATGTGGTTCATTTCCAATAACCAACATTCGAATCTTCTTTCCTGGCAATGTAAAATGATTGTCGCTGAACTTCCGCATAATAATCAAAGAAAAACAATATTTTTCACGATAAGACTATTTTATACCTAGCGAGGTGTAAATCGAAATGACAATTCTAAACGTGGTAAAATTATTTCCCAGGTATAATTTTAATGTTCTGCACACCGTAGATATTTAGCTATTGTTATAAAATAGATATTTTAGAATTACAAAACTGATCTCCTTCTCTCGCCAACCGATCCCTATTTACTCAAACTTAGTTTTGTTTGTAGATTTTTCCTAAATGGCATTCTTGCTTCGATAAACCTTTTTAAAATTATCGTTTTTCCAATTAAAAAACATCAATCTTGACATGACGAAAAAAATGCCATGGTGCTATGAAAAATATTTAGCCAATTGCTAAAATCATTTAACGACAAAAAGTTATTAAGAAAACATAATGTTTATAATAGGACTTACTATGGCAAGATTCTTATTTTTCATCTATCCTTGACAGCTTCTAAATCAACTGACCCACTGTCTTTGAGTATTTTTATCACAGCCTTTTGCAAAACCTTTTAGCATACTATACGGTTTACAAGATTGTTCAACTCCAAAGGAGAGACACCTAAAGTTGAATTCAAACAAAACTTGAAAAGTTCGTTGTTAAGAGAAGTGACAGATATTTCATTCGATCATATAAATGGGTATCAACCTACATTTTGCATATCATATGCCAGTTTGATGTTGGCATACTTAAACGCTAAATTCCGTGAAATGACATCAGTTTACTCCCATTTGAGAATATTTTTTCCGATTTTTGTTTAATACCCTCCACCTCCGAACGATAAAATGTTATATTTGCAGATAATGGCTGATGTCTTTTGCTGTGCCTGGTGATTCGAACTCTGTTAGAGTATCAATACATTCGTCTTCAAGATATTCACTCTTTGACAAATTTATCAGGTTCTGAAAGTCAGGCGCCAGATCCTCTAAGCAGTAATCGACATAATTTAGCCATTAGATCGCGATACCAGCATGGAACTTGGTAGTAATAGGCAGTTTGATACGCTGGATATGAATTAGATATGAATTGACGCTGAAAAATCCCCCTTATGCTATTTATAGAATGGGGTACTTGGTTCCAAACCTCTAAGCAGTAATTGTCATTATTTAACTTTGAGCTCATAATACCAGCATGAAACTTTGTTGAGAAAGGCAGTTTGATACACTGAAAAGAATAGGATACGAAAAGACACCGAAAAATATCCTCTTGTGCTATTTTTAGACTGGGGTACTAGGTTCCATGCCTCTAAGTGGTTTTTGTCATAATTTAACTTTTAGATCGCGATATCAGCATGGAACTTTGTAGAGATAAGCAGTTTGATACGCTGAAAAAGATAGGGTGTGAATAGATGCTTAAAAATACCTCTTATGCTATTTATAGCCTGGGGTATCAGGTCCCAGACCTCTAAGCAGTGATTGTCATTGTTGAGAAAGGCAGTTTGATACACTGAAAAGAATAGGATACGAAAAGACACCGAAAAATATCCTCTTGTGCTATTTTTAGACTGGGGTACTAGGTTCCATGCCTCTAAGTGGTTTTTGTCATAATTTAACTTTTAGATCGCGATATCAGCATGGAACTTTGTAGAGATAAGCAGTTTGATACGCTGAAAAAGATAGGGTGTGAATAGATGCTTAAAAATACCTCTTATGCTATTTATAGCCTGGGGTATCAGGTCCCAGACCTCTAAGCAGTGATTGTCATTGTTGAGAAAGGCAGTTTGATACACTGAAAAGAATAGGATACGAAAAGACACCGAAAAATATCCTCTTGTGCTATTTTTAGACTGGGGTACTAGGTTCCATGCCTCTAAGTGGTTTTTGTCATAATTTAACTTTTAGATCGCGATATCAGCATGGAACTTTGTAGAGATAAGCAGTTTGATACGCTGAAAAAGATAGGGTGTGAATAGATGCTTAAAAATACCTCTTATGCTATTTATAGCCTGGGGTATCAGGTCCCAGACCTCTAAGCAGTGATTGTCATTGTTGAGAAAGGCAGTTTGATACACTGAAAAGAATAGGATACGAAAAGACACCGAAAAATATCCTCTTGTGCTATTTTTAGACTGGGGTACTAGGTTCCATGCCTCTAAGTGGTTTTTGTCATAATTTAACTTTTAGATTGCGATATCAGCATGAAACTTGATAGAGATAGGCAGTGCTACTAATGATGCTACTAATGATGCTACTAATGATGCTACTGCTATAACCAGGGACGCCAAGGAAGCCAAAACGGATAGGCGAAAAGATTTTTGCAACCACAAATTCTAGATTAGCTTAAATTGATTCTTTTTCTTGCAAACGTTTAAAAAGTGTTACTTTTCAAGGCATAATTTTGTTACATTTAATCAATTCAAATTAAAATGAACTTCTTTACTTTTTGAGGCCCCCTGACCACAAGGCCATGGGGCAATTTATCCTATCTTAACAGCCCTGGCGATAACTGATGCTTTGACAGTGGCAACGCAAGTTGGAAAGTGGGAAAAGCGCCGAAAAATGTGCAATTTGTGTGGTTCTATAATAGATCAACTTTTTTTCTTGATCAATTTGCTCACCTTTATTCATAATTTGTAAAGCAGTGGCGGATCCAGACTACCGCCATTACCGCTCGAGCGGTAGTCAGATTATTCAAAAAATTATAGAAACAAGGATCATTCTCATGTTTATCCTACTACTTTAATTAAACCATAATTAATTATTGAAAATATTTGATCGCGCTGCAAACCAAGCCTTTCTTCCTAGGAACATGCCTGAAATTTCCACAAGGACAGAAATATGTTTTAATCCATATCGCTATGGAAATTGCGTGCCAATTGCCGAGCCACATGTTTGCAAATAGAAAGCAATAATCATTTTAGAAAACCGGGTGTGACCAAGAAATGGGTGTGGTCTAAAGGGTGTGGTCAACCCTCTATCTCATTTCGGCGGTAGTCAGATTTTTGGCTGGATCCGCCACTGTAAAGCTGTTCGTAAAAGCATTCTTATACGACACGCTCAATAATTCACAAAAGATAAATGATCGGCATGAAGTCTTGGTAAAAACTGCACGCAAAAAGTTTGCTTATTTTTAAGGGGCTCGAAATTTTCGCAAGAAAATACCTTGCGCATGTCTTGTAGTTAGATAGCTAGTGATATTTAGAGCACAAGTATCGCACTATTTCCATCCACTTCACGTTTTTTTTGTTTTTTATCGCACTCAAAATACAGTTTTCAGTACTGAAGCATGCACCACTTCCGGGTTCGGTGAAATAATTTAATGGGATACGACATTTCGTATAGCTACTTCCAACTCTCCCGATTTGACCGGGAGTCTCCCGATTTGAGAGTTTTTCTCCCGGTCTCCCGTTCCCAAACTTTTTATGAATCTGTTCCAAAATCCCATTTTTTAAAAACACGATTGTTTGTGAAGCTTTCCATCGTATCTTTCAGATTTTTAAAACAGAGCTGGTAAAATGTACTCTGGCTACCAACAGTTTAAAAGAAGTAATTTTTGCAAATTTTTGCGGAATTTTTTTTGCAAAGGGCATTGATATTTACAGACGGGCTAAATTCGTATATTTTATGAATTTTTTTTAAGAGACCCCGATTTTTAACATTATTAGGTTGGCGCGATTGTACAAAATGCCTTCTCAATCAAAACGCCCATGCCTGTCAGTCTAAAATCAAAGGCCCAGAGTTTTCTTTTGCATCCAAAAGCTGGCGTGAGTGAAAAGAAGGGCTCCCTAAAAGCCCACGCCAAGGATAGCTCCTGCGAAAAGTAGCCAAGAGTGACTCAAGCCCAGGGCCATCCTAGACATCATTCTGAAAGGTGATTTCAAGGTTCTTTGTGCCGATGAAGTGTGTGAACCATCTTTTTTTGCCGACAGGTATAAAAATTTGCCAACGAAGCACAAAAAATACTCCTCAATTTAAGACTAGATTTTTCTCAAGAACACACCTTTTACGCCCCCATCGCGACGGGCCTGCTTGAGCACCCAGAACAATGGAACATCATTCCTCCTGACCTAGGACAACCACTGATGATGACAACCACGATCTGCCTGGCCAAAAATGGCTGACGTCATAACTCTTGAAATTGGGTCTTCTGAAACGAGGCTGAACTGGATGATAAGGTGAAGGTGAGAGCAAAGGAGCTGTGGCGACATTGCATCTGGGAAGAAAGTCTTTTTAACTTGTAATCAAGAGACCTTTTAATTATAGTAAGTTTTTCCGATAACTTTGTTTGTTTATTATTGAAATTGATGGACCTCCACTCCTTGACATGTTAATAAGTTTTGTTATGACATGTGTAGACTTTAGGCCTATCCCCAATTATCTGTCATGTTGTCCGCTCCTAACGTACGTCTACGACAGCGCCACAGTTTATGCTGTTTGCTAGCAATCAAGTAGCCAAGAAGTATTTTTAGCTCATGGGCCATGTTTAATGTTTTGATCTTTTCTTCGAATAAATCTCACACCCCCTTCTGCCATGATGTTGGGAAACGTATGATTTGCCAAATCAGATTTGGCTATGTTCCTACAGGAGCGAACAACAGCTCTCATGCGGGCCAAGTCGTTTGAGCTAAAAGCAATGCCACTCATATATACATGACTATGATATAAGATGACATGACACCGAAATGTGTGTACAGCTTTGCCCTTGTGGCCTTGCCTTGTAGCAGTTCTTGACATGATAGATTTGTGTGCAAGAGCACACTGTTCAGTTTTTCAAACATGTATACAGCAAACTTCCAATAGGCAAATGCAGCTTCCAATCGCAATGGCCCTAGCCATGTGTGCACCAGATTGCAAAGTTTGGGTATATGCATGCCTTACATCCCATCTGCGTATTTTTGCAAATTTAGATTAATCCACTCAGTTGAGACTGGCTGCTTCAAAGCATTGCCTTACCACCAGGCTTAAAAAATGTTATTTAAAAATGAAATCCCACAGCTTTTAACCTGCTATTTTGCAACATGATTTGTTCCTGCGGAAGCGTAAGTGGCAGAAAATAATTCCCTGTGACAAAAATACTTTGTACTCTATGTATTTTTTCTGTAAAAGTGCTTTGTTTTGGGCATCTTTAACCATTTTCCTGCTAAAGACGCTTAAACATAGTTGCCAGATGCCTGACATGGTTGGGGGACAAATATCTTGCAGTTGAGGGCCAAATTCGGCCATCCAAACAGAGATACAAGAAATCTACATTCTGGCTAATTCTGTGGAGTAATAGTGTAATCAAAATGGTCCCGTTTTTTTACAGAAGCTTCCAATTGCTTTCAACTTAAGCTTTCTGTCCTCTTCTACTTTGTTTAATGCTTCGTCATTTTCAACTTTGAGATTATTTTTACAAAATGTAACTTACCAGAGGTATCCAGCATGGACTTCATAATTTCTTTGGCAAAATATGAAGACAAATTTTGTGTTGTTGGCGTTAAGGTGGATATGTTTGCTGTCTGTGTCCGGGCCAGTGTATAACCAAAGCCAGCTGTTGTTGGCAAAAAAGAGAATTAGAAGCTACTAATATGCATTGCACCGCACAACATTTGGCATTAGTATTAAGATGTAGAGCCTTCAGCACAAATTCATGATTCACTTACCAATATCCAACTTGAGATTTAAGTGGGTTCCACCCTGGATAATCCCCGAATTCCTATGTGGCATGTTTTTTCAGCCTGGTCCTTCAGCAAATATTGTGCACAACATGCCTTCTGTATTCTTTTCCTTTGCAGAATAATCATTGGGAAATGAATGATGACTGATTGACAAGCTAAGACAATATAGATGGATTGTTGGTGCTCTTAGTCAATTCTCACCATGTGTATCACCACTAATGGATTCTACATAAACAGCGCAAATTATGGGCTATTATTGGTAAAGTAAAACAGCGCAAATGCAGCTGCAGATGACATCACAAATAATGAGGTTCTTACAAGGAATATTTGGTTTTGTGTTCAATTACATGTTCAGCACAAGGTAGATTCTATTCACATTTATCCTGTTTGTTGTACTTCAGTCTCTATAAATCTGCTGCAGGGGTGAAATAATAAACAGGGATGCAAGCAGTCCTCACATGGAATTATGCACAATGTCACAGGAAATTTTAAACAGCAAGAATATTTTAGTTCTATTAATTTTCAGCTGTTACCTATTTAAGTTGAGAAGTTTGGATATAAAGTTTAGTAGAAAAACTAATAAGATTATATCAGTAAGGAGGTCATGTCCCCAAAAGGTGATTTGTTTGTTTGTAGTGGTTCAACAAGATAAGCATTTATATGAAAAAGGCAGAATGTGAGAAAACTTTTTACTGATGCAAAAGTATATTTTTGTTTGTGCTATAATTGGATGCTCTACCACAGCACAAAAGTTTTTAAATCAGTTCAATACAGTTCAGAATCCAAGTAACTTCACAATATGCCGTAAATATTATTTGTGGCAGTTTAGAAAAAGAAATCCAAAGCACAGCATGAGCCATCATGTAACCTGTGTTGCGGGTTATTGAATGTTATCATTTCAAGTTTCAGCTTTCCAGAGCAATCGGCTGCCTTGAAGGTAGTATCAGAAAGTAGATTCAGCGAAAATTCATTTTATCTACATATATAGATATAAGTAGCCACTAAAAACTTAAAATCAAGTGTTACTCCAGCAGTAGAAGCATTTGACAAGTTTTGCCACTTTTTTTACATCCATGAAAGAACTCTGAAGCCAAAATATCAGTAATTGTGATATCATTACAAAAATAAAAGCATGCTATTTTCAAGTAAGCTGATATTATGAACTATCATATCAGCTTATATGATGAAATAATGAAGTTCATATCACCATAGAGAATATGGTACACTGCATTTCAGCTTACCCAGGTTGAGAAGTAAATAGTTATGGCTGAACATACTGTAATAGCTGTCTGCTGCTTTGAAATTGGATTTTGGTGTTTCTGTTTCTGAGAAAGTTGAATGACATAGCAAATTTTGTAGCATATTTCCATGCATGGTCTCAATCAAACCCTTATCAATTAGATTGGCAGCTTTCTCTCAGACACATCTATAGTCATTAGAGTTGATGGCTACCTCTCTATTCCCTACTCAATTAATGCTCATGCTCTACAGGGTTCTATCGTATCTCCTTTTGTATTCATCCCTTTCATAAATGATCTTGTGGCTTCCATCACTATGTGTATCATTCATTTGTAAATTATTCTTAACTGAGCTCTTCTTTTTCCTTAGATTCCCTACACATTTTTGCTATCAAAACCCCTCTTCAAATAAATTTTTCAGCATCATTTCTCCCTGGTGACCTTGCAAAAATAGAAAAGTGGGGTAAAGACTATCTTGTAAAGTAAAATCAAACTAAGACCATACAACAAGTTGTCATTTCAGGCAAAGACTTTCCTCCTGTCTGCATGAATGGTATTGATCTAGTCATTTCTTCTTGTTCTTGACAACTAGGCCCTTCTGTATTTTCTACTCTTAAATCTAATACTCTACCCTCTTTTTTCTTCTCAGACTCTTAAAACTTATCTTTTTTCAAAACAAAAATAAACCGCTTGATCTTTCCTCTCTATCTTTCTAATCTCTCCTCCCTTTCCCTTGTTAGCTATAGGATCTTGAGCCTTACCTTAGCATTGACAGCTAAAAGAGGAAAAGCAAGTTATTTAGGAAATAAGAAAAATACAATAATAGATTAAAGTCTGCAAAAGATCTTAAAGGCTTTTGTGCAACCTGTCATATGTTGTGTTTTAATTCAATAGGACAATAAACTTTGACACCTTCAGTCAAGTTGTTTATGCCGTTTTTGTTGTAGTTCTTAGTTCACAATGTCATACTCACCACTGAAATATGAGCGTTCTTCTTGAGGGTTAACTATTATCATTAGAATATATTACACAACCGGCAAGCTTTGCAACTGTAATTCAAAAGACCGGCTTAATATTGTACTACATGAAAATGCAAAACACAGTCAATTTCTATGTTTGTAAATATTGAAAACGACAAGCACACATTGTGTAGCAATAGCTGTTAGAGCAGTCAAACAATGATGGAAGCTTCAGCAGTGTTTATGATAACCACCATTTATTATTCAAAATGGTAGCTGAACCAAGATTCTCCATTACTGCAGTGTTAAATAATATCAGCATTCAAAATGGCACTTTGTTGTAAAAACATGTGAAATTCCATGATGTTTCAGTGAACATTAGGGAACCCTTGCAAGGCACTCAGTCTTTTCAGTTGACTTCATGAGAAAATTCGAAATTTTTTGAAACTGAAACATCAGAAAGTGAATGGCTGAATCATGAAAAGTTATACAAATATGATAATACCTTCAAAATACTTTTGTACCTTCAAAGGCAATAGGTAACTTCAAAGTTGCAAACCAAGCAAAAGCAAAATTCCTAATTTTTAGAAGAGATCATCATGAAAATATGCTTTTGAAGCTCAAATTTTCTTTACCTCTGAGTTCTGAACTTTCTCAGAATGCTAGAACTTACCACAAATCTTTGTGCAGGAAATTTAACTTCTTATTCAAGATAGCCTTGTTAGTTTTATATAGTAAGACACAGAAAAAATATTAATCATGTTAATCATCATCATAAATGATTGTTTCTCTGAACAGAGAACATTGTCATCATGCAATTGAAGCAAATGAACTTTAGCTCTGTTCTTGTCTAGTTATCAGAATTAAAAACAACAAAAAAAGAATGCCACAATTTATTGCAGCTTGTAAATATTCAAGTTGATATCATTTGTGTTTGTTATTCTATGTTAATCAAACTTCTTTTTAGAGGAAAGAAGTTGGTGGTGCTTGGGATAACTGCTTTCATTACTTTGATGTACTATTGTTCATCAAAGTTTATTCTTCCTCATCGCCATTTGAAAGTTGTTCACGGCGGACATAGTAAGAAATTTTTGTTGTTTAAGAATACCTTATTTTTGATGTATTAACAACAGAAGTCACAATTCCATTGATTGATTCATTTCTTTACCATTTTGGAAGTAAGAATTAAGCAGTGCTTTTCAATGCTTTTTTATCAGAATTGATATGGTAAAACCACATTCAGTTGTACCCCATATTATCCAGACTTCTACTAAGTTGGACTGATTTACCACTCCCGCTGGATTTTCCCACCTTAATCAAGTCAAATATTGTGCCATTTGCCAATTCAGGTGGTTTCCTTACCTTCCTTGAAGGTCCAGCTTAACAGGATTCAATGGTATTAATAATCAAGTTTGTTTAGAGCGATAATATATTTTTGTTAGCATGATTTGTCAATGGCTAAACCTGTGTCTGCTCTGAAGTTCAGATTAGGATAGTTCTAGTGGTGAAGGAAGTATTGAAAGAGCTGTAAATGTTTCATTGAATAAATCTTTGGTATTTTTGTTGTCAAAAGTAGAAATAATGCACATACGTAATGCACTTGGCTTATTTAATTTATTACTTCAATTGATTTATTTGCTTAGAAAATGCACCAGCCTGTTTGGCCAGCATGTTGGAAAAGTGGTATCTGAGAATGGAAAATGCAGATGCAGTCATTAAGCACATTCCATCTGATTCTGTGGATCATCAGTTCCTGCCATTTGTTGGTAAGGTTTCTCTCTATATTTTAGTCATGCTTTTAGGGCATGAAATAAACTTGATTATTGTGAATGTCACTAAATAATCTTTTTGTTGTTAAATATGAAAAAAGTCTTGAATAGATAATGCTATGAAAAGAACAGCAAGTGTATTACAGTAGACTTATGGTCACACCAAATGTTGCTGTACAATTCGTGACTGTTAGCAGAGTGTGACTGTAAACAGATTTAAATTGAACAATTTGTATATCTGGGACAAAAGTGACTGTAACCAGCAGTGTGACTTTAAGCAGAGTGACTAGTTGTCTACTTTACTTAAAAAAATCAGTAAATGATGACTACAAAAACTTTTTGCTGAAGTGATAAAGACATTCTATAATGAGAAGAAAACCAAAGAATGTATTCTAAAAGTGTGAAGTAAAAGAGTAAAAAATCCCCATGAACAAGTTATCAGCCATGCATATCCAATCGAAATGATGTATGGTGAAAAGAAAGGCTTTTGAAGTATATTTCTTTCTTATCTAGCATTCCTTTTAATGCTCTAGGTGCCAATGTATTTCGTAATGCCTAATTATATAAATATCTTTATCCATAAACACATTTTGCTTTGTAACTTATTGAAAGTGTGAGAAAACATTGTTATTGTAGAATGTAGATGTTCTGAATCAGTTTATTGTTTCTATTCTGAATGAGAAACCTTTATCTAATTTTATTATTGAAATACAAAATGTTAAAACGTTGAATGTTTTGTGTTAGGATATCCATCTTTACTGTTATCTACTTGGTGCTTCTAGCATTTGAGTTTGAGTATGCTTGAGTACCATGACATTGACTGCTGTCTGCTGTATATTACCATCAAATGCAAATATTACCTAGAAAAAATCTTTATCTACACGTTTATGAATCAGCTATGATCAGTCACTCTAGGTAGGAAATCACTCTGGTCCCATAAATTTCTCACAAGATGTCTGTTTTAATGGTGGCATAAGTTTCCCAAATAAAGTGATAGGATACGACACATTTTTCAGATATATACTGCATGCCTGTTTTTACATATCTTCATCTGTTCCTCTGTTCTTTTCATAGGTGACGGTTATGTAGGCTTGACGACTAATGGTGAAAAAAGCGAACTCTATATTCTGAATGACACAAAAATGGGTCTTATAAAGATCCCTTTTTCAAATCTGCTGCAGTTTAATCCAATGGGGGAGACAAAAGACCCAGATGGTAACTTTTCTTTGCGTAAAAATTATTCAAGGAAAACTCATTAAAATCAAAATTTTGTGCTATTTATTTTAGAATATACCAAGATGATGCAGCTTACATATAGAAATAATGCAGTGGTTTACTTCAACTTTAAGCTGAAAGAAAAACTGCATAAAAATTAAGAAATATTGTTAACAATGCTACTCATAGCAAGATTCGGAAGTTGGGTGAAGGTCCCGCGGTGCGTTTATGATTGGAAAAGCATAACATTGCTGATCGGATATGTAACAATTGGTTTTTTGTATAGTCCAACCAATGGGAATCTAAATGGCAATCGTAATGCGGTGGGACCAACTGCCTTTATGTTAACAGGATTTATGTTATAAACAGGGTAGATAGATGTAATATGATGTATACTAGGGTGACTCTTCTAGCAACTCAGGGGAGCAGGTTTTGTTTAAAACCTCATTAAAAAGTTTTTAATTAAAATTATATTTATACCTATTTTATGATATGAATTTTTTTTCCAAATTTATCATTGTTCACTGCCCAGCAAAATAACATGCACTTGGTAGAAAAGGGGAGATTTATTCATTTATCCTAATAAAAAACGAAGAGTATTCTCCTGTCGTGCAAAAAAATTCATCTTGAAAGTAGCTCTTGTTTCTGGACCTCCTGGACTAACTCGTCAGCGGGGGCTATTAGCTTATGGCATTTAGAGCTTTAGACATCTAGTTTGAGACTTAATTTCTCGTCAATAAATTGAGATACTTTTTCGTATAGAGACAATTGTTCTTGATATCAAAAATGGCAAAATCCACAAGTTTACTACGTTTAACGGGGTAAGTTTTTAGCTTCTATCTTTATAGTCTGTTGAAATTTGTGCGCTGTTATTGTTTCCGTAGATAACATCTGATGAGGTCCGTTTTAAAGAAATGCCGGAAATTCAAAACGATATCAATGAGGCATAGAAAATATTTATTTGTTGGTGCATTTGGGTTGGTTCGGAAACCTTGAAAATGTAAACATTTTTTTTAATAATGGCCTTTTTTTATTTTTAAGCACATTTCAATGTCCAAAATAAATTCTAGTATTTCATCGGCGCCCATATCAATGACACCTGTCGCTGACAAATTGTCTACCGGACAAGGTAGGACAAGCCACGCAACTAAGTTCCCAAACAGAAGCAAATAAACATGTTATATAAAATGATCTTATCAAATTAATGAAACAGTATTCTAACACGATTTAGTTCTAAATCTAAGTAATAAATGCAACCTTGGTACGTGGGCTAAATATATAAAAACAGGAAAAATAACGAAAAGAAATCTTAAATTAAATAGCAAATGCAACGTTACTTGAAATCAGTATATTCTAGTAGCCAAAGTCTCTACTAAAATTAGACGAGCCCAGACAAAGCATGAAAACATTGACGAAACTCTTTAATTCAAAGTCTTTATTTCGTAACCAGTTGCAGTAGTAATCAATAAGTGTTGTTGTTCCGAAAGAGGCTAGCAGAGACTCTATGGTAACAAGTGCCCCGTGGAATCGGTGGAATACAATAATTTGATGGGAGGTAATTTATTGAATTGGTTTTTACAGACCAAGAATTCAAATTTAAAGACCCTTGCGCAACCGGCATGCTTAGCGGCAGTTGTCTTGAGAAATTGACTACGTTTTGTATTTTCATCGCTAATTTTCATGCAGTACGTTATTAGGCCAGTCTTTTGAATTATAGTCGCAAAGCATGCCGGTTGCTCAAGAGCCTTTAATGGTCAGGGTAAAAAAACCACTGTAGTTTAATTAGAAATATTTTTATTTCCACGCTGGAACACCCCTTTTGATTTCTTCTTTATCCTCAAGTCTGTTGTACAAATTAGCCTATTTTTTAACAATGTAAGCATTTTTTAGGATAATCAAGTGTATTGTATTGTTGTGGAACACATCATTTTCGTTCACCGTGATATTCCTGGCCTTTTGTACCAAGAAGTGAAGATAAACAATTTCAGGGTAAGTACTGTTTATTTAGAGTTTTCAAAATAATATGAAAGTTTTTAGTTTTGAAATTTTTGTTTTATGATATTCCAATATAGTCACTTATTCTTGCCAAAATGTTGATCTTTTTTAAATGATCAAATTTTGATGGCTCATTGTAGCAGCAGTTTGCCAAAACAGGCATCTATCTGGTTGTCCACATCGTTAAATTTATTTATTTAGGCATGTAGGCCGAGATGGTCCCTCGCCATTCTACATTTGATACATGGCTGAAAATACACTTTTTGCAGCAAAACAAACGTAGAGTTTGACTAAAGATATTATATTGTTTAATTGTTAGCCCACGGCAGTTCATGGAGTATTCAGCATACAAACAAGCGATAAATGGCACAAAGAGGTCATCACCTCAAAGGGGTGAGTTTCAACTTCTTCATAAGAAATGTTTTGTAAATAACTATAAACCCAGTTAGTTTTGGATCGACTAGGCCAATGAACGAAGAATGCGTAAATGCTTTTTTAACTTTTTGCTTTTTTCCCCTTGAATAAAATGCTAATGTTTTTTGCTTGGATCACTCCATAGAATTTGTTTGTTTCTTACTGGATTTTTAAGGCCCAGATCCCAACGAAATGGTTTTGCTTAGGTTCTAGAATAGAGGAATGTGTTCCTGAAGGTGAATTTGATTTTGGTTAAAGATATAAAGGGATTCTAAAGCGTTGGCGTTCAAGCAAAAAATAAGCTTGCAACGTCATGTCTAGTAGCATTTGTTTTACACGCTGCTTACTTTTCAGAAGCAAATTGGACAGCTACTCATTGAGCTACGGAGTTGAAAGTAGCAAAGCGAGAACTGGTCGAAAAGTCATAGCAGTTGCGACTTCGTTGTTTCCGAAAGAGTCAAAGCTTGCTGGACGACGGTGAGTATTCACGAACTTATGCACATTGGTCTAGAGTTGTGATTTATGTTATGCTTATCCGATCAGGACTGGATTATACTAATTTGAGGTAATGTTTACATTAACTCAATTAAAACAAGTTTGCCCATGGCGCTGCTTTAGGTACTGCCGGCGATAACTACGACAAAGGAACCATCGCGTTTCGAACAAGGTGCCAGCATTCAACTACGTGCTTGTGATGAATCTTTTATTGAAGTATGAATAAATGTGAATGGTAGAATAAGATTTTGGATGGTTGACCTGATCGTGGTCTGAATCGCCTTTTCTTGAAACTGCGCCTCTTTGAATGTATGAAATTCAATTCAATCTTATATTGAAATGCGTTCTTTGAACAAACTATAGGTGCCCATGCAAATGGTATCCCTCTCGATTTGCTCTGTATCCCTCAGTTTATGGTTCCCACAGACTTCGGATAACAGGAGCAGATATATATGTACTTCAGCACCTTTTAATTATCGTACTTTGCTGACGTGTTCGCCTTTTGTGACAACTTCCAAAAATCAAGTATAGATGGCAGATAAATAACAAAATCACGTTTGAAGCTACGAAAACCAACAAGAAGATAACTCGATTATTTTGAAACTCGTTGACGTCGTTTTGGGTTTGATTTTTAATTTTCTGACATTGCAGATTATTTTAATATATTACTTTATGGGGTTTATATAACGTCATCCAAGGCTATAATCTTGATGGTTACTGCTACTAATCTGTTGGTAGCTCTCTTCTTACAAGTGCCTCTGCCCTCATAGTCAACATGGCTGCTCTAATATAGCGAAAAGCAAATGGTAGGAATCACATATATTTCACTGAAAATTGACATCATTATTGTGTTTTGTCGACAGATCTGTTGAAATGCAAGTCACATCTTTAATACGAACGGATGATCTCTTCGTGGAGCAAGATAAGAATATGCAGTCGGAGGCTGAACAGAAAGCCGTAGTCGATCGTAGCCTAAAGAAGCTAAAGAGCGAAATCGGGAAAGTGAGTCTGATGTTGTAAAAAAGTATTTTTTGAACCTTTTGCATAAGCAGTTCAGTTTTTAACTGGGCAACTCTGCTGGATAATTCCATCCAACCTTTAGGAAATCGTTCACTTGTTTTATCAGCAGGCAGGGGGCTGGAAGGTGTTAACTATAACAGTCAAGGGCTCTCTAATTTTATGGAAATTGCAAATGACGTACCATTTTATGTTCAATGTCATATTTACAGTACAGCATATTAAATGGGTTTTTTCAATGCAGCTTGATAAATGTTACATTCCAAATGCAAGGTTTGAGAAATTGCCTGCTGAATTACATGGTACGAGGGTCACTCCAAAATTATTGAGATATTCAAAAACCGCAAGAGGCATCGTGTTCAAATTTTCACAGTTTCTCAAAATACTCTCCACTGGCTTCCACACAAAGTCTCATACGATAAAACCACATATCAAAACAATGGGCCCATTTTTCTGCAGCCAGGTCAAAAACAGCCTTGTTGAAGGCACTAACTGCATCATCAGCGCTATCAAACTTGGTTCCGCGATTTTTTTCTTTCACCGCTGGAAAGAGAAAGAAGTCACAAGGTGCCAAATCAGGTGAATAAGGCGGGTGGGTCATCAACTGAACTGAATTTTCGGACAGAAAGTCGATGGTCAAAGCAGCTGCGTGAGCGGAAGCGTTGTCATGGTGCCAAAGTAGACCTCTTAAGCCGGTCCTTGGACGTTTATTTCGCCAAATTTCTAGAACCTGTGGTATGCAGTGGTTAACATACCAATCCGCGTTCACTGGACGACGGTCTTCAACTTGAATGGTTGCGACATGACCCGTCTTTGAGAAAAATGACGCAACCATTCTTTTGCCGACGCTTCTGGATCGCCAAAATTTTTGCGGCGGGTTTTCACCTGGAAAGATCCAAATTGAGGATTTGGCGCTTTGCCTCCGGGTCAAATTGGTAAACCCAACTTTCATCGCCTGTCACAATGTCATAAACCCGTTTCGACTCCCCTTCATTAAATTTTTGCAGCATAAACTGGCACCAATTGACGCGCTGCTCTTTTTGCTCATCTGACAAGCAATGTGGCACCCAGCGGGCAGCCACTTTCCGAACTTGCAGGTTTTCATGCAAAATTGTGTGCAATGCTGCTGATCCAATCTTTATGCTATCCTGCATCATAGAATAAGTCATCCAACCATCTTGCCTTAGCATCTTCTCCACAGCGGCAACTGTTTCTGGCACAACAGCAGTTGGGGGCCTCCCTGGGTGGGTCTCATCTTTAAGGCTCTCCCTCCCTCTCTTAAATTCGGCAAACCATCGAAAAACTGTTGCCCTCGAAAGTGCATTATCTCCAAATGTCTGCAGAAGTTGAGCTAGGCACTCTTCTTGTTTCAGCCCCCTTTTAAAATCATAATAAATCATTGCGCGAAAATCACGTCTTTCAAGCTCCATTTTTAACAAATAAGAACATCTAAGGTGCTGAAATTCAAAACCCTTTTTTATTTTTTTCCCGCGCTTGAAATTAACAAAAATTACAAAACATGGGTGAAATAGATGGTACAAGCCACCAAAAAAATTTCAAACTGATATCTCAAGCGGTTACTGAATATCTCAATAATTTTGGAGTGACCCTCGTATTGTTAAGCACAGAACAATCGTAGACTGACTTCACCTATATTGTTACCATTTTTGATAGGCTGCTTTGTCGCTAAACCTTTGAAAGTTTTCTTGAGCTCACTATGTCACGACGCATTTCGCTGGCCATGTAAATTTCCCATTGGTTTGGATACACAATAGACCTATTGTTACGTATCCAATCGGCTAATTCTTAATGTTTTCTCGATCGTAAACGCATCGCACAGCCTATTGTTAATTCTGAACAGTTGGCTGACGGGACATAATGCCTTCAAAAGCTCTTGGCTGATTGTTGAAAATCATGGCTGACATGATCAGTCTTGTTGCTCATTCCCACCGGTTAACCTCTGCAATCTTGCAGTGAAGATAGGTTTTGATTATTTAGAAACTGGTTAGTTTCCGTTTTCATCCTTGGTACTCTACCTTTGTTGAGAATGTATGGATTTTGGAATATTTTAATTTGAAGAGTGAACAAATTAACGGAAACACAGCATACTAAAGTACTTTTTGTCTGATGCCCTTCTTCAGATTTTCTCTCTTGGTTCTTTCCCTCTTGGTTTTGGGCTCTACAACAAGGTAAGAGGTTAGCGGTCGCTGATTGGTGAAACAAAAGATTCACATGTAGCCAATAAGGAACACCACAATGCGACAAAAACGAACAACAAGATATACACTTAGGGGACAAAAGTATGGAAACGATGGCCTAAATTTATGACGACTAACTTCGACTTCGGGTGACCCTGTAAATATTTTGAGCGTTTTTGGCGCGAAAATTAAGAATGGCATCAGCATAGGTTAGGAAAACACGAACAAAAATATTTGTAGTCAATAACAAACAAAATATTCCCCCATTTATTTTGCATAAAAGGTTAAAAAAGCGAGTATTTCAAGATGGTCAAAATTAGAGAATTTACAGAAAGTGAACGAGTGGCCATAAAACATTTGCGTGAAGCGGGACATTCTTTCGCAGAAATTGGCAGACAAGTTGGCTGCAGTAAGTCAGGGGCATTTAAAATTGTCAAGCACGTCGAAAAAACTGGCTCCATTGAAAAACTGCAAAGAAGTGGCCGTCCGAAAAAACTTTCAGAGCGGGGGGAAAGAGCGATTTGTCGGGTCGCTCGCAAGTTACGGTTCGCGACTTTGGGAGAGCTGAAGTCAGCTTTTTCTAACCAATATCAAACTGAAAACCCGTCAAAACGGTTGGTTAAACGTACTTTAAAGAAATACGGATTAAGAAGCTGCATAAGGAAACGGAAGCCATTCGTTTCCTTAAAAAATAGGTCTTACCGTAGGAAATGGGCGAAGGCAATGCTTGAGTGGCCTGTTTCCTACTGGGAGGATGTGGTTTTCTCCGACGAAAGTCGCTTTTGTTTAAAAAATGATTCTGGCATACTGAGAGTTTGGAGGACAAAAAGCGAAGCAAATAACCCACAATTTTTCTTGCCGACATTTGCCAACACCGTGTCTGTTATGGTCTGGGGCTGCATTGGGCCTGATGGCGTCGGGAAGCTTGCCATCTGTGAACGGTCGGTAAACTCACATTACTACCAGGAAATTTTAGACAGCAACCTCAAAAAAAGTGTTGAGATGATTTATGGGGACCGAGACCGTCCGTTTATTTTTCAGCAGGATAATGCTCCATGCCATGCTTCCAAAGCAACGAAGAAATACTTCGAGGAAAACAGTATCATGGTCCTTCCTTGGCCAGCTCAAAGCCCTGATCTTAATATAATTGAGAACGTCTGGCAGTTTATGAAAAAAAAAATGAATAGAGATCCTCCAAGGAACAAACAACAAATGGTCGAACAAATCTTTAAAATCTGGCGAGAGATACCTCCGAAATATATTTCTCAATTGTTCGAGTCAATTCCGAGAAGACTGCTTGCGGTTATAAGACGGAACGGGTATCCGACAAAATATTGAAAAAAGACATGCACGCTTTCGTTTCAAATTGAAAATAATGTTAATTTAGTTAATTTATGATTGCTCTTCCTATTGATAAAGCTATTGTTTAAGAATGAAAGCTATCAATCATGATATGGTCTGTTGATTTTTACAGCTCCTGCCCAGCTTGCTGACGCCATAGTATGCCGTGTAGGCCATCGTTTCCATACTTTTGTCCCCTCAGTGTACACCTAAAATGGCTTTGAAAAAAAGGCTTCGGGGCTTCATCACTTTTGCTCTGATGAAGCCCCGCATGCCTGGGCGAAATATTAGCCTTTACTAAATTATGTGTATTTATTGTTGTTCATTCTCGTCGCATTGCGGTGTTTCTTATTTGCTTCATTTTCATCGATTTTTCACCGCAAAAACTCCTTGGAGTTCGTCGAGCAGACTGCTATCGTGACCTTTTCTTTGTTCACAAAAACTGATTCACACCTATGCATTTGCATTTTCATCTTACTTTCGGACATTATCCGACGTTTGTACTTTGACTAGTGTCGGACAAAAGTACGCTGGCGGCTAAAAGTATGCGATGTATCCGCCATTTCGTGCCATCTTCAATTTTTGTGGTACCAACAACTTTTTTGAGTATTTTTATTGTTGTAAAATTAGCTGTAGTTGTGATTTTAGTTGTGGTATCAATTCTAACTGAAATTTCTCATTTCTTAGGTATGGGGACCACTGATTCAAACGCCTTTACAAAAGACACATATTTTGGCTTGGAAATCTGTAAGTTCTTTCAAAGGTTCTTAAACAGAGTTCAGAGCCTGTTTTTAGAATTAACAGTAAAACCGAGGCTTTGACTGAATTTTGATTATTCTTGATTGTTTCCCAGCAATACATCAATGTTTGCTTATTCAACATACTCTCAAATATCCGCACAGTTCTCATTTCCGTTCATGATGCAGGAACAAATCGGAGCTGATCAATTTTATTGCTCAACGTAGCAATCATCGAGAAAAGCGATACGTTGAAATTCTAAGTTCACCCATAGCCTGTATACATACTATATCGAATTAAAATTAAGTTATAGGCAACGAGGCACATAAAATCTGAACTTCCAAATAAACGCGTGTTACTATAATACCAAAAATGTCATTTTTAAGAAATCTGTCACATGCTTCTCACCAAGGCGTTTCTCATAATTCATATAATTTCGTAGAAACTTCGAACCCTTGATCAACGGACTAACTCCCCGTATGGTAAAACAAATGGTCCAGCCCCCCTCCCCCCCCCCGAGACTGTATGATAATATATATTGCCTTTTGTAGTTTAACATGCTAGATATATTTGTAAATTTTTTATCAGATTGTAAAAATGATAAAGAACAGTGCATAACCACATTTTTAAATGTAATTATTCACGTTTCGTTTGTACGATGCCATTTTAAAGTGTGTGTTTTTTAGGTTTGGAATCTAGGCATTCGCATCGAATCGAAAGACGATCCTGACACACCATCGCCACTCAATGTCAATATTACTGAGTATTACTTGTATTCCACAAATGTTTTTAAAAATGATTCCCTAGCAAGCATACCGGAGTCGAAAACCGAATCGTGTTTTTATGGAGCACCAACAATGTAAGTTTCGTATCTTGTGCACAGTTGATCTCCGCAAAGAAGAATATATTTTCTCTAGAGTCAGGTTATTCTTGTGGTCAGTCATTCTTGGCAACAGTGGTATCTTGTTACAAGAATTGGTTCAGGGGGTCTTTTGAATAAACCTCGAAATTTAAGGTGAAATGGGTTCCCAAAGACAGGATATTGCTCTAAAGAAAGAAAGCCTGTAGGTTCTTGAATTCTGAGATTCTTTCCTGTAGGGATTTTATGTATAGTAGCCTTTTAGATATATAAATCAAAGAATGAAGCAATGTGCAAATCTAAAAATCAGTGTAGGTTAGACTCATGTGTACTTGATGTGCACAAAGAAGTAAGTCAGTAGGACACTAGGTGCATCTGATTGGCATCATTTTGACCAATTAGCGACGTTCAACTTTGAGGTAATAGAAGCCCCTAACCAATAAAGAAACCAGCCTGTACTTAGCACTTTTTCAACAACAGCTAGACTTTGATTAAACTTTTGATCTTTTATAGGCATACAACACATTTTTGGGTGATGCCAAAGGACATCGCAAGTTTAATTTCCCTAACGAGCAACTGGAATAATACTTTATATAAATTTGGATGTGGAGCTCTCATGAAGGCAGGTGAGACGAGTCATAAAGTTGCTATGGGGCCAAGTTGCAATGGGCTTTTTGCATTGGTAACGGTCTTAGTTGGCTTTTATGTGATAATGGCAATTTCTTTTTGTAATTTTGAGCCCGACTACACTTTGAAAACAGCCCTTCATATAAGGAAGTATATCGATTTATCTCAAGCTCTGCATTCAGCTAGCAAATCTGTATGCGAAATCGTGCAGTTAAATGTTAATGTGACATAATGCTTTTAACATATTGGTCTGTAAAGAGGATAAAGGCTTATACCTCTTTTTAAAAAAAACTAAAAGCCCAAAAATTATTGACTTACCATTTTGCTGTCCCTAGTATTTAAAACAATTGAAAGGGAGGGTAGTGTAAAGCCTGGTCCAAAATTACCTCAAAACAAAACAAAATACTCTACAAATATCAATCTGGTTTCCATGTAGTTTCCATGCCAACCATTCCACTGATACATGCTTATATTTTAATACGACAAGTTCGCAAGGGGCTCGATAATTGTACAGACATATTTCGTGAAAAATTGGACTTCCTTGGTTTTTTTGACGAAGCTATCAGTTGGTTCACATCAAATTTAAATGCTGATTAAGCTGTTATTTCTAGCTTTTCTTTCTCTGAGTTTACATGTTGTCTTTCATCCAAAATTCCCGTTTCCCTAGGCGTCTTCGGGATACAAAGGGCACTCGTCCTCAGTTTCTCAGGACTCCAGTACACAAAGCATGGATTAGAGCTGGCAATCAATCCAATATCATTATCATCCAACGTATCTCTACGTCATCTGCCGTACCACAAAAACACTATTTATATTCATATAAGAATTATGCCCCCAGATGGCATCAAAACTATCGAAATATTCTCAGAAAATTCCAAAGCACCAAAACTGTATGCTTGTGGATCCGCTTGTGAGCATGTTGTTGAAATCAGGTGCGTGTTTTTCCTTTATTTTGTAGAATTATGAATTGATTTGCTTGGTGTTTTGAATGTTTGCGGACATTTCTGCAACATCTGACAACGAGCCAAAATGCTGGATCTCATGGTTTAAATTTGTGAAATGAAATGTTTATTTTCAATTAATGAGACATTTATCAGCATTTAACTTGAAAAAGGTCATGTACTCGAGCCTTACATTTGGCACTTACTTGATACCGTTGTGAGTCAGTCAACTTTATATCTAGGATGGATGGTCTTTAAAACCAACTTTTTGTATGCTAATATAGAGTGAAGTGTTTGGATGCTTCAAATCTGTTTTATAGAATAGCTTTGAATGAAATACGGTTTCTACCAGAGTCAAATGCAGTAAAATCTGTGTAATTCGAACGTTCTAGGGGGTTGTAGAAAGGTTTTTTACAGGGATTTCCTGAGATTTGAATCATAGAGGTTTATATTCAAGAGACCTGAGAATTTAAATCAAGAGTTCGAATAAATGGAAGTTCAAATTACACGAATTCGTATAAGACAGAGTTGACTGTCATATGTTTATTTTATTTGCATTCAATAATATATCACGTATCTAATTAGCACCTGAAAATTCCCCTTTTATTATTGAGAATCGCTTTTTATTTAAATAATGGTCAGTGAATAATATTTTCAAACGATATTATTCTCATAGCATCAGTTTTAATGAATTTCAAGTAGATAAGAAACGATACGCTTTTGTCCTTGAGCTTACATCTTGGAACACCTAAAGATAGGAGCAGAGCAAAGGCGACGATTAGCTCCGGTTTGCCTGACTATGTTGGAATGGGACACCTCGGTGGGGGCATTTTCAATTGATTTCAATTAAAGTAGTCACAGAAATTTTTATTTTAGCAATACTTTATCCTCCAAAGGTAAAACACACGACAAATGAAGTAATTTTGTTGAAGTGAAATCATATGAAGTTGCGCATGCGCCATTTTTTCCTCCCACAACTACTACTTCTGTTATTTATAGACTATATAACTTGTAGTGTATACGTATGCTTATTGCTGGTGATGAGTTTCCATTCGCTCAGGTTCACTGTACCCTGGGCTCCCGGCTACAATGCTGGAAATGGAATCTTCTGAGGCTTCTTTTGTCGGAATATGAGACCAAGATTGCTTTCCATTGAATCTATTTTGTGGCTGAACTTCGGCACATTTTAACCTTTGAAGAAAACCGAATTTTTCCTGGAAATCCTTGTTCATGAAATCAGACACAGAAAAAAATGAAATTCCCTCTTGGTAAAACTTCAGATCCAAGAAAATATCTTGCAATTAATCAGTGCCATGAGCATTTTTCAACACAGGCCAGCGTCCGTGCCGGTCCCTTCGCTACCTATTGGGGGGTTCCAGGGGGGTTTCTTATTCTCGTTTGCTCACAAAGTGGGTGAGCCACCCTTTATTTTCCGACAATCATGTCAACGCAGAGATAAAGTGTAGCTTCAAAATTACCCATTGCTTCTGAATATTTACCCATTACACATACACGCTAAGGCTAAGGGGCCAAAGAAGCAACTTACAGAATGCTGATTTTTTGCTCTGAAAAAAGTAGGAAAGGGACGTCTCTTTTTAGCCAAGAAAGCAAGGAAATGAATAAAGGTTTCACACCAAATTATTAATGTGCAACATGTAGAACCTGAAACTTATATATTTCTTTTGCAGCTCAACACCATCATTGTTCCTTGCTAAACTAACCAATCCTGTTACTCCAATTCTGTATGTTTCAACCAATAGAAGTGAACTCCTTGTTATAAAAGAAAGCTCTTTTATGATAAATGCCCTGAAAGGTAAGCTTTCTCATTCTGGTTGTTTTTCTTTCCTGTCCATGTACCCTGCTTTACTGACTATAAAAATTGTCATTATCAGTAGCTGAGAATGCTATCTTAATTTCTGCCTCCAGTATACAATATTTCTTGATCAGAAGTACCAAACAATAGTGTGAACAAATTTCCTTTAGGAAAATTACTATAATTATTCTTTATTTTCTAACAAAAATTCCTTGTTTTGTATTGACTGAAATTGTAGTTAGAACTTTTCTCTTAACAACAAACAGGAATTTGCTTTGATTTTTTCATGATGAAGTTAGTTTCCCTTTCATTTTTTCTGTTGTGTTTATTTAGAAACACACGAAGATGACCAGCCCAGGTTTGCAGCTCACCATTTCAAGCTCTCAGCAAAGTTCTGGCTCATTGTCATTTTATCTATAGTATTCTTCCATGTTATTGTGATCAAAATGATTTATGCTGAATGCCATAAAGACAAAGGGGCAAAAAGAAACAGAGGAAGAGCTTTCGTCAGCTAATGTTCACTTGCCATGGAAGTGATACAGCAGTCTTAGTCAAGTTTTGTGATCAAGATGAAGAAGTCAACAGACAAATGAATGATTGGCAACATGTAGGCTATACTGAGGAACATAAAACAACATGCTTTGTACAAAAATCAAGGAATGCAATGGATCCAGGAGGCAAAGGTAGAAGCTATTATCTGATCTTTGATTACAATACAGTGTTTAGCATGCCATGGAAGGATTATAAAAATACCTAAACATTTGAAGGATTGGAAAAACATCAAGTGTGAAACTTCTACTCCAGTTGCAATAAAGTAAAGGTACTGTCAGTAAATTATAAAATTTTAAGTTTTGTGTTGTTGCTAGCAATTTGTTTTATATCTAAGTTAATTTTTTTAAATGTCAGGTTCAAAAGATATATTTTCAAGGGCCCTTAATTTTCATTTGAAAAATTACATTGAAAGTTGTTTCTATTTGATTTTTTCAATTACCGGATATGATTGTTCTTCATTAAAATAAAGTTTAAATTCTTATTCATTACTAGAATTTCAAGGTTTCTCAGCCTGATCATCCTTGGTTAGCTGGCTGAAAAACGTATCAGCAAAAATCACCCCTTACATAAAATATTGCATCCTTATCTCTTGAGCACTTTCATGTTAATGTATTTACATGCTATACCATATTAAACATTAAAATACACTACTGTTCACTTGCCGAAGAAAAACTATAAAGGTATTTATGACAGATATTGTTATGAGCTGATTATTTACAGTGACATTTGTGAAATAGTGAGATATGTATCAATTTTCCAGTTGAGAGTCAAGGTTTCCATGTTATTGTTTGTACAGCAATCCGTGCTGCCTTTCTCACAGCTGCACTCTGGTTGTCATTGACAAGTTTTTCAACCTAAAAAAGTATGATGTTTAATTTGTTGTTAATCTAGCTTCTCGATTTCATCACTGAAACATACATATACACAGCTTTTCTCTGAAAATCTAGAGGTAGCCATGGAAAGTGAAAAAATCCACAGTAAGAAAATTAAGCTGAGAACTTGAACATTTCAACATCAAGTTAAAGCCAGAATTAGTTCTTAAATGCAAACATATAATTGTAGGCGTAGGAGATTTTTTTTTCAAGAGAAATAATTCAAGAAAGGCAACATGGTGAAAGATGCACTACATAATTTATTTTTGAATTTGCTCATGACCAATCTAGATGTGGTTGGTTCCCTTTCAAGTCAGAGCAGTTCATCAGTTCTCATTTCTTTTTATTTGTTTAAATGCTTGGCAGTATGTTTGGCTTTCCATAAAAAATTGAATGTGCAAAAAAAAATTTTGAAAAAATCATACCTCTTTCAGAGATTTAAGAAGCTCTGTTCTTCCAGGGGGTGCCTCTGACAATTCTGTTATTGTCTGCAATTCGAATTGTGTACAATTGTCAGTTATATTATTTTATTTCTTACATCCTGATTTCTTCAAAAAACAGTTAAGAAAATAAACTAAACTCTGAACATAATAATTTTTCCCTTACAAAGGGTGACTTTCAGTTGATTGATGTTTAAAGGCCCTGTTGGTCTAAATTTCAAAAGGCAAATAGGCCTATGAAAATTCTTTACAATTTGGTCATCTCCTTCCTAGGCCCTTGTTGAACTAGTAAATGAAATAATTATGGAGTTGAAAGAATCTTTGAACTTAAATTAAAACAAACCTTTAATGCATTGAGTCTAACTTCACTTGACTCATCATGAAGCAGTGCCACAAGACGAGATATGGTGCCTGCTTCAATTGCTGCATATTTCCCTCTTGTTGTTATGCTTATTCTGAAATTGAAAAGGACTTCATAGAAATTCTGGCTCATATTTGCTATTTGACGGCTAAACTCAACACTTTAATTCTGTTTTGCAGTTGATGAAAAACTAATGAACAGTCTTAAGCCATATAACATACACCGTGCCATTTGATAATATTCTTTGAAATCTAAAATAGATTGCAGCAGAGAGTTAATTTTCAATTCACTGTAAAGAAGCATTCTAGGGTGCACTTATAATCTAGATTGCTTTTTTTGTTAGTGCCAGGACTAACTTGTCAGACAGTATCATTTTAGAAATTAATTTTATTTTGAATCCATGTTCTGGAAAGTGGAAAGTCCTTGATATCAGTCAAAATGACCTTTTCAGAGCAAAAGACTTTTAAAAGACTCAAGAAAGACTTTTAGAATTTACTGCCAATGTCAAATCAGATGCTGATTGCCCTTTTGCAAAAAAAATCAAATACATACGCCATTAATGCCCCAGCTGCACTTGCTTTCACTAAAGTTGATTGCTCTGTTAGAAGTTGACTTAAAATGGGAACAGCTCCAGCATCACAGGCTGCATCTTTTCCGTCTAGAGGAAAACTACAAAGAAACATCATGATCATTTTACCTGGAGCTTATAAATTGACTTGGTCAATGGTTTACTTTTTGATGTTGTTGAAGTTCTAAATAACAGAGGGTAAACTCACTAAACTAAACTTTCTGAGAGTTGGTTTGTGGGGATAGGTGTTGGGGTGCCAAAGGGCAAAATGTCATGCCCGTAACAAAGGCATATCTACCAGACACCTTGTAATGAAGTTTATTTTTGCATAAAATACCTCAGGTCCATTATATCTCTGGCAGCTTTTGATCTTAAGTTTGCATTTGTATGGCTGAGCAGCTTTGTAAATGCTTCCATTGCGTTGCTGCTAAGAGCTTGGTCTGTATTCACTTTCATACAGAAGTGCAGTGTATCCAGAATGACTTCCTGTTGAAAAAAGTTCTGCTTTAGAATCACAAATGAAAATCGTTCTCAGAATGGGCAGTAAATTGGTAACAAGAGTGAATTCAACTATAGACTTTGAGGGCTTGAGATTGGGGTCTCCAGGTCAGAACTTTCTAACATGTGTATATTTCGGACTGAGTTTAAAGTCTTCTTACAATACATGCAATTGCAATTTAGGTAGTTTTGCTGTTCAGAATTTTCTTTTATCTTCTTGTGAAAATGCTTGAAAGGTGTATCACTGTTTGAAAAAGCAAATTAGCTTTTTATAAACCAAAAGAATGTTTACAGAATTTTAGTAGAAGTTTCTTGAAAAACAAAATAATCTAACAAATAGCATGCAAGACTTTTAACGAATGGTTAAGTCCCAAGAAATGTTATCAAAGTAACTCAAAAAGAAAATTTTATTTAAAGGAACTATGTGAAACAACAAGAGAAAAAGAAGGTAACAAGTATGCCTAGGGGGTGCAGGCATGTTTGTGTGATCACACTATATTTAGTATTTCCAGGGCTGATTTCTGTAATGCCATACTTCAAGGGAATCTGTAAGATAGGCTAGGGGGTAAAGGGGGTTTTACAAGCCTAGATTCCTTCTTCGTTGAATTCAACTTTAGCGTGATGCCGGATTGACAATTGATGGATCTAGAATGAAAATTGGTTCCATCAATTTTTAATATCTTCATTACACAGACCTTTATTTCATCTTCTTCTGTTAGCAGCTTTCCAACCAAAATTGGGACTAAATTTACACCAACAACACCTTCAGGGCCTGTAAAGTAAACATGTTTAACAATGATAAGATTTAAATGTTGATAAATTATAAATTTCTAGGGAAGAATAAAACGAAATTAAAGGGAAAATGTAATATTTATTGCCTAAACATTGTGGATTAAATGGGCAGATAATTTTCCATTTATTTCTAAGGGAGTGAAAGCAAATGTAAGCTTTTATTGTTGGTCAAGATTGGAGATACCAGTTGAATAAAAGCTGAATGGATTAAATAAATGGAACAAACTTAAATGAAGCAAAAATGCAATGTCTTCAATGACATTTAACGTATGGAACTTTCAAATGTTTGACAGTGTCCTTTTAGCTTGATTTTTCACTATGAAATATCGTGAGATAATTCTCAGTTAAATTAAAAATTAACTCATGGTCTAGATTCAAGTTAACTTGAGATAGTGTGAAACAGTGTGAGATAACACAAGCTAACTCAAAATTAACCCATAACGATTTGGTTTCCACTTGAGGTAGAATTAAGTATGGAAATACCAGAAATCACATTTATTTGAGTCTTACAGCTATGGAGGGCATCTTACAAGAACAACTCGTTTTACTTCTGCCTTTGAGAATACGTAGAAGGAAAATATTTATTTTGCTAGAAGTGACAATTGCGGTCTGTGCCAAGGCTTTCAGTACCAAAAATCTACCAGAAAAGATATGAGTTTGGTTAATATAACCACTTGGAAGGGAACAGTAACTTCAAAATGAGAACATCACTTATTGTTTCACTTGATTTTTCTTTGAGTAAAGAAAACTGTTTTCAACATCTAAAGTAATACTCAGAGCAAGTGCGTTGTGTGGTAACCTCAAGGCAAATGGTTGCACATCCTCCTCCCACACATTGGCTTCTTTTGATAAGATGTTATCTCAAGTTAACTCATGAGTTTGAAATAAAAAAAAATTTGTTTCAAATCTAATGAGATAACGTGAGTTAGCATGAGTTAATTTTCATGACATAATTTTTAATGAGCATTTTCATGGAGATAATTGTTAAACTATGTCAGATCACAAAATTATCTCAAATTAACTCATATAAACTCATAGTGAAAACCAAGCTTATGTTAATTGCTAACAAACCAATTTTGGATGTCATACATAATTTGGGACATACCTGGAGGTGATTGGGTGACCATCAATATTGCCATATGAGACTGTCTTCTTGCTTTGTACACTTCATCATCAAACTAGCAGTTTTTAAATGACAAACAAACAAAATTAATAGGTAACAAGAAAGAAATTAAAGTTAATTAGAATAATACCTAGAGAGAAATAGATTTAACTCTAGAAAGACATTCTGTGTAATGTTTGGTTAAAAGAGTCTGACCTGTAAAAGCAGGTAGGTTAAAAGAGTCTGACCAGTAAAAGGAGACCATGCCAAAAATTATTTAGTCATGTTTCTTTGTAAATTTGTGTCTGTTTTCATGTGTCTAGTTCAGGCATTTGGATAAAAATCTTAGTTGGAAACATGACTTTTGTTAACTTTCCAATAGATCTTTATTCTTCAAAGAAGGCATTGTCTAGTTATGGGTGTTTGAATGCCCTAGGACTTAATTGGCTTATATTAGCCTCAGTAGAGCCTCCTTTGAGAATTTAGCCCCCATATGATATCATAGAAGCTCTTCCCCTTGCCAACCTGTGATTCAAACTTCAGATCTGAAAGTGAAGTTGTTGGTAAGATGAGCAAAATAAAGTTTTTTAATGAGTGCTGCAAAGCTGCCTGAACCAATATTACCCCATTAATCACTAATCATTCACTAAGTCAGTCTTGGTTATTAAGACTTTTCAAACTAAAATTTACTTGCATTCTCAAGATAATAATGCCCTTTGGTATTCAGTGCAAATTCACTTTTTGTAAAAATGGGCATGTGTGAAGAAGTGTTTCCATCTGCCATTCCAAAATCCATAAGCAGTCCTTAAGGTGCAGTCTTTAAAATAGTAGAAGATTACAAAAAATAGCATACCAACTTTGATAATGGTAATACAACTTTGTGCTCAAGAATAGCATCTCTTCCAATTGCATGGCCTGAAATATAATTATGATAGTCTCATGATGAAATCCTGGACTTTTCAACTAAAAATAATACTTCTTTTTTAGCTACTCGGTTGTTGAAATGAAAATTTTTCTTTGAATAAAAATAATTGTTTTCTTCCAAGTTTCTCTCTTTTGGCAAAAGCCAAGATTTAGCAACAAAAAGTAAATCGTCGCTCTAAAGAGGAAGTAATGAGGCGTAATCTTAGATTAGTTTTTGCATAATCTTTCTTAGGAAAAGTGTAATTATTAGTAATATACAATTATAAGTAAAGACTCTTTTGTAATATGATTGGAACTTCGTTTCAATGCTCTTTTAGCAACAAATCTGTGTTGAAAAATTGTTTCTTGTTTGGAAAAATTGGTACCTCACAATAAACAACTTGAGCAATAAAAAGTTGAAATAAAATGATGATACCAGGTCACTAGTCAGTTATAGATGAAGACTAATCAACTTTATAGAAACTATTGAATGCATATCTAATGCACTGAAAGGCCATTTTCCATCTTGGTCTTAGAAGCAACTACAAAATTTCATAAGGATCAGTCACCTGCCATGACGTGCAAAGCTTCTGTTGTTTTGATTCTAACTGTTGGGTCAGCATCTTTTAGTAATTTCTTTAAGCTGGTTATGATTCCTGGAAAGAAAAGTTTTTTCTTTAATACTTTTTATTAAAAAAAGGCAAACAGGAGCAAGAGGCTTCCAAAACAACAATGATGTTATTAGAATTCAACGGAGAGTATCTTAAAAGATAGCTACGGTAAAACAAACATAACAAAACAACTTATACAATCAGGATATAATACTAGGCCACATTATGTATTCAGTGGAAGAGTAGTAAAAACGTGTTCACAGCATGACTAAGCAAGGTTAACTTAAAGTGTCAATCAATGATACTATGAGTCAAAACATTATACTAGTTAATGTCTTGTCAGAGTATTCAAGTATACCTGCAAAAATTGGCGTGAAAACATGTGAGGTCTATTGCTCTGTTCAATCACTTCAATTTTAATGATTACCACCAATTAAATAATAAACTTTGGCTGATTTTCTACTCTGAAATGACACTCAAGCAAATGTTTGGATTTTGTATGTCTTACATAAAACACAAGTAATCAAAATTTTTAGCATCAAGAAGAAGGTATAATAAAGAATGATTAAACATGAATCCCTTCTGATAAGAAAATGGGCTGTTTTCATAATGTGTATTGTTGTTCATTATCAGTCCATTGAACAACAAATTCTAAAGTTGCATGAAAATGCAGACAATGGTAATAGAAAAGGACAAGGATTACTTCACCTGTTCCTTTCCAAAACAATATCAAGAATCATATAATTGCTGTATTTTACAGGATTCAAAACATTTTGACTAATTACTAACATGTTTAAGGCTGTCTAACATAAGGTCCAAGCTGTGAGTGACAAAGGAGCAAATGAAAATGTTTCTACCTACCAATCTTGACTCTGAAACAGGTATTTTAATGGGAGGGGAGGCAAGTTTTCTAACCTGGTCTATTGATCATAACTATAAATAATAGTTAATTTACAGTGGCAACAATCAGCTTACCGACTCGAATTGATTCACTGATGTGCTCTGGATTATGCAGCACATCACACAGAGCAACCAGTGCTCTTTGCCGCACAATCAGAGTGTCATCATTTAATTCTTTATTCTGAAAATAAGGAGATGGAAGGCATATTAATATAAGAGAGGAATCCAACAAGTGAAAATTGAAAGTAATGCTTGTTTTAATGTAAAAACAGGCAGAAAAAACCAATCATTGTTAATCTATTATGTCATTTTGTTTGCAATTAATCCACCTAATGTTATATCTTGGCTACAAGGGAGATGTGCATGTACACACTCTTTGTGATATCGTCCTGTATTGTTTAATGTCGTGAAATTTAACTAACAGCAACAAATTTCATTGAAATTTATATAAGGAAAAGGCTAAATTTTGAAAATGGGGTAATTCGCTGCCCGACGGCCTAAACAACATGAAATTTTCGGCACAGACTAATTTTAATATGAAGATTTCAGTTCTTTGATACTTTTATGGCAAGTATCAAGATAAAAATATGTACGGAACAGAGAATAGGGCCTACTAGCTTGCCTCTAGGCCCTAAATAGATCAGTAATAACACACAAATTTTAAATAGAGGAACAAAAATGATAAAACAGTAGGCTATCATATTAAAAGATTCAAGCCTCAGCAGCTCTTACCAGCTTAGGAAGTGCTCTATCGCCATAAGCAAGAGGAGCTTTTGTTAAATCGATGTTGGGTGGCAAATTTGATGAGATGACTGTATGCGCCATTTTGCGATTTAAAATGGCGACCACAATAAATTTATATCACCATAGCTACAGCAATTTGCTGACTGTGCTTACATCGGCATATTTTTAGGATTTGTATCCAAGATGGCTAACGCTTGCAGAAGAACGGTTTTTAGACAGGTAATGTTATTAATTTATTATACGTTGCGTGTGTTCGAAAAATCTTTCCCGGAAAGAGAAACTAGCTACGTAAAAAATTGTGAAATTTTTGGAATAGTCTTCTAAACAGGATTAAGGCCTACCTTAGGCCGAGTTGCAAAATGAAGATGAAGAAATTTGATATGATGGGTGAAAGCAGATACGTAGTGAGGCGCACTATATGGTGTAAACGTTACCAAAATTGCTCGGGTGTCGAGACCTTGTTGAATTGATATCGAATTAATATGCGAATTCTGCAGGGTAAGGGAAGTACACACCCAACCAAGATGTTTTTCTAAAATGTCCCTTCCCTACACACCTGGTCTAGGTCCGGATTGGATCTGTTTCATGTCCATAAAAATTGAACATTAGCAAATAGCACAGATAAAAATTTTGTGCGGCTGAGACTATCTACCATAAAAATGCAGTATCTAACTTTTGGATATACATTTCAGAGAAAAACATTAGTAACATTTTTAGTGGTGACAAAAACAATACAGAAGATAAACATTTTTCATAATTCCTAAATAATAAGAACGAGGGGAACCCAACCAGATGAAAATACTTTCCATGAACAGAAATCTGCTCAAACTTCGAAAACTGGTAATAAATTAGATTATCCTGTTCCATGTGTATTTTACTCCAACAGCTTTAACAATGATAAACATATCCTTCACATGTTTGCTGTTATTTGGCATACGTGTATATAAAAACCAGCCTTGATGTACACAAGCAAAAAATATGACGATCTAGACCATCTGCAACTCTAAGGGTCTTCAAATTCAAATTTCGTTAAAAGCATCAATTACTAAGTACATACAAGGTAAGTTTTACAGTTGAAGAAGAATCCTTTGGAGCTGGATGAATCATTTTAATAGAAATTGCGTGGTTGCAACCGTGGCTGTTACTTGATGTTCGCAGGGAATTTATCCCCCGTGCAAGGCAAAAATTCCAATCTGGGTTGAGTTTTTGACATTTTGAGATCTGGGCATGGCATAAGTGATTTCTATTGCTTAGGGAAAACGAAATACAAATTTTTATTAATTTTCTGAATTTATTTAAATAGAAAGTTGTTGTTCTTCATTTGTAGTGGAATTTTAAGATTAAATTGAAATGAATGAAGAATCATGTTTCCTCAAAATAGGCATAACCCTGCATTGTTTTGATTGTCTATCAAAACAACAATCAAATGTCTATCAAATATGTCACTTGCACACTTGAATTTTTGCTCTTGCATGTCATATTTCAATATTATCTGCCCATATTTTACATGGTTGAATATGCCACAAAAAGTGCAAAAGATGAATTACCTCTGAAAAATTTCATCCAATGACACCTAATGTTATGGTCTCTCCTCACATAAGAACTTTTTGCGTTGAGCGTTAATTGAATAGCGATTCATTGGGATTGTGTGCAGTCCCAAGTAGAGCTATAAGCAATAGGTCAGAGTGCCAGAATGTTTGTATTCCACAAAAGATGATGTATGAGAATGTTGATAGAAAATTCTCAAGCATCTAGAAAACATTTTATGGTGCCAAGTATCCAGAAGGCATCTAGAAAGAGCTTTGAGGATGATGGGAAAGAGTACCCATGTCAGATGGCTATATCTGATCGATATCTTTATTTTGTTTGTGAAAACCTTCTCAAGGCATATCTTTTCCTTCCTTGATTCATTCAGCTATTTGACTCCGAGTCATGGACTTACACATATCTTCTTGGGTGCACAAAAACAGGAGAGGCGGTTCTTATTGACCCAGTGGACAAACAGGTAAAATTATTTTGATCAGTTTTTTGTGATTTATCACATTACACTCATTGTGTTAGGTTTAATGGTTCTCTAACAATTGTCAACAGAGCCAGGTATTTTGATTTAGCAAATAATATTTTGTGTGATATTGAGAATCAATAGCTAATAAATACTCTTTGAAGAACATTTATTTATAGATCTAAACATGGCTATGATCCTTAACATTGCTTATAACCTTTAACACAGAAGGATCAATTTTGAATGGCGCAAATAATTAGGATTATAAAATATTTTATGATGTACACTGCTTGTTTATTTCATTTTGCATATAGGACTTGACATAAAACATTTTTACATTTTGTGTATCATTTTTATTTTGTAACATGAACTGTTCAATTTCTTGAAAATCAGGATTTTGCATTTTCCTCTAATTGCTTTTTATTGATAAGTTCAGAAGCTTTAGCCAGCATGCAGTGGTTAGGTTGCTTTTTCATTATTTTTCTAGGTTGAAAGAGATTTGAAGTATGTTCAAGAACTTGGCCTTAAATTGAAATACGCCTGTATGTACAGTTAAACAATACCTTCATGATCTATACTCTGTTTTTGTCTTTCATAAATGAGGTCACAAAATAAATGTTTAGACAGGAAAGGCATTGGTAACACAACAGCAATGATTTTGCTGAAGCTTTTAACCTCTATTAAAATATGCTTGTATTTTGTTTTTATACTATCATCCTAACACCTATGTTTAGACATGTTTTAGCTGAACTCTTCAAGGATTCCAACAATTTCATTGCAGTAAACACTCATTGCCATGCTGATCATGTGACAGGAACAGGTATTTTGAAAACCTTGGTATCTTGTAAAAGTATGATTTCAGCCCAGGCAGGGGCAAAGGCAGATGTCTATCTTCGTGACGGTGATATCATCAAGTTTGGAGAGCAGGTAACAACACTGCTTTGTTGGGATTTTTGTGAAAATTAGAAAAAAGTGCAAACTTGAACATCACCTTTTATTTCCAATAAGAGAATTAAGAGAGATTGATCTCTTTTCAATTTTTTATAGTTTCTTGAGGCCAGGGAAACTCCAGGGCACACTGATGGTATGCATAAAATCAATAACTTTTGTTATTTTGACATTGTTGGAATTGTTTTTGCTACTTGATATTTTGGCTGGTGCAAAAGATGCCATTAAAGCTATTTTTTTATTGTTTTCATCTTCTTCGGGACAGCTTCATTCTCCACAACAGTACTATAGAACAAGCTTTTTGCAAATATATCTTAGGGCAAAGCTTTCACATTTTTGTTGCATAGAAACTCAAACCTTTCTTGAAATTTTCACTTGATATTTGGAACTTTGTTGTTCTTTTATACTCAATGGAAATTTATTTGTTGGTTTGTCATCATATGTTGTATAGGAGAGCTCAGGGCCATAAATCCCAGGGGGATGGGGGGGACTGGACATTTTTATAAAGGTCCTAACTGGAAATCTAATCCTTAAAATTCCTCATTTATGGACCTTTATTAGTCAAATTGTGGAACCAAGATCTCCATGATAGCTTCTTATTAATTTAACTGCACATTTTTTGACATGAAAATAGCATAAACACAAAAAAAGAAATTCTGAGTTTTGTTTTTAACTGTAGATAGAAAAAAGGGCAAGAGACAAAGAGGGCAAGAAATAAAAGTGATTTGTGCAAAAGTACTATGCCAATAATGAAGTACCTTTGAATTTTATGCCAATAATGAAGTACTATGTAAATAATAAAGTACTATGCCAATAATGAAGTACCTTCAAGAAAGAGAGCTTGAATATCAAATAATGAAAAAGAGTTTTGAGAAAAAGAATAATGTCAGTATTGCGATTTTCTATAGTCAACATTGCGAAAAAGCAACTACTAAAAATATACACTCTGAGCCAAAGATCCCCCTTTTTTCCTCCCCAGCATCTTTCACTAGAGTTTTAGCATGACTCTTCCCCTACCCAATTTCTCCCAAGAAACAGCAATATGTGTTCTTCTTAGAAACATCGAATTGTCTATCCTGAGCGGTATAGAGTTTTGTTCAACTTGGTCTGAGAGATGCTTTTTTAGTTTCTCTAGAAAGTATGATTTCAAAAATGTTCTTTTGCATCAGACCCAACCATGGTAGGTCCTCCTATGTCATCAAACTTCATTCTTAACACCCGGGGCTCAATTTCGTGCCGCCGTCTCTGAAAATGTTCTCCATCAAATTTTATGAAAGTCACATCCTAAGGAATAACTGTAAGTAAGTACCTTCTATAGAGCTGAAAAATTCTTAGCAAATCCAATAATCTTGATTTTTGTTTACGAAGTCATTTTTCCTTCAAATACACATACCATAAATTGCTTGGTGGTGCCATGACCCACTGCACACTCTATATTAATTCGCTCTGCAGTATGACAAATCCATAGGAGTTGCTTTAGGAAGATTGTTTGTAATTTTTTAGGTTGCATGACATTTGTTGATACAAATGAAGGACGTGCCTTTACTGGAGATGCTTTGCTCGTTAGAGCTTGTGGAAGGACTGACTTTCAACAAGGTAGAAATATTCTACTGATCCATTATTCAACTAGTTTAGTAAATTTCAAGACATCATTGATTTCATGGAATTGGATGAATAAAGCCTCATCTATGAGACAAATTTTTCATCTGATTGTCATAATCTTGTATTTAAGAAAATGATTCAAATGTTTGTGATATTTTTTATCAAAGCAAGGTAGCACCTTTTTCAGGTGACCCAAGAGTTTTATATGACTCAGTGCACCAAAGGATTCTAAGTCTTCCAATGGACTACCTTCTCTATCCAGCTCATGACTATAAAGGTATTACTTGCATATATTGTTTTTCTTGTTAATTTTCCTTTTTGCAATTTTCCCATAACTTGTAAAAATTCCTAATTTCAATGTTGCTAAAGTCCACATTTTGCTGCTACAGTAGACATTTTCCACCTAAAGCTAGTTGAAGCTATGGGAGGAAGTTTTTATGTAATATTGAAGTTACAGTCAAATATCAATTTCATGCGGTTTTGTAGCACATTTAGTCTGTAAACTTCAGGAAGAGGCACCCATATTTCTTGGGGGCCAGATTAGGATGTTTGTAACCTTGGCAGGGCAGGATGAAATAAGGTGGGTCAGGCCAGAAGAAGCCTGGCAATAATGAAAACAGGTTTGATATTCAACTATCACAGGATATCAACAGAGATTTAGTCAGCAATAGTTTCTTATTACTAACCAATGAAATTTTAAATAAAAGAAGTGTAGTATTAGTCTTTCTTCAGGCTCTGCCCAAGTTTTGCTAGCAAGCTTGCACAAATCAGGTTAAAAGCTTCTAGAAAAAATACAAAGCACTGCCTCTTCATACCTCTGTTTGAATTTTCGAATTTCATTTATGATAAGCTTAATCTTCAAGCAAAGCTGCTTGTATATCTAAAAGGTAAAGGAGGCTAATATTTATCCTTTTACATGGGAAGGCACTTCAATCCTGATATTTATAGATACCTGATATAAAATATTATGCAAAACTTTATCATCTTTCCCTCTCCATTCTTTGAAATTTCCCATTTACAGTACTTCACAAGATATTTATAATGAGATTGCTTCCCTTGAAATTATAACCATCTTCATTCTCTTTGAATTGCTGAATTCATCTTATTTTTTCAAAGGCTGCACTGTTACTAGTGTGAGAGAAGAGAAATTGTACAATCCACGTCTGACAAAGTCAAAGGAGGAATTTGTTAACATAATGGAGAATCTTGGACTAGCCAAGCCTAAAAAAATAGGTATTATTGAATTAATTGTAAATCGCAGTGTAGGGTAGTTTCTTTACCTTTGATTGAGATAAATTCCATTCATTAAAATTTGATTTAGGATCAATTTTTGCTTTGGAATTGCTTTTGTGCTTAAAGTTATAGATAGCCCTAGATCGAAGTTAAAATTCATTGCTTTCACCAAATGACTTAAGACCCTAATTTGAAAGTTACTTGTCAATTTATTTTTGTTTCCATATCTAGTTTCCATGTTTACATATCTAGTTTGGTTTTTCTGTGGATAAATTTGATCTGGCAAGCAAACAAGGAAACAATTTGTGTGTTTTAGAAAAACAAATAAATTGGAAATGCCTCTATATTCCTTGGGTACCTTAGTGGATTATCAATCACTATTTGATAGGACTAAGATAGAACTCAAAAAGCTTAGTAAATAATATTGACTTATATTTTTTTAAGAAAAAGAATTGAATGCCTTTGAAAAATTAGAAACTTTATGTCATTTTCAAAATCTTGGCAAATGTTCAAGCTCAAAGGTTTAGTGAATGACAAATACATATTCAGTTAAACATTTTAGTTCTCAATTTTAATCTTTCTGAATCAGATGAAGCACTACCCTGGAACATGATGTGTGGACCAAGTCAACTTGGCCAAGTTGAAGCTGGGAGGCAGGATAAATGAGACACTTCAATGGAGAATTCTGACTGCTAATGTAATATTGTAAACACTTTAATTTGAAACTTGTTTAGATAATATAAGATATTCTATAGTAAATAAGTTTGTTGTATATCTAGAATGGAAATCAAATTTCAATTTTTTTGGAACAAGATATAAATGCTAGCTCAAGCTAGTTAAAAGTTCATTCATTTTAGGTATTTTCTTATGGCTCTATATTTAGAACTCTCATCTCAACATAGTTACATAGAATATTCCACTTAAAAAGTGACTTGCATCTTTTCAAATTGTTATTGAGATTAGCAGTCCTGCTAACATAATCCAGATGACATAATCCTGATTATGTTTGGGCAAACAAAGAATTTAAGTTTGTTCTGTGTGTATTGCCTCTTATTTTAAAGAAATCAGTTGAAGAAGACTCACTCTGGTATTGTGTTATCTTCAATGGCACAATTTAAATATCTGTGGCAGTGTGAATTGCATAATGGAAAAAAAAATTGTGACAATTTCACCAAAATTTAAATGACATTCTACTGCTACTATCAAATAGCCCTTTAACTACAATAACTTGTATTACTCCAACTGAAATCATTATAAAACATGACAAAAGGGAGAAACCATTGACTCTTGATAAATTGCTGTCAACCAAAAAATAATGGCGTTTCTGCTTTGCAGCATGTATTTCATGAAATTCCATCAACTTCTCTGCATTTTTCATAAGCCCTTCCCATTTTTCCTGAAAAAGAGAGCAAGTTTATAGGTATGTTGAAAAAATGCCATGTAAATGTCACATTGAAATAGTTAGAAAATGCATAATTTTAGATCAAATTAGAGTTTAATACAAATTGCTAAAACTGAGGGGAAGCATTTATTCAGCTTTGCGTCTTTAAAATAAAAAGCCAATTTTTCATTTGTTCCCTATAAGGATTTCCAGTAGCTAACTGCTCCAACCATATCTGACAATATGTTATTTGAGAAATTTTGTTGTAATATTCTTGAGCATAACAGGGACCACAGCAGGCCTTGTGAGGAGCACAAAGTAGGCGCTTGACAAAATGAGCACTTTGAACATTCTAGATGCTCAATTGAGCATCATCAAATATTACCAAAAAAAAAATTTGGTGTTTTGCATTTAATTTTTAGAAATTGTTAACATGCTTGCTAGATACTCAAACAATCAAGCTCCTACAACTTTCTAAGTGCCTGTGGAGGCGCTTGATCAAGCTCGGTCATCTATCCTTGCAAGGCCTGGACCACAGAAAATATATTGGAAGGGGAGCTTAAAAGTTCTGGGGGACTTAACATGCTAAAAGCCAAAAACAATATGATTCATGTTATGATTTTTTTACATCTTGGGAATTAGAAGCTAAACCCTCTAAGTCTTTATTGGGCCTGCACCAAAGGGGGCCACAGTCTCCCCCCACTTTTTTGCTAAATAAAACATTAAAATCAACTCAAATTATTTATTAAGATAAACTTGTAGATTACAACAAATACACTGAACCAGCATCCAGAAGTAGGATTGTGTCAGCAAATTGTTTGCAAAAATTGGGGCTAGAAAGGGTGAGGAAACTTTATTTGCATTGCTGGTCCATTTAGTTAGGATAAGTGGCATGGGCCCTTCTTTTATACTTCTTTGATACCTTTCCAATATGCCACTAATTGGCAGGACTTTCACTAACCTTGAATCCCTGTGGCAGATTTGGATCATTTGTTGCTATCTTACCAAGCAGCATCTGCATTTCATCTGGAAGGTCATTCTCTAGAACTAATGTGACAACTTTGTACTCACTGGTGAAAGTGTTATCAAGACAGATTTGATAAGCACCTCCAACTGTCACATTAAAAAAATGGCTTGCTGTGTTAACCTGTGTCCTGACTGTAATTCATTTCCATTTGGATCAAACAACTGCCAGTTAATATCAGTGTCTCCACCTTTACTCACCTAAAATATTGGTTAGTCGTTACAAGGAGGTGACAAAGGAATGAAATGTTACCAAAGCATCTAGCTAAACATACCACAACAGGCAGTTCTTCAGATTCATTGGCATATAACACAACCTAATTGGGATACAAACAGGAAAATATTTATTTTGGAGGGGGGTTCTCATTGAAAGACCACATGTTTTGAGTAATGAAATCTGTATATCCCACAGATACATATATATACAGTGGATGTTAATGATGGTGTTATATTTTTAGTAGATGTTCATTGGCTGCTATCACAAAGGGATATAAATTTAGCATCTAGAATAGTAGGGATGTCTGGAACAATGGAGGTGGGTGATAAAAACTATATAGAACAAATGACTTTAATTTTGACCTTACCTAGAAGCAAGTGTAGTATTTAAATTGATATTGAAATGTTTTGCTTAAACCCAAAATGATAGAAAATAATTGTTCTTATTAAAACTTTTCTCAAGCATTCCAGGATGTTTTTTTCTGAAAAATGTCCCTAATGAAAGGACTTGATGAAGAATTTTCCAAATTCATATAAAAGGCATGAATGCCCTCTAAGCATTCTGGCCTGATTTTTTCCTTCTCTTTAGTAGGGGCTAGGTCTGGGGAACAGCACCTAAAACAACCTGCAAAATCCACTCTGAAGCCTTTCTAGGGCAGAACCTTTGAGATATGCTTCTTAAACAGGTAAACAATTTGCTTGAAAATAGAAAAATTAAAAGTGGTCTCTATAATTGCAGCTGCATTTGCACAGGATCAGAAAACTGATCAGCTGGCCAAACAACATGTTCTTCACATGAGTCTACAAGAACACTTAGCAACTGCTTTTATATTATCTTTTTTTTATTTTTGTATTATTATCCAAATATTCTCCCATTCATTAAAACTGCAAATTCAGTCAAGTACAGGTATACTGCTATTATCAAAAATGCACATTCCCACCTTTGAGTGGAAGGGGAGAGTGGGTGGGTGAGCAAATACATGCTACACTTTGTGTGTTCAGGATTTTAGGTAAATGTGATACTAAATATATTATATTCTATGCTCAGAGTTGTAGCTATGTTAGTCTTAATCTTACAATTTGCCAGAAATGGATCATGGAATTGGGAACTGTCCAAAGGGCATGAAATTTCCAGGTTAACTGGCTGGGACTGGCTCAATCTTAACTCTAAAACTGACTTGTTCATTGATTTCCATATGAGAATTATAACTTTTTAAAGACATAAAGTCCTAGGCTTTCAGACCGTTTATTATAAATTCTGTATTTTCTGCTTGGCAAACACTACTCTACCAAAACTCCTTGGAACACCTGCAAAATTTTGCTAAATTTTGCTTTTTTCCTATGTTTCCCATGTTTCTAATAGACAAGACAACCACCCCCCCCCCCCCCCTAAAACAATTTTGCTTTCAATGCAGTATATATCACAGCAATCGGTAGAAAAAGGTTTTCCACGAGAGTATGCCTAACTTTGCTGTGACACAACATTGTTTGAAGCGGGGGGGGGGGGAACGGATGCATGCAAACGTTGAAAATATCAACTGTTCCAAGAGTTTTGGCAGTGATTGTAGCTAGACTAGGAAATTCATTCGGTCCTCGGTGCACCATATGCATCATATTCGGTGCAACCAACAGAAGAAGAGCATATTTTTAGAGACGTCTGGTGGTTGTACATGTGTTTTAAACATATAACTCTGGAGCCTCTGTTGTAACAAACTTGAGAGATTAATTTCAAATTGCAGATCGACAAAACGTGTTGCAGGCGCCACGACAAATAGTGCTTGAAGTCTCTCTCCCCTCACCTGTAAATCAACGTAAACCTCGCCAGATCCTTCTTTCAAATCATGTCCAAAGCAGGCTCTTTCGTGCTCGTCGATACGAATGCTATATGCATACCCTTCTACCAAGTCCGTGGAGAGTCCGACAACTAACATCAAGAGAAAGAGGCCATCCATCTGTGCAGATTGTGAGTTCAGTACTTTAGTTTAGAAAAGAAAGATGAAAACTTCCCATCGTATTACCTCGTTTCTATTCCCATTTAAAATGACTTTGAGACTGCGTGGTCATGGTAACAGAATTTGATCAGAAAAATGTCTTTCCTATCTTTGTGATCTTTTTGTATTTGTACATATGTACACTTACGTGATAAAAGTATTAGGACGATCACCTCAAAGCAAACGGTTGTTAACCCTAGGTTCGAAGAACAGCATAGAATGGAGCTGGAGGGGCAGAAATATACGATTTCTAAAAAAATTATAGAATCTTATCGTTAATTGCTGTCCACTGTGACCATTCTACATTGTTACGTTGATTCCCATCAGAAATTTATCAAAAAGATGATAACATCAGCACAAAAAGGCAAAGGTTGAAAAGTTTGTCTGTGACAAGGCGGGCCACAAAAAAAGACCGGCAAAGGTAAAAGTATGTAATGGCGTCAGCGTTGAGAACAACATGCCATACACAACTCAAACCAATTTTATGAAGCCATTGAGCGTTATTCCATGATTAAAACTCAATCAAACAAAACTTAAAACCATTTTCATCACTTTCTATTTTAATTTTGAGAAAAAGATCATTTTAGAATATCAAAAAAGTAAACTTTTGATTGGACAGTCTCGAATCTTTAAAACCCTTATAAAACTTGTTAAATTCAAATAAAAATGTTTGCAGCAGGTTACTTTTGAACGCCACATGATAAATTTTAATAAACTTTGGCAAGATCACATTTAGATGTTTGTGATCCCAGAAGATCATTATTGGCCGCCTTAAATTTAGCGAAAAGTGACACTTTTACAGCCATTTTTAATGAGGGTTCTTCAGACACTGTGTACGACTGTTCATCGCAGAAATTTTGGTAATTTCATTCAAATAGGAGATAAAATCCTGCTTTGAATATATTGCTGTAATATTTGTTCCCTAAACAACATTGCAAATGGCTGAAAGAGATGGAGTTATAGGCTACTGGCATGTTTTATTGATTGTATTCTGTAGCAACATGTTACGAAATGGTTTCCAACATGTTGGCCTGGGGGGGGGTACTCCCATTATGGCCTAACAGGGAGGTCTGGTCAGGGTCAAAGAGGGCCAACGATAAAAATTTATAAAACTACCCTCAAATAGTAGTGCTTTTGACAAAACACCATTTCTTTGTGCTCTCCTGGTCCTATTTTGACAAATTTCTTCATAATTGATTGTTGTTGTTTCGGGAAAGATAAATCTTGTCCATTATCTATAATAAATCACAAGCTAAACTGAGCAGTTCAGTTATTATCAAAAATGGGCCATTTGGTAGGCATTTGGTAAGACCCTCAAACGGACTGGACCCCCCTGTCAGGCCTTAATGGGAGAGCCCCCCGAGCTGTGACCAAAACTTTAGAGATAAACTTTAATAAGAGTCAGAAATACACTTACGTTCAAAAAGTATTGGGACGAATTCGATAAACGAATTATGGCGTTGCGTTGGATTCGGTTTTGCAACGGAAACTTTTTCAGATTTGGGCAGTCTTTCTACAAATAATCTAGGCCTACGTTTCCCCAAAATGGAATAAAAAGTTAAGAAAATGCTTCAACTTATGAAGCATAACCACGAAAACACAGGATTCTTGCGATTTTTCTGATTATAACAGCAAAATATGCAGAAGGGTTGTATGGCCTAACAATGGCAAAGTCGCATGACCTTCCAAAAATTTTAGAGCTGTCCAAACAAATACAACTTTTTAATTTCACGTTTGCATAACAAAAAAACTCATAAAAGAAAATATAAAATCAAACTTTTAAGCTTCAAAAAAAGTTTACTTCATCGACGAAAATGCTACGATTTTACTAAATTATTGCATTTATTCGAACTACTTTTAAAATTGCGTAACATTCAAGGGAAGCCATTGATATTCGTCGGCGATGTTTAATTTTTGTTATGAGAGAGCATTTTCTTTCTATAAAGCTGGAAAATTTGTATTTTTTCAGAGCTTCCATGTTTTCTTCTCGAGACCTATAGAAATTTTATGGTCGACGTTTTTTTAGTTTTTGGCAATACATAAAAGGCTTCAAGATATCAACAACGTCGTGTGAAAATTTCATGGAAATAGCTGCCGCACTTTTTTAATGAGAAAGGTTTTAAAAAAGTCTTTCCAAATTTGTTGCATAAAATGTCTTCGAAGTTTCGAAGTGTGTCCCAATACTTTTTGAACGTAAGTTTATAAAAAGTTTTGGGCAACCAGGCAAAAAGTAAGTATCTCCAAGTTCGAATTAATGAAATCTTACAGGTCTGTGCAAAAAAAACCGTTTTTGTTGCAAATATATTACAGGTAATCCAATCTTGCTTTAGCTATTTGAATTTCGGTTTGCTATAAAAAGTTCGCGGCGGTGCAGCCATTTTGAAGAGGGGTGCTGCAATACTTTTGCTCACCCAGTGTACAGTAGTGACAAGGTCATTTATTACATAAAACAAAGCTGTATGGATGGCACATAACAATTAATATTTTTTTATGTTAACAGTAACTTATTAGTTTGTTAATAAACAGTAACTAATGCCATAATGGTAGATGGAGACGAGTTCTTGGGAGAATATACGATAGTGGTATACGTTGGTGGCCGACAAGGTTCTTTTCCAAAGGTCACTTCCAAAGGTTCTTTTAAACTAGAATTCGAATTGTCCGTGGGATACCCTCTACAATACATTTACTTTAAGATTTGCCTTATCATTCCGTTTGCCCAGCCGCAGCCAGCATTACTATCAAATAATTCTTGATTCCATCTCTTTTCCTGGTACGTTCAACATCTGGTTTCGGTGTGACACCCTTATACACCCACCTCGAGTGGGTAATGCTCGACAAAGTTGCCTTATGAAATCCTCCTTATCCATTTGTGTAGGAGAAGCTATCTGATAAATTTGCTTTTGTAATCCACTTCTCCTTCAAAATGCTCAATGCTCAAGGCTTTTTTCACTGAAGTAAAAGTAACACCTACGGTACATTTCCAGCGTTCCACAATACGCCCACTATGACCACATTAAATTCTATGGAATTATACCTGAGAGCGCAAGTAAATACTGCGTACGCACCACAGATTGGCTTATTCATTTGAGGAAACAAGGTTGCCTTGTCACATAATAGGCCTCGTTAATACGAACGTACCAGGAAAAGAGATGGAATCAAGAATTATTTGATATTAAGGCTGGCTGCGACTGGGCAAAGGGAATGATAAGGCAAATCATTTCTTATGCAATGGGGTAGGAAAAAATATAGTTCTCTAGCATATGCTACTTTGGTATAATTTGAAGTTGTAATATCTAGGGCTAACAAACTTGCGAGGCATACGAAAATCTGAAACTTTCCATAAAAGTTCTAAAGATTTGTGCTTTTGGTTTCACACGTTAATAAAAAACATTCAATTAATACAGTTTATAAAGTCTGGTTATAGACTGCACCCTTTTTTCTCTCAGAAAACACCCTTTTAACCAACAGGGAAAGCCATGTTGCGACTGGCTTTACCAAAAGGAATGGCCAAGACTAACTTTTGGCTGCGTAAAGCAGTTTTAAAATGATAGAGTAACATCACAATCAAAATAAGGAATAAATTGCCAAAATATTACCCACCCCTCATCATTTTCTTATAGAATTAAGACGAGATTCAAAATGGACATATCTACCGACCGAGAACCGGGGGGGGGGGCATGTCTACCCAATGCACTCTTGTCGTGCCCCCATTGATCAGCAAACTAACAAAAAACAAGCCAGCCTGGGTCATCTCGGGGAAAAACAAAGCCATCTTTCTTTCTCGATTCTGACAGTGAATGACTTATCTTATCTTTATTTGTGCATCAAGCATTGGATCAAAATTGCTGGATGAGATTCTAAGCTATCTGTAACAACTTTGGTTTCTAACGCCTCCTTGCAATCTCAGTCATCGCTCTAACTGATTCTCGATTGTTCAGCTGTATGTTTCCTGCTCAATCCTCGCTTTTGATATTGAACATTAGCAAATTCTCTTACATTTTTGCTTGTTCTTTTAAATCATCTGGTGAAAATGGGACATCGTTGTGGTTTATTAACTCAAAATGCCGCAAGATTACTGCGGTGGCGCATTGGCAATTCGAAATAGCAAGAGGATTTTGCAGGTTTCCCAAAAAGCCTTCGACGCGTTAGGAGCTAATCAACGAGGTCATAGCTCGTTTTAGTTTTAACCATTTTTCTGAGATCGAGAACAGATAAAACCACATGAACCAGCATAGCCAGAACCCTTCTAATTGGAGATCTCTGATTTGGGCTTCGCGGTTGTGCCATAGCGCTTTCAAAGGCTTAGCGCTGTCAAATGGTCACTGGCACGTTTGAGTTGTACCTGAACAGTAATCTTTGACGCAATTTCCCCAGGAAGCATAAACCCTGTACTCACTCATAGTGGTCCTTTTCAAATTAAAATGGCGACACTTCCTGAAGCAGATGTACGACATCACGTAGAAGCTGTCACATCTGGCTCTTTCTGTCATTCAACTTCCTCTGTGTATTGCCTTCATCATTTTAGAATAAATTCAGCTATTTAGTGAGGTTTGACTGATGAGTGTCTTTCCTAGTCTATACAACCTGTGTTTCACTGACAACTTTGTTACATCATAACATGTTTCCACCGTTTACTTTCTATCATATCAAACAGAAACTAAATTTGATTCAATCTCCTTTTATTGTTTGGCAGACACCTTGCAGGCTCAATCTAGAAAGATTGTAAGCTTTCTCAACTTTACTTGTGTATTTTATTTGCTTTATTTTGGAAACAGTCTTTAGTCTTTATCTTTGATGCAGACTAAGTGGGAGGTCAAACCCTCGAGCCTCTTGTTCCAGCAGCGTTTAGTACAGTAAACCAACTGGATCCAACACTGTTGAATACAACAGAGGCAGTCTATATGTTGGATTGCTTTTTATACGCGTATGCTAGCTTCCTCAAGCCCAAAAAGTGTCGAATACCAAAAATTTAACAGTATTGGCCATCATTATTGCCCACTAAATAAGCGTATTAGTG